TTTTATTTTTATATTTCTGATTGTTCTGTCGGTTAATTTTTAGCTAATGTGCTTTGTCTATATGCCTTTTTGTGTTTCTTTGTTACATATTTGTTTGTTTTTATAGTGATTAAGATTATAACACAATGTTGACTGCTGTACCCCTATTTTTGAAATTTTTACCTATTATAAAATTGAGAATGGAAATGGGGAATGTGTCAAAGAGACAACAACCCGACCATAGAACAGACAACAGCAGAAGGTCACCAACAGGTCTTCAATGCAGCGAGAAATTCCCGCACCCGGAGGCGTCCTTCAGCTGGCCCCTAAACAAATATATATACTAGTTCAGTGATAATGAACGCCATACTAAACTCCAAATTGTACACAAGAAACTAAAATTAAAAATAATACAAGACTAACAAAGGCTAGAGGCTCCTGACTTGGGACAGGCGCTAAAATGCGGCGGGGTTAAACATGTTTATGAGATCTCAACCCTCCCCCTATACCTCTAGCCAATGTAGAAAAGTAAACGCATAACAATACGCACATTAAAATTCAGTTGAAGAGAAGTCCGAGTCTGATGTCAGAAGATGTAAACAAAGAAAATAAACAAAATGACAATAATACATAAATAACAACAGACTACTAGCAGTTAACTGACATGCCAGCTCCAGACTTCAATTAAACTGATTGAAAGATTATGTCTTCATCATATGAATATCAGGCACAATCCTTCCCGTTAGGGGTTTAGTATCATACCATCATAACATAAATGAGAAGAACATAACCCGTGTCATGCCAACAACTGGTTTTTAAATAAATGTGTTTAGTGCCGATGCAAAGACCCTATAAGTGAATCAATATTAACGCCAAAATATGCAATCTTTAATGACCTGACAACAGTATCGTAACTATATCCCTTCTTAATAAGTCTATTTAAAGGTTTTGTTAGCTTCAGAGGTGAATACTGACATTTTTGTGCTTTATAAAGAATATTTCCATAAAAAATTGGATGTGAAATACCTGAACGTATAAGAAGTCTGCATGTTGAGCTATATTTACGAATGATGTCCTTATACCGATGATAAAATTTAGTAAATGTTTTGACTAGTTTATGATATCGAAAACCCTGGTGTAATAATTTTTCAGTAATACATAAATTTCTCTCGTTAAAATCTAAAACATTGTTACATACACGAACGAATCGTACAAGTTGAGATATATAAACACCGTAAGATGGTGACAAGGGAACGTCACCATCTAAAAATGGATAATTAACGATAGGAAATTAAAAATCATCTCTTTTATCATATATTTTAGTATTAAGCTTTCCATTAATGATATAGATATCAAGATCGAGGAAAGGGCAGTGGTCATTGTTAGTATTAGCTTTATTTAAAGTAAGTTCAACAGGATAAATTTCTTTAGTATACATACTGAAGTCGTCATTATTGAGAGCCAAAATATCATCCAAATATCTAAAAGTATTATTAAATCTGTGTATCAGATGTTGTTTCGATGGGTCTTTGCTGATTTTTGTCATAAATTGTAACTCATAGCAATACAAAAAAAGGTCCGCAATAAGTGGTGCACAGTTAGTCCCCATTGGAATTCCGATAACCTGACGATATACGGAATCTCCAAAGCGAACACAAATATTATCTAGTAAAAATTCAAGGGCATATATAGTATCAAAGCATGTCCAATTGACATAGTTTTTTTGTTTATTGCTACTAAAAAATTACCTAAAAGAGTTTGAACATATATATTCACATTCTGACTTTTTAAATGCCCATTTAATTAGATGTGTGAATTTTTTCCTAATGAGAATGTGAGGCAATGTGGTATATAGGGTAGAAAAATCAAAACTTTGAACAGATTCAAAATCACCAATATATGCATGTAATTTATCAAGTACTTCCAACGAGTTCTTGACACTCCAAAAGTAATTAATTCCACTATTTTCGAAGGCCTTATTTGAACAATTTATTATCAGGTTTTTGATTGTACCAAGTGTACTGGTAAGAAGAATAGACAATTTAGTAGTGGAACAATGGCTTGAAGACGAAATAAATCTATATTTGTAAGGTGTTTTGTGTAGCTTCGGAAGCCAATACATAGTTGGGACTTTCATTGTATTTGGTTCTGCTTGTAAATCGGTAGCTAAAAGTTTATGTTTGTTACAGATGTCGTTTTCTGAAAATGGAGTCAGTTGGAATGTTGGTGAATTGGTGATTTCTTTTTTCAGAACCTCAATGTAAAATTTACGTCAAACAATAATAATATTATTAGCAGCTTTATCGGCCGGGACAAAAACAAATTCCTTGGCTAGTTCTTTTAGTTTATGTTTGATACGAGAAATAGGTTTATTGTGGTCTATTATTATGTCTGTTTGTTTTGTTCACATATCGTTGTCAATATAATGGAATTTTATGCAACTGTCATGCGGTTTAGCTAGCTATAAAACCAGGTTTAATCCACAATCCATTCGTTTGATGTGTTTAAGCTTTTGATTTTGCCATTTGATTACGGAGTTTCCGTTTTGAATTTTCCTCGGAGTTCGGTATTTTTGTTATTTTACTTTTTAATTCATCAGTCAGATGTTTTTGTAAAATTATGTAAAATTCTACGAACTTTTCTTCATGTATATTTTCATGTTAAAATTACCAGTAAATTTCATGGTTTTTCTACACAAAATTTTGCAACTAAAAATGCTGAAAACCGTTTTCCGTCGGGGGGCTTCGCCCCCCTGGACCTACTGGGGGCCGCTTAAGGTCCCCAGACCCCCTGCCGCAATTTGTGCCTACAGTTTGTTCGATACCTAGCTACGCCCCTGCTTGTCATCCAGACGCTATACTATGAATCAAAGTACTGAAGTACTGAACATCGGATGACTGCAAGTTCTTGTGGATGGTCACAAGCACTTGTCTCAGAAAACAAAATCACATCTCTATACCTGAAAGTGAGGTTAATGTACAGATATATTTTTTTTTCTGAGAAAAGTTCGTGCGTGGATGATAAATAAATGATAGGGAATTCAACCTCACCGTAATAAATATGATATTGAAGTGATACAAATCAGTATACTCTGGTTTTTTGTTATATATTATATTAATATTTGTAAATTACAGTTACATGTATATATAATTTTCATCCATTTGTATATCATTCTATTCTACTATATTAATAATAGTGCAGTGCAAGTGCATGGTGGACACTTCTGTAATAATTCGATTTTTCTAATAGATTGGATTTGAGTAGGCATTCATATTTTCCCGCCAAACTTTCAATCTCCCATGCAGAGTTATCGGTCCTTGAGAGAGAGCGAGGACCGATAACTCTGCATGGGAGATTGCAAACGTTCTTGAGATATTCTTCCGCATGCGTTAACACACATTTTCTGTACGTGTGCATAGATATTAAAGATTTTTTACTTATATATATATTTCTAACGACAAAACATTTTCATGTTATAAATTTATTTTCTAAAAAAATATTTTTAGGAGTATCCATTGAAAAAATGAATTTATAACAAGCGATAAGGAATGTTATTTTGCACTCGAAAATGTCAGCGTATTTATCATGTTTATAGATCGGTTACAATCCCAACACGAAAGTTACGTAATGGAAATCTAGGCGACAGCAATACGCCGGAATGCCCTTACGGTCATCTGATGTAAAAATAAAGCGGCTGGATTATCGAAACTAATAAATCCGCTGACGTTATCAAGTGCAAAATGGAATTCTTTATCACTTTATATCTATATTAATATTACCAATGAAACTTTAACCACGCTTTACTGCGTATAAATCCGCTGACGTTATCAAGTGCAAAATGGAATTCTTTATCACTTCATATCTATATTAATATTACCAATGAAACTTCATGAAAATATTTGTTTAAGAACATTTATCAACATGTTTTGTCTTGAGAAATATATATATATCAGTAAAAAATCATGCATATCATTATAACGAACAGGTACCTAGAAAACATGGGTCATCTTAGTACCCATAATGCACGCGGATGAATTTTTAGAATTGTATGCATGTTCCTTGGGATATCAATATGACGGACGTAATTATACTTCTTTTTATTATCTACCTTTTGAATTATATCACTAGTTTTGTTAATCATCGACCGATCAGGTTTCACATCTTTTTATCAACATAACTTGTAACGCTAAACTATTATGGTTATTGACATGTCTACCAGAATGACACCAATCTAATGGTATAATACAAAATTACAAGATACCAAAATTCATTTGGTCATAAAATATTTTGAATGTGATAGTCCTGATGATGATATTCCATTCAGAATGCTTTTTTACGGACATGATTTCAAAGGAGTAGGCCCGGATAGACTCCTTTTTGGCCCCAAAATATAGAATTTTTACAAATTCTCAATTTTAGCATTTTTTAGACCATTTTTGTCCAAAATGGAGCACTTGTGTTCAGTCTTAATATTTAAATATATAATGTATTTGATGATAATACATAACATATATAGAGGTTGAAACTGAACAAGAATGCGGCCACTTACATTTTAGACAAAAAACATCTGAAAAGTGACGTTTATGGCATATTTGATAGATTTTCATATCTAAGCTTGACTTTGAGCGTCTTCAATGACCAAATCAGTTCAAGTCTTTTTTCATAAACCAATTGAATCGACTTAAATAGACACTTAAGTGTTTAAAAAATGTCAAAAATCTTTGATCAGATGTACTTCAGATTTGAGGCCAAAATTAGCCCTTACCGTACCTTCTCCTTTAAATTTACAATTTTCTGATTATGTAATTCATTTAGATTTTCATAAACTTAGTTACTGCCTCCTTTGCAGTGTTAATAAAGGTCTAATGCTTTTAGCTTTTTTCTTTTCCTTTCATGTATTTAATAATCATGTATTTTTAGTTTCAAGTGATTTTCGTCTATTGAAAAATTTAATGTAGTGTAAACGAAAGAGAGTTGGACGAATTTAGCAAAGGGTAAACATTAATTCTGTTCTGTTGTAGTCAAAGAAACGAATGGTCATGACCTTGGAGTAGATTGTGTTGTTGCTATTCCAGAAACAAGTTTTATCCTCGACAGATTAAGTTGTCCAAAGGTAAGATACATTTTTGTTTTCTTAAATGATTTTTCTTGTTGGATTGTCTTTAAAGGCGATAAATAGAGAAATAATTTTAATGACTTAATATATGCATTTCAACGGTTAATTTATTTCATAACAAACTACAACAAAATTTATAATAAAAATGTCCTTTACAATCTAAACATTTCAGAAATAGAATAAGCTGTTTTGAAATCAGGATTGGTGATGCAGTTGACATCGATTGAAAATTATTACTGGCTTACAGTCCAAATTCAATTTTCGACATCATTCGGGAATAACAAATAACTTATAAAAAAAAAAAAAAACACCCGAAACAATTTTAAATTTTGTTTTCATTTAAATACTTTTCGAAATTTATTTATCAAGGCTTATTTTATTTCATAAACTTAATTGTGTTTTCAGCATGTCAAATGATTGAAACATTTCAGATATATATATATGTTACAGTGAATTTGTATAATCAGGGATTATGTAGAATCCCTAAAAATTTCAGGGATTATGTATAATCACTGGTTAGTTTAGGGATTATATATAATCACTAGTATTTTCAGGGATTATGTATAATCACTAGAAAAAACGTCAGGGATTATACAGAATAACTGAAATGATATTAAAATATATAACATATTGAAATATATTAAAAGTTAACCGTAATATATCAAAATAATAACCTTAATATGTTAAAACGTTAGGCATAATATATTAATATGATAGACACAAAAATACTGAAATGTTATACACAATATAATTAGATGATAAGCACAATATAATTAAATGATAAGCAAAATATATATAGAATAATTGTTTTTTTTGGTTTTTTTTAATACTGACTTTATCAGTAATAATATCAAGCGAGCCCTTTTTGACACTGACTTTATCAGTATTAATAATATCAAGCAAGCCCACAAGGGCGGGTTGATGAAGTCAGTGTGAAAATTTTAAATGGCATAATGATTATTCTTTTTATCTGATTGTTTTAGCAATTGTTTTTAGGTTGAGAATATGAAATAAAATGAAATTGTCATTAAAACTATTTTTATGCGTACAATCGTTTTGATAAATGTTCGTCCATTGTATGAATGAAGTCAAATGTTATGCACAATATTTTAAAAATAAACATTTTATTTACAAACTAAATTTGGATGGCATCGACTATTACACATGTGCTCTGCTTTTCTACAGGCATATCTATAAAATTCACATCTGTTTTTACCACAATATCAACATTTAAAAACAACCTTGTCCTCCATATTGAATCAGATTTTATGGCACGTCTCAGAGAAATAGAGTTTTCAGCACAAACATCTGAAGGTACCAATGAAGGGAAATCAGCAACCTAAAACTGATTTCTTGTATTAAAGATCCGAGCAGGATTCCATGCTATATGGCAAGGAGATATCCTTCTACAGTCTTTTCGTGAATAATGACCTTTATGTTTTTTTGGATCTCCCTTTCCTGGAACCACTAGTGGAATTGGTATGATCACGGAAGTAATATTGAAAGGAATAACAACAACGCCAGTTAAATATTACTTCCATGGTATGAGATATGCATATGTTGCATTTTGTTTTTCCTCTGCAATTTGCATTAACTTTTGAGCATACGTTTTCTTCAACCCAAGCAACATCTGTGCCTGTGCCGAGCTTATTTGTTAGTGACATAATGAGGTTCAACACTTGAATAAAATGTAAAGGGAAAAACTCATCACTTAAGATTCACATAGTAGATCAGGAATGAAAACTGTTTACTTAAACTTTCAAGGAATAAGAAAAGAAAATGATAATTTGTCTATGTTAATTTGTTTCATCATCTTTGGAGCTTTTAATTATTGATAATCCCTGAAATCATATTAGGGAATTTGTAGAATAATAATTAAAATTATCAGTGATTATATAAAATCACTGGTCATTTTCAGGGAATCTATATAATCACTAATGATTTTAGTGATTCTACATAATCCCTGAAAATTCAGGGATTCTACATAATCCCTGATTATACAAATTCACTGTAACACATATATATATATATATATATATATATATATATATATATACAATTATTTTTTAAATACATATCTCCAATATAACAGTAGAAATGTCCATATCATATATCCCTTTTGTTATCAATTCACATTTACTAGTTCATCTTTGAAATTTTCAAAATTAAAACAAATAATGATGAAACATTGCTTGCAGAATAATGCAACGCATGACAGATTACAAGAAGTTCGTGCATTGTTTGATTCCCATAACATTGACGCCTACATCATTACCATAGAGGATGTTCATATGGTAAGTATATATATATATATGCTTCAATTATATTTTATTATACCTCATGTCAAAATGCAAAATTTTGATTGGTTAATACGAGGGAGACAATTTACTCTTTGCCATGGCAAATACTCTATTACCCTTGCTCAAGTTTGCTCTTTAATAAATACGGATGATTGATATATACAAGACGTCATAGTTTATTACTTTGAAAAATTAAAATTTAATAGACAGTAATAACAGAACATTCAGTATAATAAATTAAATAACACATATCTGAGAGGGTGATAGAGCAGATTGTTACCCCTCGAAAAGACATTTTCAACCTTGGCTTCGCCTCAGTTGACAATGCTTTCTCGGGGTAACAATCTGCTCTATCACCCTCTCAGCTATGTGTTATTTATATAGTGTTGGATATACACAAACATTTACGTTACAATAATTCTGTTAGGCTAAATACACATAGTTGTGTTTGTTTCAATCTTATAATAAAAGGATTGAAGGAATATGAATTTATAATAAAAATTGATAAACGAAAATAACACTTGATTGTTATTTCGTGCGTCGAGACGCTTCACCAGACACGCTCAAACCCGAACAAAAAGCCTAGGATGTATGAATACCTAATACAACGTGAAGAGGTGACCAAAATGAACATAAAAAGTATAGCCACATCCATCTAAATAAACTCATCATAGATACTTGGCTTAAAGTTGCATGTGTACGTCAGACGCGCGTTTAAGGTCAACGTTCCTTATGTTTAGCTAGCTATAAAACCAGGTTTAATCCACCATTTTCTACTTAAGAAAATGCCTGTACCATGCAAGTCAGGAATATGACAGTTGTTTTCCATTCGTTTGATGTGTTTGAGCTTTTGATTTTGCCATTCGATAAGGGACATCCGATTTGAATTTTCCTTGGAGTTCGGTATTTTTGTTATTTTACTTTTTGCATGAGGGAGTTGGAATCTTAGTTTCATAATAATAACATGAAAATACTGGACGATAACATCAAAGCTGAATATATCTCGGTGACTCTTAATAGATAGAACATACTTTTTTCTTTTCAGTTTTGTTTTTGTTATTTTAAGTCGTCCCTTTTTAAGAATAAATACACATTTCGTTATATTTCGCCTTGAAAGATAATAGAATATGGGGTGTTTCTCCTGTGCGTCCTTTTTGGGTGAGTTTTGGTTAAGTCCTCGTAAATCTCATCTGACAATGTAATGACATAATACCAGAAGGGTACTGTAATATAGTCAAACACAATCCGGCTTCATTCCTATCACCATTGTCTTTTACTGTTTTTTTCGCGTTCAGGTTAACATCTCTGATACCCATTGTGATATATCAATGACCCATTGTGATACATCAATGACCCATTGTGATACATCAATGACTTTTCATCATTTCACTGCCTTATAGCAAAAACTCACTTCTGAGTCATTTTAATTATCAGATCCAACATTTTTACGCTTGAGTAATTACGTTTTCGTTTAGAATGGTGATTGTATTTCAGGTGGGTGGGTGAAAGGAAGCATGCAAAAAACATCAGACTCGATTTGTGTAATTAACTAGTTAGGTTTTTATTACCCATAGTTTCAAACATTTTGAAATTTTTGTATATGTACTTACTTGAGTACGCATTTGGGGAGTATTGCAGCTTTTCCTGATGGTGAAACTTAAGTCATTTTTCAGCACCATTATAAATTAAGGGTTTTATTTTGATTACATTTTGATGAATTTGCACAGACATATATACTAAAATACTGTATTATAGGTCTCTGAAAATTTGTTTGCATTTAACTAAACTCTTCTGTAAGATTGTAATTATACGTCCGTTTTACGGGACGTGCTTATGGTATACCGATGTCCGTCTTTCCGTCCGTCGTCAACATTTCGGACAATAACTCAAGAACGCTTTAACCAATGTTCATGAAACTTTATTGAATTTTTCATATCTAAAGACGTAAGCTCCCTTTCGATTTTTATAAATTTTAGATTCTAAGTTTCCGAAATATGGAATTTTATTCATAAAAAAGGGGGGATTTTCTAGTTTCCGGACAACAACTCAAAAATGCTTTCAGCAGTTTTCATGAAACTTTGGTGACTGGTTTATATCTATTAGAATAAGCTCCGTTTAGTTTTTTTTTATTTAAATTTCTGATATGACATTGAGGAGTTATAGAACTTTATTCGTTGAAAAAGAGACGGGCTTATCATCACTCATAGCTCCGCTCTTTATTTTCATTAGTTCTGCTAATTTGTAGAAATCAGTAGAAGAACGCTTCCCTTACTGGCTTTTAAATAAATGCCAACTTAGCTTTTGAGTGTATTATGTGTATGTCAACGGAATACCTAATACACGTGTCTTAGCATTTCAATTTACGATCCATATATGATAGATATTACAAACAAGCTATTTAAGAATGATAGATATTACCAACAAGCTATTTAAGACTGATAGATATTACAAACAAGCTATTTAAGTCTTTTACAATTTAAAAACAAATGTTGGTATGTTTTTTATTAGACAGTTTTTGTACAGCAAAGAAACAACGAATTCACAAATATTCAGCAAAAGCTTACCGAATATCTTGGAATACAAATATACAACAAAAAATCTTAAAAACATTTTAATATTAATTTGAACATCTGTGGACGTTTTTTTTTCACTCTTAAGATTACAAATAAACTTTGTTTGAATTTTACTCTGATTGTTGTTCTCGTGTAAATTTTAAAGTATTCGAATTCGTTATATATCTATTTTTGATAAGATACACGGTATATTGACACTCGTCAGAATACTTAAAGCTCAGTAGTTCTCGATAGAGTCTACGACTCATTGTTAATTGTTTACTTGAATTGAGAGTTATCTCATTGGCACTCATACCACATCTTCTTATTTCTAATTAATGCATCAATTTGTCATATTCTAAATATGCTTGCCGTTCGGGAAAAATTATTTCAGTCGATGTTTGTCACCTTTTAAAAAATATATAAAAGAAAGAAACAAATTTCTTTTTCAGCAATTTACAACATCGTTACATGATAAACGATTACAGGCTGTATCGGGATTTTCTGGTGTTATTGGTAAGAACTATGTAAGATGAGGTTGAGGTAATGAGTAAATCTCTTAATGAAATCGTTATTGCTAGGCGCTTTCGTAAAACTAATGTCCATTTAGAACTAGATGTGTTCCTTAATTTTTTTTTTATTTGTTATCAGTAATGTTTCAAGTCGATATAGCACTAAATGCTTTCACAATCAACACCCATATAGTACAAGTATTCTGTGTGATACCATCGAAGAAGAAAAAACTTGTCTCATGCATATCATAACTACTCCATGACCTTTTTGCCAACATGTACGAAGGTTAAACGTTCGGTGGAAATCGTTTTGCTACGAATACCTGGCAAATATTGAAGAATACGAGTACTAGGCATACACCTGCTTTTATTGGTGTAAAATGCAAACCTTGTTTAAATATGTATGATATTTTTCTGTTGAATAGTATAATACTGTTAAGTGGACCTTAGATTTTTTAAATTTTCAAAGCGCACATGTAAAGTTTTAAGTACATATGTACATCTCCTGCATGCATATACTTGCTGTCATTAGGTCTCTGGTGGAGAGTGGTCTCATTGGCAATTATACCACTTCTTCTTATTTTTATATTTGCAAGTTTTAATTTTGAATACGAATATCTCTTTTGAAAATATGAATGCATTGTTTGTAATTGTTAAAAATACAGGCTTCTTTCTATTAAGGTCTTGGAGTTGTTACGAGATCCACGGCAGCTCTGTGGACTGATGGGAGGACTTTTATACAAGCAACCGAAGAAGTGGACTGTGGTTGGGAGATCTACAGGAAAGGTAGAGTAAAACATTTTATTTTACAAATGATTTCTCTTTCCTATACATATTTTGATGTTATTTTAAAGCCAGTTTAGACAAATGTTAAATTAACAACCCCGTGAAAAAAAATCAACAACAACACAACAAAATAAAATAACAGAAACAAAACAAACAGCAACAACAACTAAATAAAAGAAAGAACCCAATCCCCCACTCTCATCCAAATAAGAAGAGAAAAAGGAAAGCAAGTTCCTATAGACTTTTAAAATGTACGAATTTTACTTACTTTTGGTGGAGTTTGAAATATTTTTCTTATCAATAGATACTTTCATAATACCAGTATGCAGATATGTATGGAAAGCCGTTTTTATATTTATTCCATTTTAAAGATATCTTGTTAAGGTAATAATTAACTAAATATTTTCATGACTTAAAGATTAATGATTGCTTAACATTGCTGTTGAAGACAATTTTGAAAGAAATTTTTTAGTAGATTTGCATTGAAGGATTGATTGGTTGGAGGGTTTTGCTAAATGTACAGTGACACATATTTTATGCATATTTAAAGAAAACATCGATTTTGAGGCCCAACCTCTTTGCAATAAAAATTACCTTCCGACCAAAATTCTTGTTTGTCAAATCCGTTTGGTTTAATCCCTCATAAACATAAAATCAAACAGCTTGCCCTTGTCCATCATCTTCGGGGACTATTTCAACTATATGCAGATCTTTCGGTAAAAAAAAAAACTGAAGATTTTTTTCACGGGCTGGGTGCAGGAAAAATTTCATGAATATGTATATGAAACACAACATTTACAATAATATTTGGAATTTGTAACTGGTTTACTAGACAGGGGCGTGTAAATATTCTTTTCGCATGCAAAACTCGAATATTTCCGCGCCCGTCTTGTAATTCAGTTACACATCCTAAATGGTATTGTACATACAACTTACATTCTGCTATTAATGTGTATCTTTCATACTGACCTTTTTTTATTGACAGGTGGTCCGAACACTACCTCGGTTACTGATTGGATAAAAGAAAATGTAGTAGATCATGCAACAGTTGGTGCCAGTCCTAGTTATATGTATTCAGGTAACGTATCACATTTTAAGATTATACCTTTTGTTTTACAGTCTGCAATTACCCTTTCTTGATCAGAGATGTGAGAGAATCGTCAGTGAGACAGCAACCAAAAAGCGAAGAAAAAAAAACAACGAAAGGGCAGTAAATTAATTCAACAGGTACTTCAAGAAATCTGCCATCAATATTTAATTGCTGAAACTGACAAAAAATAACGCGTTTTGAAATGAGACAAAAGACAAAGACTAATGAAGTTCCAGTCATATGGACATGAAATCCAATGATTTACAAGCTTTATTAATTTCTAAAACTATCATTACATATAATAAATTCTCTAGTCGTAATAAATGATCAAATAGGAAAGTTTGTGATGAAATTCAAAACAGTTACGCAGTACACACAGACATAGCAAAAAAAAACCATAAAAAATTACAACACAAAAAATTATACGAAAATGATTATGTTAGTCCTTTAAGATACAGTTTGATAAACTGTGCCCACTTACTACGCTTGACTGTCTTAGCTTTGATTAAAATATATCTAAAAAATATTTTTTAAACGCTGAATCGTTGATAACAGTTTTTGGCTCCCCTGGCCTAAAGGGCCAAGTGAGCTTTACTCGTCGTCTGGTAACTTTTACAAAAATATTCTCCTCTTAAACTACTAGGCCAAATTTACTGAACCAAACTTAGCCACAATCATCATTGGGGTATTTAGTTTTTAAAATGTGTCGGATGTCCCCACCTGCCAACCAAGATTGCTGACAAGGCTAAAAATAGAACATAGTGGTAAAATGCAAGTTTTAACCTATTATTTTGAAAACCCCTATAATAGAGAAAACTTGACATGGCAACAATGTTGAGAATGTTGAGACCTATTGTATAATTACGTCAAAACTGTCAGACGACTTCTTATAGGAGTTATCGTCTTAAATGACAAATTTTCCCATTTTTAAAATGTTTGCTTATTATCTCGAAAATTATAATAGATAGTCAGAAACTTTAAATAGCAAAAAAATGATCAGCAAGACAAGATCTACAAATAAATCAACATAGCTGAAATCCTCAGTCGACTCCTTATTAGAGTTATAGCCCTTTAATGACGATTTTTACCAATTTTTGCGTTTTGGCTAAAATCTTAAAAGGTATAATAGATAGATAGAAATTTTAAATAGCAAAAATGATAAGCAAAACATGATCTACAAATTAGTCAAAATCATCAGCAGGATAAGATCTACAAATATTTCAACATGAATGAAATTGTCAGTTTACTCTTAATAGAGTTATTCCTTTTAATGATCTTTTTCACTAAAAAGTGGCCATTGTTGAAGATTCAGGTGAACGACACAGACTCTTCAGAGCCTCTAGTTCAATCATGTTTGAAAAGAATTCTCTTTCAAAAGAGACGTTATGATAACACTATAATGTTTCATAGTATGAAAACATCATACTGTTTTATATCTTAATCAATAGTAATTCCACAGATAAATAGAAGACAAAAATATTTATTTTTCGCTGTTTAAGTATTGCTGTTAGTACTCAGATTTGACAATTTGGGAATAATTACACAAATCAGCAAAATTTCTCATATCGACCTCCTTTCATTACATTTGGAAATTATTTGAACAATAAGATTCATTACACATACCATTTAAGATGGCTATCACTGTCGAATAATGTCATTGTCTTTATTAATATTACTTTTACTGTTAAGTCTGTTTTTTGAGATATCCATTTGACGTGACTCTGTGCTTATGTATCCCGTCATACTTTGAACGACAAAATTATTTTATTTATTAATATTACTTTTACTGTTAAGTCTGTTTTTTGTGATATACATTTGACGTGACTCTGTACTTATGTATCCCGTCATAATTTGAACCACACAATTATTTTATTTATTAATATTACTTTTACTGTTAAGTCTGTTTTTTGTGATATCCATTTTACGTGACTCTGTATTTATGTATCTCTTCATACTTTGAACGACAAAATTATTTTATGTCTACCTGTGCGAATTTCAAACGCGCGATTTTACGCCAGTACTTAAAACCTAAGTCCTTCCATCCTTTATGGGTGGATTTTACATAGATAAATAAAATAGTATAATATAAGCTAAATGAGGATGTTAAATTTGATGTATGCCTTTTTGTGCTTCTTCGTTACATTTGTTTGTTTTTATAGTGATGAAGATGATAACACAATGTTGACTGCTGTAACCCTATTTTTGACACTTTTACCTATTGTGTCTGTTTGTTTTGTTCACGCATCGTTGTCAGTATAATGGAATTTGATGCGACTGTCATACAAGTGAGGGGTTTAGCTAGCTATAAAACCAGGTTCAATCCACCATTTTCTACATAGAAAATGCCTGTACCAAGTCAGGAATATGACAGTTGTTGTCCATTCGTTTGATGTGTTTGAGCTTTTGATTTTGCCATTTGATTAGGACTTATATCTAGTAATTGACTATAAGGGTCGGTTGAAAACAAAACTTTACTACAAAAGAGATGATTTCAGCTTTCCAATTGTGACCTTTTCATTTTTAAACCAAGAGTTCTAAATGGTGCAGTTGAAATTATCACTTTGTAAATTTTACGGACGCCATCGCGGGATGGTTGGCCGTTATGGAATATCCGTTTCACAGATGATATCGGATATGTTCCTTGTGTCGTAACTACAATCCTGTTCCCTTTTCACGAATGTGACCTACCGAATTGGACTATTTGCCGGCTTTGTAATAACATGAGCAACACGACGGGTGCCACCTGTGGAGCAGGATCTGCTTACCCTTACGGAGCACCTGAGATCACCCCCAGTTTTTGGTGGGGTTCGTGTTGAGCAGCTGTTGTACCCCTATTTGTGACATTTTTACCTATTGTGTCTGTTTGTTTTGTTCACACATCGTTGTCAATATAAAGGAATTCGATGCGACTGTCATACAAGTGAGAGGTTTAGCTAGCTTTAAAACCAGGTTTAATCCACCATTTTCTACATAAGAAAATGCCTGTACCAAGTCAGGAATATGACAGTTGTTATCCATTCGTTTGATGTGTTTGAACTTTTGATTTTGCCATTTGATTGGGGACTTTCCTTTTTGAATTTTCCTCGGAGTTCAGTATTTTTGTGATTCTACTTTTTAAAGGACACACATTTTTTAGAGATGAAATTCTACTGTTGATGTTTTCCCTCACTTTCATTTAAATAACAAATTGATCTTAACTCCAAAATAACTCCAAAGTAGATTTTCTTTACATATGCTCGGAATCTTACTAATAGTTTCCTTCTTCTATAGTAAAACACTAAAGAGTACAGTAAAACAATTTATCCATAACATTTAAGAAATTTAAACCAGGTAAATGTGGTATTATTTGCTGTTATACTAGATTCAGTGATTGCAATGGCACAACTTACATCATATCACAAAATTAGCAAGGTTAACAGAACTGTTTTGTTTGCATATCATAGTATGGTGGAAGAACTTTGATTTTGTGCTGAGCAAATATGATCTGACACTTAAAGCCATTGAACCAGATTTAGTAGATGAAATTTGGATATCAGACAGACCCCCACAACCAAGTACTGATATTAATGTTCTAGACATTAAATATGCAGGTGAGAGCCGATTTATCTTTATTAGAAATAAGATTAAACACTAATGTGTTGTTATAAACGCTCAAATGCAAGTAACATCGAATGATATATAACATGTGAAGCTCATTAATAAAGACTGGGTGTTAAAGCCTGGCGAAATGATTTATTTTGATAATCCTTTCCTTATTATATGTTTCTATACAAAGAAAAGATTTTAACTTACTTATTTAACTTTTACCGTAAATGTTATCTGCTCACCGTGCTTTTAAAGTTTGCACCTTTCATTATTTTACTTTTTATTTGAAGTAGCCTTATTTAAGCTTTGCACATAATTTGCGATCTGGCGGAGATAACCAGGATTTACTTTAGGTATGCACCATCCCCAAGCCCTTTGGCTCATAATTTCAAGAATTGCTAAAAAATATAAACTTCTTGACAACTATAAATCATAAACGTATAGATTGGTATAGTTATAGACTGCCATTTATAATTTATTATTTTATTACTATTAATATTTTTTTTCATTGTTACTATTGTTAAACTCAAAAGTAATCTTAACTTTAAAATGATCACAAATCCTTTGATTCATGAGATGTTAACTATGTTTTCTCTCCGGCAAATTTGTCGATAAGATAAGACGAAACCATGTATTTTGTCAAGATAATGACTTACCTAAGTTTGGATATCCAGTTCTATAGTGTTGATGCTTTACAATTATATTATATTAGGAAGAAAATGGGAAGACAAACTGAGAGACATTAGAGAAGACATGACTAAACTAGGAGTTGACGTTCTAGTGACAACCGGGATGGATGAGATAGCATGTAAGTTTTACTCTAACTACAGTCAATTTTCGATGATATGATATTTCAAGTTATTCACAAATAGATGATTATATATATGATGTTGTTTGCTTAACGTTAACTGGCAAATATTCAGGACGAGAACTGATAACGGTAAAAAAAAATTAAAGCAGTAAAACATAAATAAAAAAGAGATGTTTCTGAATAGAAATGAAATAATTTGGTAGCTTATTACCTGCAGTTTATCTATATCATTCAAAAGGGCACGCTCATTTTTTTACGGTAACCATTGATACTTTGACATTCAATTTGACACAAGTACACAATAGACCATTTTTGCCTCAAACAGTAATAAGCAAAGCACCAAAGCTATCAGCAGTATTAATGTTAATACAATAACCTGCATTTCAATAGCTAACACATAGTTTTGGTTAAAAAAAATCTCATTTAATTTATTTACAGGGCTTTACAATATCCGAGCAAGAGACATAGAGTATGAACCTTACCCTTATGCTTTTTCCATTGTGCAGCATCAGACTACCAGGTAATGCAGAGGGTAATTATGTCATTAAACGGAGCAACATTTTAAGTAGCAAATGCATACAAATTTATGATTACAGTCGATTGTGTTTTTTGTGTGTAAATCTATTTGTTATGAGATGTCAAAACCTAAACAACTCTATAATTAAAAAAAAACACGTTTAACACAGTTTCTGACATCGTTCATTGTTTCAACACTATTGAGTAATGCAAATTTCTCATAACTTTTTTTGAGAAGAATGTGAAACACGTTTATTGAAAATTGCATCAATTGGCGTGATCAAACGTATATTGATAGAAAAACCTAATTAGTTGTACAATATTTGCGCCCTTATATGGTTTTATGTGTATATAGATATTATATTTTTGTTCTTTTTCATCGTTTTAGCATTTGAATATAAATAATAGTGGTAGACAGCATTTTCTGCCGTATACCTGGTGTAATTATAATTATTATGCAGTTTTGGGAGAATGCATGTTGCAACGCCATACAAAATTAGAAAATATCGATGAATAATATGTCATTTGGTATTTTGCATTGTACTAACGAGTCATGTTTGGTTGGTTACAAGCTAAATGTTTGGATTTTAACTAATACAAGCTTCCTTTTCTGTATTCTTCACCTATGCTTTTCTGTTAGAAACAAAATGGTATATATAAGAACAGAACATGTATGGCGATATGTTGTACTAAAAAGAAACAACATTAGGTCAATTATTTATGAAATAACAGACAAAAGAATTAATGTGTTATGCCAGTTAAACAAGATTGCGCAAGTAGATAACGATTTTTGACTTTAATAAGTAAGTTTGTTTCAAGTTGGCTGCGGTAAAATTTTCAAGCTTTAAAAAAACTTCTCATGCAAATACACGTGTGAGATGACCATTTCATGTACTTATCAGCTACCATATTACAACTATTTATTGGGTAAAAAAAGTTTGTATATTTTTATATGTCTGCCGATGACTAGCGTATTAACTGTTTATCTTTTCGTTCGTGCGTATGTCCGTCAAGCAGGTTTTGTGATAACTCTGCTGTGTACGATTTTGGCGATTTTTTTTATTCCGGAGTTTCTATCTGTTTATCATTGTAAATTAGGCAGTTGTAATTTTGTATCTTTGTCAAGTTTGCTATATAAGATATTTGAAGACAATATTTTGTTCAAACAAGACAAGTTTTCTGTTGATTTTGAGGATAATTTTAAATGTTGTTACAGTTTACATGCCTCTCTACTCGCTAAACATTGACAACTTGAATCACATCTAATGTTTACTGAAATTGCTTTATTACATATTTTCGAAATCTTTGCACACTGTTTGGTACTGTGAAGATAAGATTTTTAAAGTCTGATAGTTTTAAGATTTTAGTTTTATAGTAATGGGAGGTTTGATCGTTAAAATAGCGTATGAGCATTCAAGTTTGCTGTACTGGATGTTAATAGAATTGTTATCCCATTTTCGGGTCTATTATGGCAAGTCCGCCTTTAAATGTGATGTTTTCGTTTTTCCCCCCTTATTTTAGGTCCAGGGGTATGACTTTGTTCATCATAATATAGACAATTTTGGTGTGTCGAGCAAAGTCCTCTTAGTCATCTTATTCCATTCAATTTATCAATCTATTAATGTCCCCTCCTTTTCAATATTCATATTCTTGAATATCCGGATGTTAAATGACTAAATTTTTAAAAACAGAGCAAGGGGCGTATCATGCCTTCATGGCGTTGCAGTATCAGTCAGTACCTTTGGAAGCTGATAACGTGGCTAACTTTGCAATACAAACAAATTCATTTTATTCTAAAGTTTTGACAATACAAAGAATATTTACACGTACCATTTTATACACAGTAATGAGGTATGAAGACAAGAGTTATATAAGTATATGAACATGAAGAATGTGTTATTTGTTTAAACAAAATCTGTTTACAGTTTATATATAATGGACAGTAAATCAAAGCTGTCCCGTCCTAGTTCAGATCCAGAAAGCTTAGTTACTTTGAAAGAACATCTGAAGACGAATAATGATGGGCAATGTTCCAGATCCTGTGTGCAAGTAATTAACACTAATAATGTTTTTGTGTGAGATAGATAATGATTGATATGTAGTTGACCGTGTGCATATTCATAGATATCAAAATGTTTTGTCATTAATTTTGTTTTCAAGGCTTCAATGATACAATTAGTGATAGTGAGTTTTTCATTTTATCGTAAACAGTTGAATTGATGTGTAATACGAACAAAGGATATCGATCTATTTAGTTTCCGTGTAATATCGATGTTATTAGTACTCATTATGTTATTAGTCTGTTTTGTTCCCGTGATTATAACTATCTAATAACCGTGATGATATCGATCTGTTTAGTTCCCGTGGAGGTTTTGACCTGTCCAGTATCCGTGATTATGTGTATGATATTTATCTGTGTAATTCCCGTGGTGATATCGATTTATTTAGTACTCTTGATTAAATCGATCTGGTTATTATCCATGATGATATCGATATGTTTTGTTACCGTGATGATACCTGTTTTATTGTTTATAACACTTATGATATCGGTTTCAGTCGGTGCAGGAATCGTGTTCAAAGGATCGTATTCAATAGAACGAATTAACCCTTTAACTGCGTATCGAGATTAAAGAAAACAGATTTATTTTTACGTAGATTTATCTGAAATCCATAAAGCTTATTAATTGTGAAAATATACCCTTCTATTCTTTTTACGTAAGACACTGACCAAAATCCTTTAATTCCATGAATTAAGATAATGCAACAGTTCTGGGCAACTATGATATCAAAATAAAATATAAATTAGCACATAGAAGAAGACACAACACTGTAAAAATTCATTTGACATTAACAAATGTAAAATTACAAGTTCGTACAATGATCAAAATAGTAAAAAATCAAAACACAAAACCAACAAACTTGTTTAATGCTTCGATCTCATTAATGATATAACTTTCTTATCCATTAAAATGGTTTTTCATTGGATCTTTTTTCAAGACCAAGGAATATAACCATTCCAGTTTCACTGAGGACATTGTCAAAATAGCTGGACGGAAAGACATAAAGAAAATCATGGTGTCGTTTTCCTGCAATTACAAAATATATGCTTCGATTCCTGAGGTAAAGTATTTATTCTTAATACAACCAAGAGCTGATGATACGCAGGAAAATATTACAAAAATGCACTATGAATTGTTTTCGAGGTTCGTTCGGTCATATAATTGGAGCATTACTTCACTGCGATATTGTTACTGTCCCAATGATTAAGTTCAAATCTTTTATTCATTATCGCATGGAAATCATCATTCACGAAATAATCCTAATGATATTAACTTTAAACATATATGTACAACTATATTTCATCAGTTTGTCATATTTTGCTTTGATTATTCTCTTTTACACCTATCTAAGTTTTTCAACGATGTATGAAAAAAACCCTTTCTTTCAGGATCCGTTGCCGGTATTATCGTCAGTTCACAGAAATTAATAGAATGTAAAGAATTATAAAGATGCCGTCTGTTCCTTTGTGTGAAAATGTATTTGTTGCTGTAGTGATATGCCGTAAATTCAAAACAGAATAATTTGGAGCTGGAAAAGCAAATATACATATTTTAGAGTACGCCGATGTAATCCCGGATAATTGTCCAGAATATTTGAAAGATCGACTGGAACAAATTAATTATGAGGCAGCACGTATAGTTACTGGGGCTACTAAGTTAACAAGTCTACAAATTCTTCTAAAAGAGACCGGATGGGAAACTCTCAGGGAAAGGCGAAAAAATCACCAAGCTTATTTTGTTTCATCAGATGGCTAACAATAACTCTCCAGCCTATCTTTTAAATCTAGTCCCTTCCAACTTTGGCCAATCACATTCGTATCGGACACGCAATGCAGGAAATGTGCCTCACATGCCTGCACGAACGAATTATTATCATAACAGTTTTCTTCCTTCTACTGTCCGTTTTTGGAACGAGATTCCAATTAATATCAGAAATTCTTCTTTATATATATTTAAGAAGTATTTGAAGAAAACTTGGGTTGTCCCAAAATATTTTTATAGTGGTAGTAGACTAGGACAAATTTTGCACACTAGAATTAGAACTGAGAGCAGTGGTCTGAATGAACATTTGTATAGAAAAAATTTAGTTACTGATCCTATTTGTAAATGTAGACAGATTGAAACATCTGAACACTTTTTATTGCGTTGTCCGCAATACCAATTACTTAGAGAGTTTATGCTGAGTAATTTGTCATGTCATAACTTACTGTATGGTAATCCTTTGGTGTCCGACATTGAGAATTCTGATAACTTTCTCATTCAAGATTTTATTCTTAAAACAAATAGATTCGTGTGAATTTCATATGCATGCATTGAGATATATAATTATGTATAAATCAAATTGTCGTTAATTTATATTTATATTTATACCTGTGTAGTTTGATAGCACTGTAGTTCAGTTGTGAATTTGGTCAACAAATGCTTCTTATTTCAGTTAAAAACATATTTCTGACGCCATCCATCTATTATTAAATCATATGGGAGAGGAATTTGTAAAAGTGAAAATTCACTTGTTTTCCAATCCTGTCATATTGTAATGTTTACGTTATTATTTTCAAAATAAAATATTGTTTACACTAAATATATATCACACACAAAAATTAACAGGAGTTTATTGAAAGGAACATTTTGCCTAAATTGTGTTAAATTATGTCAGTATGTTTCTTTTTTTCTCGTACATACAAGACTTACTCATATTGTAAATTAACCTAATTTTTTGTATGAACATTTTGCACTTCATCTCCAAAGTAATACCGATGAAATAAATGCATTAAAAAATTTTAAAAAAGAAATGGTATTTTCAGGAAAAAGTATACCAGGGAATTCCACCAACGCTTGCCCACAAAGCAAGGAAGAATGACGTAGAACGGATGGGCATGAGACACGCTGTTGTAAGAATAATCAATAATAAAACCACACAGAATGACTCAATTCAGACCGAGATCATGTAACATCCAAAAGAGATTTACTTATAATTATATTTTTTTGCACGAAATAGCCACACTGTTGCGAGTTACAATAAGAGGTAGCATTAGTTCACCAATGTTCTTATAAATCACTTGTTACAAATAAAGTGAATGGAAATATTAGCAACAATGTATTTTTATTACAATCATTTTTTGTTTTTATTGTTGCATTTCAGTCTCATTAAATTCAATATTCGATCAATTTTAATACAAAATATATTTTTATTGCATTTATTTCGTAGCTAGTGGATTCCGTGAAACTGATTTCATTGTTTGCTCGAATTGAAAAAGAGGTATGTATACCAATTATGTAGTGTGTAAAAACTCATCAAAGATACTAGGCTTATAATTGTTTACACAAGACGTGCATTTAGTCTGCATAAGGTTCATAATCTAAAATCGAATCTTAAAAGTTGGAAGGCCAAACAAAACACAAAATTTGAAGAGCATCGCAAAACCAAAAATTTCAAAAAAAGTTATGCCAATTAAAAGAAATAAACGCTAACATTTAATAAACAAAAGGAACATGTGATAAAAAATTTAGAAATAAAAAGCAAGACGAAGGACTCGCTATTGTGATGCATGATACAAGATATAATACATGGAACATTTTAAATATTGTCATTTTCTGATATGTATAGAGAATGCAATAAAAACCGTAGCAAAAAGCAAGGATCTAACTATACACAGGTAAATTTCACTCTCGTGATTTGAGATTCACGTGAATTTCACCTCAAAAGAGCTTATACGTGAAATTCAAGTGAACTGATTTCACGCGAGTTTCACCTGAATCTCATGTGAAATTCACGTGAATTTCACGTAAAAATCCATTGATTTTTTTCAAAATAAAGTTTTTCAAATAACATCTAAATTTTCAAATTTAATAAAATCATGAAAAATACCATCTTTCTTGGTAAAGTTAACGTAAAATAAACATGAAAATCTCCACGCGAGATTCATCTACGTGAAAATTTTCACGCGAGTTTCACGTTTAGCTCGTTTAATGCGAATTTCACGTGAGCAAAATTTGCCTGTGTACAAATCCGTTATAAAAGCAATAAAAAAACAGTATAACATGAGAAGTCTCTTATTGGAGCTTTCTGTAATTGTTGTGTTTTTCTCACAACTCACGTTACTAAATCATGTAATATACTAATGATTTGCTCATTGTCTATAATTTAAGACAGAATGTTAATCTCATGATGCATTTTTTTTTTTATAGTTTCTTGTGTCGTTTGGTTGTTGCCTCATGTATGGTATGCCTCACTTCACTCAAAGTGTGTTAATAAAGCTCACCTTCAAACATGATTGTATGTAAAAATGTGTCTTAACTCTTCGATTTCAATACGCATGTGTGTATTTGTCTATGATGAGTTTATTTAATATCCACAAATATACCAAATATAATATTTTATAAAACTACCTCATTTTTATTAACGATTATTACTGTTTTTATTCTGTTTTAAGGTTTCTCAAGGAATTCCATGGACAGTGTACAAAGCAACTATAGAGGCTATACGTGCAAGAAGGTACTGATCTGAAACAAAATACTCCTATTCTGTTATGAACTATTTTATTTCTGTTATCTTTCCTTAAATGATGCGGTAGGATGAGTATTATCAACTAGATTTTGACAAGAAATAAAACCTCCGTCCGCCACAGTTTATATCTTCTTCACAATACATCATTTTTTTTTATCTACTGAATTACTTGAACAAACGACATTTGTAGATTTCTACCACATATTCAATCAATATCTTAATTTTAAATTGTACAGCCGAGAATTTTAGAAAAAAAATCCAACCTACATTACTTGCCATTCATCGTATTCATATCACAACATAGTATTCTATTTAAATACTGCTTATAACATTATATATATCGGAAGACACCCGGAAAATCGCGGGTCTGTGAATTGGATTTCCATGTTTATTTGAAAATTCAATTAATTCCATATAGAGTTCAAATGCTTTATCAATACTTCATGGACTCAATTTTACTAGTATTAGATCAAACATATTTTGCTTGAGAACTTTATTTGCGTTGTAGTTTGACATTCTTGGTTGGGTTTCTTTATCAATCTTGTTGCATTTAGGTATGATTTTTTTCTTCTTATTCTTGTATTTAAAATGTTGGTTTTAAGTGATGTTTTTACTTGTATTTAATCTTAATGAAAGTGAATAGTATATATTACCTAATTACCTAATAGAATAGATTAAGTGGAATGTACTATAATTTTTTAATCGTACGACTTTAATTGTCAAAAGGAAATAGGTTCGTAGCCGTGTTCTAGAGACATTTTCTACATAGGTTCATTAATTAGTTTACTCAAATAAAATATTAATAAACCATATTTCAGAGAGCTGGATCTGTACAGGGACGAGAGCTTTTTAGCCTTGGCAGGCAGTGGTATATCAACTGTACCCCTACTAGCGTATCCTGTAGAAAATGCCTCTAGACAACTTGCTACGACTGAATCATTCCTAATGGACTCTGGAGGACAGTATTTGTAAGTTGTCAAAAACCTTTACATTTTTAAATAAATGAATTCGTATCATGTAATAAAAATAATTTACGACACACTGCACGTGTTTCTGGTATTAATAAGAAACTAAGGTTTGGAATTTTTAACCCTTTCATACAAAGTTGACCTTGGGTGGATTCAGCCATTTTTTTAGCTGCCTTTTGTTCATGTATCTCCTCAAGTATTTAGAACTAATAAAAGAGGAGATGTTGTATGATTGCCAATGAGACAACTATTCATGAGACTAAATAACGCGGTTGTAAACAATTCTAGGTCACCATACAGCCTTCAACAATGAGCAAAACCCGATACCGTTTAGTAAGATCTGAAAGGTCAGGGTATTACAAAATGTAAAACAATTCAAAAGAGAAAACTAACAGCCTGATTTATGCTTGTTTCCAAATGTATTCGTTTGAGCGTTTCTGATAACGGTAAATTCTGAAAAGCGCTTCGGACGCGGACGTATTAAAATCGTACATTGATATTTTTCATTATCTAGTAAAGTGTCGAAACCGCTAGTTGTGGACTGCTAGTCCTCAAGTGTATCATCAGGCCAGTAGTCAGAGCTTCCTGGTTATACGATTTATAATAAACCTTTATTAAATTCTTCGTTGATAAATTTAGAAATTATTTAAAAACAGAGGTTCCAACTCCCTCAAGTAAAGTTCACTTATATTCTTTTTATGTTCCAATTGGCCATGAAATCCCTCAGGTATTCAAGTATTTATACATACATACATGCCATTCAATTTTTGGGGGGGAGTGGGGGGATGTCAGTGAAAGGGAAATTCGTGAAAGCGTTTCGGGCGCACTGAAATAGTTAAGTAAAATTGAGAATGGGAAATGGAGAATATGTCAAAGAGACAACAACCCGGCAAAAAAGCAGATAACAGCCGAAAGCCACCAATGGGTCTTCAACGCAGCAAGAAAATCCCGCACCCGGAGGTGGTCCTCAGCTGGCCCCTAAATAAAAATGTGTACTAGTTCAATGAAAATGGACGTCATACTAAAAAGTTTTTGTTTTCCCACCTTCATCAACTGCCCAAGAAAAAAATTTTGCAGCAAAGTCTAAGTATAAAACATCTGAGTGCACATAAACCAAAATTGAGTAAAGAGAACTGCAAAAAAACTTTTAAGGTGAGCCGTGCTTGAGGTAGTTGCAAAATTACATAATTATATGAGCTGGTAATTTACAGACAAAATGTTTCATTCAAATCGGTACTGGCCACTGGGCGGAGCGAACCGTCTGAAACTAATAGTCAAAATGCAGCTGCACCAACCCACTGATATAGCTCCGACATATAATGTTAATGTATCATATGATTTCCGTGCGCACAACATATATTTCTGGAATTGTGAACCAACATTGACAACTTTACGAAATAGTGAGATATTAAGCCTCAAATCATTTGATATAAAAATAAGGAGATATGAGACTAATTTGGTAGCTAAAAATGATTTATCAATACAGTTGTAAGATTATAGACATTGTGTTTTACTATTTGACTGACAACTGAATATGATAATTATGGGCATTACCACATGTCGAGGCGATGGATACATGGGGATTCGTTCCAAAAGAAGCAAGACGGGATAAGCGTATTCTGCTGCAATGCGAATTCACATATATAGAAAATGAATCAGGAAAGATCTCTCCAAACGAATATCATTGTAACAATTGGTTATTGACTGCCCTACATGAAACTTAATAAATGTACTTAAAAATGAAGCGGCGCGTTTAGTCCTGTTTACGGATATACCCTTTTGTTGGAAGGTATAGTTGTCTGTGAAATGTAATGATGTGATACGATGGTTTCCATGAAACTATTAACGTCATATAACAGCTATGGTGAGATGACATCCAACATTCAATCACATAATAAACAACGCGGTTTTTATGTCTTAGCTTTTATTTTATTATTTTTTTCTCATGTTGATCGTTGTATTCTTATGTGTTGTTTCGGCGTTTCGAATTTGTTGAATTGTTTTTCCTTTGCTCACACAGCGGTTATCTTCTTTGTTGCCTTTTACGACTGATAAATGTTTCTTTTTCTACGAAGCGTCTCCTACGAAAACAGGTTTAATTGGAGTGTGATGTGTATCTTGCTTTGGATTCTCACTATGGTAGTTCTTGTTTGTGTCGTGTCTAGTGATCAATGAATTAACGACACAGAGAGAATATTTGTTCCTGTCTTCGAAAATTTGGACGATATTTCCAGCTTTAATCATTTGTGAAGTAGTTCCGGTTTGGATATGAAATTCCTGTTGCCATATCAAGTATTCTAATTTCCAAAGACGCCAGCATAACTGTTCAATAAGATGTGCTTTGCAATGCCGTTTCTATCAGACAATTTTTTCATTTCATTAATGCCCTGTTTTAGAAAAAAAAGTGCATTTGTAATCTCCTCATATAATAAATGTGAAGCGTGGTCGAATCCAATGCATTAACAAGTGATACTATTACTTTCAGGGATGGAACAAGTGACATGACCAGAACATTCCATTATGGTATTCCATCTGATCATGAACAGGTTTGTTGATATTATTTGAAAAAAGGTGCTTTCTTTTTTTGTAGACAGAAAGTTTAAGCAATATTTTGCTTAATAGTTCATATTATTTGCAGATATAAATTTTTTTAACAATAATTGGTCTTTTTTGTTCCGGTTCATGAATGTGTAAATGAAATGGCACGACTTGGGACCAAACTGGCCGTAATAATCAAAGTATATCTATCAGTAAAATGTTGAATCTATGCACTTTGATAAAACGTAGCAATTTTTGTATAAAGCATTTCCTTTTAACAGGATAAAGAACCTTTCTATGAAAGTGAATACATTTGAATAGCAAAGTTTCATATATTTAAAATTGAGAATGGAAATGGGGAATGTGTCAAAGAGACAACAACCCGAACAAAGAGCAAAAAAAAACAGCCGAAGGCCACCAATGGGTCTTCAACACAGCAAGAAAATCCCGCACCCGAAGGCGTGCTTTAGCTGGCCCCTAAACAAAAATGTGTACTAGTTCAGTGATAATGGAGGCCATACTAAACTCCAAAACATATATAAATGAACTAAAATTAAAAATCATACAAGACTAACAAAGGCCAGAGGCTTTTGACTTGGGACAGGCGCAAAAATGCGGCGGGGTTAAACATGTTTTGAGAGATTTCAACCCTCCATCCATACCTCTAGCCAATGTTTTTGTATACGTACAGTAAAACTCAGTTTAAAAGAAGTCCGAGTCCGATGTCAGAATATGTAACAAAAGAAACTAAGCAAAATGACAATAATACATAAATTAACAAAGGACTACTAGCAGTTACTGACATGCCAGCTCCAGACCTCAATTAAACTTTGACTGTTTTTGTATTACATTCATATGAATCACATACCTTCCAATCTTGGCCCAGAAATATTCACACAAGAAGTACTTTTATATAATTATCTTCTAGTTAGTGACAAGCAATCCGTCGCTCGTGCTCTATGTGTTTTTTGATAAACGACTCGTGAAATTACCCTTTTTGAAAAAAAGCAAACAAAACATTATGACTATTCTTCAATGATACTGAAACTTGTTTTGGCACAAATGTTCAATTTTAGTCTATACTACTACACATTGGGTTTGTACAATATGTTACATGTAGCAATTAGTGACAATGTTCTATCGCCTGTCCAATCATGATGACTTTGTATAGGAGAGCGTTTTAAATGCAAAACGATTTCAAATTAATGATTGTATCTTCAAAGTAAACTTAATATCAAATGTAGTTTAATATTCGTATAAACACAGTTGAATATGTAATTTATTTCGATGCAGGTAAATGCCCATTACGATTTACATCGCAAGTCTTTGGTGACAAATTGCACTATATATTTATTTGTATCAAAAGAATATTAGATTTTTTTATTTTTATTTTTTGTGTTTTTAACGCCACTTTTAAGCACCGCTTTTGGGCTATTTCGTGGCGGCCAGTTTTTATTTGTGGAGGAAGCCGGAGTGCCCGGAGAAAACCACCGACCTTCGATAGGAAAACTGAAAATCCTAATCAATTAAGATTGGAGTCGAGTGCACCCGCACGAGCGGGGTTCGAACTCACAACCTCAGTGTTGACTGGCTAGTGATTACAGTAGTAACTACTTAGACCACTCGGCCACCGAGGCCTCAAAAGAAAATTAGAAATCTTCAAGCCGAATGTGTACCAATATACCATACAAATACTGTATTCGCTGTATTCTTTATCCACGCATTGTCACTGTGTATCATCGCCACCGGAAATTGGGTACTAACTGGCGAAGCGGAGAGAAATGGAAAAAAAAGTAAACAAGGTAAGAATTCATTCAATTTAAAGCATTTCTACTGATTTGACGAGGGTACCGCTTAAGAAATGATTTTCTGATATATAATTCTTTAAATTATTAGGCCGAAAAGTACAAAATTGAGACAATATTTTGTGTTATACTCCAAATCTTGCCATTAGTACCTGAAAATTCCGAGGTCGATCGTCCTCTGTCGCCCCATTGGCAAGATATTCAACTTTTTTTCATTATTTTTCCAGACACTTTTTTAGATTATTATAGTGTGGCATCATATTTACTGATTTGTTGTCAAAATGAACGTTTTTAAAGAATATAGACCATAAAAAATAAAGTCTAGGGTACGGCAACTTGCTCATGTTGACAAATTTACTGTATGGCAACTTGTTTTCAACTGTATGGCAACTTGCTAATTTCAAAATATTTATTTAAGTATTATGTTCAAATATCTAATTATGCATTTGATAAAAATACAATTCGCTTGACACCATTTAAGATGTATACAAAATATAAGGCTTGAACACAGTCCTATTACATCTTTTACATACCTGATGTATACAATATGAATACGGCATATACAAAAGCTGGCAAATGTTGTAGCTTTCGGAAAGGCATGTCACTGTTTTACTGACCTGTTGTTCTGCCCTGACGTAGCGTTAAATGTTACCCATGTCCGCCCGACCCGTCTCTCCCGTCCGTCCAGAAAGCCCCAATAATTGGTTTCCGTTCTCTAACTTTAGTATGCCTTAACCAAATGTTTTAAAACTTACACGAAATGCTTATCACCACAAAACACAGATCAAGTTATAAATTGGGTAGCGTCACTGTTACCATTCTTGAGTTATTCCCTTTTATAAATGAAAAAAAGCTAAATCTGTCGTTTTTGTTCTCAAACTTTACATTGCCTCAACCAAATGTTTTAACCATACAACATTAGTCAGCATTCGCATATAAGTGATGAACATTTCGGGGATGGGTTGTGGGTGGAGGAAAGGAGGTAATGGCAGGAGAATTTTTCCGCATTGAATATTTAGAACCATTAAGTGGATGAATTCTCTTTCAACTTTCAGATAAAATGAAATATAAATAAATTATCATTCTCTGCAAAAAAAAATGTTGTATTGCTACACCACGGCACCATGTTAAGGGAGGTTTGAGTGCTCACAAACATGTTTAAGCCCGCCTCAATATATATATGTGTCTGTCCCTGGTCAGGAACATGTAATATAGCGGCTGTCGTAAGTTGCTGCCTGACATATTTGTTTATGATTTTGTCATAAATTAGGCAATTTTGATACGGTATGGGTTTTGTTCATTGTGTATAGTAACCAATAGTTGGTCAAATCTATTTCATTTGGACTTTGTTTGAAAGTCCTCTCAGTGAAAACCATTCCACGTCTCCTTTTTCAATTAATGCTATTGTCTTATTTGTAAAAGGCAGATACAGCCAATATATTAGAATAAAGAACATTAATTTTCTAAAAAAAAACTTCATCTCTATATAGTAAGAAATGAACAAGCTCGGTGGCTAACACTGTTTAAATTAAAAAAAATATTAACCTTAGATTAATCATTTTTGGAAAGAATGAAAGAATAATCCGATACAAGGGAAACAAATCCGGCTGTGGCTACGGCATAAACTATTTATATAAACTTTCTACTTGAGAATAAAGATGACCTTGTATGAAGTTTTTTTTGGTTTTCATCTTAATATTATATACTTATTAATACAATTCACAAAAGCTAGCATCTTCGACTTGTAAGTTTAAAGAATTATAATGAAATAACAACTTATAAGGACAGGTTGAAATATTTTTGAATCCTGATGGTGCATAGTCATAAATTCTTTTGGAAAAATCCACGTAAATTTAAATGTTGATTTGATAGCGTTCATTTATTTATTTGCCCTCGTAAACAGTTTTGTTAAAATACCGAAATCGGTAAATTCTTATCGTGAACGAATAAGACGGGTACACCATTTTACATTCAGACGTGCTTAAGTTGCACTTTTTTCTTCGTATTAAGAAAAATTATTTTAATTTTAGCATCTATCTAAAGATTAGATTATTTACACACACACAAAAATAGGGCTTACTGTTGATTTTGAAACTCTATGAATTCACATTTATATTCAACCAAACAGATAGGCCGAGATCCATACCTTTATAAGTTTCAAAACAGAGAAGGTGTGTTTGAAAACAAATAATCACGTACTGCTATATCTTTTAAGGCAAATGCAAGTCTTACTTGTATTAATTATATAATTTTAATTGGCACAATATCACATTAAAATTTACTGAGAAATATTATACATAGTAATCATGAAAATGTACTACTGTAACAATGAAAATTCGGACGAATACACTCCTTTTCACTACCCCTCCATCTACTCATTTAAGTTTAGGCCAAACAGCCTTAGCAACAGTCTTTTATTATTTTTGCCCTGTAAATAAAAAGATTGATTGAATTTACTTAAACTAAAAATAAATACAATCTTATTTTCAATAAGAAACAAGCAAATTAATTCGAAACGCAATTCATGATTTATTTCTCCTAATTTTCAATGAAAACAAAGTATTTTCTTCACTTTTCTTTTAACAAATTATTCATTTCAGAAATTAAAAAAATAAACAATAAACAATGTTGAAGACCGTACCTTGACCTATAATGGTTTACTTTTATAAATTGTGACTTGGATGGAGAGTTGTCTCATTGGCACTCATACCACATCTTCCTTTTTCTATTTAACCCAGCACATTCTTTATGTGTCTGTCCGAAGCCACGAGCCTGTAGTTTGGTGGTTGTCGTTGGTTCATCTCTATCATATTTGTTATTTTTCGTTAATTGTTTTGTTATGAGTTAGGCCGTTAGTTTTCTTGTTGAATCCTTCCACAATTTTCATGTCGGGGCTTTTTATAGCCGACTGTAAGGTACGATTTTTCGTTGTTGAAGGCCAAACGATAGCATATAATTGCTTACATACACTTTATTTGACCCTGGTGGATAGTTATCTTATTTGCAATCATACAACATCTACACTGTTTATATTAAAAAAAAACAGCGCCAACAAAAGATGAATGGTCGTTTTTTTTTATTGAACTTACAAAATTCCACCCTGACAATAAATAAGACAACAGTCGTTAGTATTATAACGATATATGAATGTATCTAGGAATATGGTTGAAAACAACCTTTTTGTCTTTAAAAACACAAAGTCAAATAGAGGTACGCAACGACGACTTCTGAACGAAATTAACGGCATATATTTTATAATATTTGATAAGTAGTTTATTTTGTATATTTGTAAGCCGGTAAAGCTTTGATACAGCCAAAATTTCGTCACTTGATATTATCTAAACAGTGATTAATTTGATCTTTAAATTGCAATATATTGCAAGACGCCGTACAGACAAAAATTGTTATTTTGCAATTCGCCGTACAACGTCCTGCAATTCGCCGTACAATAAACAAACAATGTTTTGGTCCATATTCTTTAAAAACATATTTATGACAACAGATTTCAGTCAATACGATGTCACATTATCATTATTTAAAAACGTGTCTGGGAAAAAAATGAAAAACAGTTGAATATCTTGCCAATGGGGCGACAGAGGACAATCGACCTCGAAATTTTCAGGTACTAAGTGGCAAGATTTGGAGTATAACACAAAATATTATCTTAATTTTGTACTTATCGGCCTAATAATTTAAAGAATTATATATCAGAAATTCATTTCTTAAGCGGTACCCTCGTCAAATCAGTAGAAATGCTTTAAATTGAATGAATTCTTACCTTGTTTACTTTTTTTTTCCATTTCTCTCCGCCTCGTTAGTACCCAATTTCCGGTGGCGATGATACACAGTGATTGTGTATGTTTTGGTCTACTCGATAATTTCGATTGTTATAAACTGTAGACAATGTCTTGCTCTTTTACCTGTCTACCTTGTAATCTGATAAATGCACGAATTTGTTTGCGTATACTTGTGTGTCCAAGGTTGAACAAAGTCTTGTCTTTTTAAAAACGATTATTCTGCAAATTACAGGCTCCATTTTGGATTGAATGGGTTGACTTCGTGAGAGCGTGCATATTTTAAAACTATCGTATGCTCACAAACGATCATGTATAAAATAGTTCTGTTGAATATTCATGTAAATGATGATGATCACGATGACTGCCATACTATCGCTTGGGTTGTTTTTTACAGGAAATCTATACAAGAGTACTGATGGCCCATCTCAACCTAGCTATGCACAAGTTTCCTGTGGGTCGAACCGGTATGTTTCGTTTAATTGATACAACACATATAAGTTATTTGTTGAATAAAGGTTTAAAGAGTCTTCGTTAATTTTGATTGATGTTTGCTTAAGATCTAGCGGCAAATATAAAATGCATATTCAGGAAGATGAATTTAAAGCGACAATAGTTTACCGATGTTCAAATCTTGTAAATCGATTAAAAAATGACAAATCAAAGAAACAAAGAAATACTGAGGGAATTGCAAGAGTTTCAAAAGAAGCGAGAGCAAGTGCATCGACAAGGTAAGCGTATCCTGTTATGCGTGCATCTTCCGCCATATGCAATTCCACACTCAGTCAATATCACTATCGAGAATATGACAATATCAGTAAAATCAATAAAACATGTTGCTAGTGAGCTGAGACACCGTCACATCATATCGGTCAACCAATTCGTGATAGTGACCATAAAACTAATATTTCCGAATAAAATGTATGTGTGTAGTATTGATTTCAACTTTACATATTAATGAGTTGTTAACCATATGACCCTACTCAGTTGCATTATTTTGACTTCGAGGCGATATTTTTTTGTTTTTATACTACCTGACACAATAGTCACAACATAGAAAGACACACTATAAAATATCAATTGTAATGGTTTAACTCAATTAAAAGACATATTAACAAAAACAAGTGAACATACACTGAACGAATAAATTTGATCTATTACACAATGTAAATACAAAATTAATAAAACAAGGGGTTAGATATAAAACAATATCAGAAAGACAACCATAACCTTGGACAAAATGCCGCCAAATAAATTAACGTAGCTGTTTAGCAGGAATTAGGGGCAAAAAATAAGCATTTTTCATGTTTCAGGACAATAATTTGTGTATAAGAGTATAGATTTCTATGAAATTTTAGCACAAGGTTCCATACTTTAAAGGGAAAATTGGGATTGAATTTTGGGGGGTCATGGCTCAAACCGTTTAATAATTAGGGGTCGAAAAGGGGCCAAAACAACTATTTTCTGATTTGCAGGCAATTACTTGAGTATAAGTGTATGGATCTCAATTAAATTTTAGCACAAAGTTTCATATTACAATAGGAATGTTGGGGTCTATTTTTGGGGTTAATATAGTAGCTGTTCAGGAATTAGGGACAAAAAGGGGGTAAACAAAAACTATTATTTTAATGGTTTACTGACAATTACTTGAGTATAAGTGCATGGGTCTCTATTAAATTAAGCACAAGGTTTCATACCACAATAGGAAGTTTGGGATTTATTTTGACGGTTATTGTCGTAGCTGTTTTGTAATTAGGGGCCAAAAAGGGGTCAAAAACAAGCATTTTTCATGTTTCAGGACAATAATTTGTGTATAACAGTATGGATCTCTATGAAATTTTACCATTAGGTTCCATACTTCAACAGGAAAGTTGGGATTGATTTTGGGGTCATGGCCCAAACTGTTTAGGAATTAGGGGCCGAAAAGGGACAAAAAAAACTAGGATTTTCTAGTTTCTGGACTATAACTTGAGTATAAGTCTATGGATTGCCATTTAAATGTTCCAGAAGGTGTTATACTTTAAAATGAAAGTTGGGATTGATTTTGGGGGTTATGACCCTAACGGTTTAGGAAAAAAGGTCCAAAAACAATACTTTTGTAATACTTTGTACAAATTCCTGATTTTTAGACTAATTTCAATGGAGTTCAATTCAAAGTTTTGAATTCTTGGGGTTCTTAAATATGCTGAATCTAACCGGGTATTTGGAATTTGGATGTTATGACCTGTTTTTGAATTGATCCATATTAAGGTCCAAAGGGTCCAAAATTAACCTTTCTTTGATTTCATCAAAAATTGAATTATTGGTGTTCTTTGATATTCTGAATCTAACCGTGCATTTAGATTTTTTATTTTGGGGCCTGTCTTCAAATTGGTCCACATTAAGGTTCAAATGGTCCAAAATTAAGCTTTGTTTTATTTTTAAAAAATGAGTTTTTGGGGTTCTTTGATATGCTGAATCTAAGCGTGTATATAGATTTTTGATTTTAGACACAGTAATCAAGTTGGTCCAAATTAGGGTCCAAAATTAAACTTTGTTTGATTTCATCAAAAATTGAATTGTTGGTGTTCTTTGATATGCCCAATCCTACAGCATTTTAGACTTTTGATTTTAGGCACGGTTTTCAAAGTTGGTCCAAATTGGGGTCCAAAATTAAACATTGTTTGATTTCATAAAAAATTGAATTGTTGGTGTTATTTGATGTGCCCAATCTAATAATGTTTTAGATTTTTTATTTAGGGCCCGTTTTTTTTAAAACTGGCCCACATTAAGGTCCAAAGTATCGAAAATTAAACTTTGTTTGATTTTAACATTTAAACTCTGTATCAATGATGAATGATATTTTCGAAATTGTTTTTTTTTTAATTTTTTTTTGGTATTTTTTTTGAAGAAATTCGTGGTAGGTTTGTTTGTTATTCTGTATAAATTAATTTTCAGACTGTTATATATATTTTTTTTTATGAAGCAAACCCCTTTGAATACTTAGATAATATTGTCCATTAACAAATAAATAAATTAAATTCTTGGTGTACTTGGATATGCTGAATCTAACCGTGTATTTAAATTTTGGATATTGGACCATAATAGGTAAAATCCAATTTCAAATTTTTCAGTTCTTTGACCACATTAGTTCTGTGACAGAAACCTATGATGTGTCAAATATTTAATCACAATCCAAATTCAGAGCTGTATCAAACTTTAATGTAGTGTCCATACTTGCCCCGACTGTTCAGGGTTCGACCTCTGCGGTCGTATCCAGTTCCGCCTAGCGGAGCATTTTATTTCACCTATTTGGAGGAGAAGCTGCTTTTCTTTGGCCAATGAAAGCCACTACCTCCTGCACGGTAGGTGAGCACGGTACCATCTCATTGAGAATAGTGTACTTTAATTTTTAAAATTTGCAAAAGTATCACCTCTTCCAAAATTTACAAACATTTGATATACTTATATAATATGAATATAAAAATAAGGACATGAGGTATGATTGCTAATGAGACAACTATCCACCAAAGTTTAACTAAAGTGGATGTAAGCAATTATAGGCAACCGTTCGGCCTTCAAGAATGAGAAAAACCCATACCCTATAGTCGGATATAAAAGGCCCGACATATGTTTGTTAACTTCGAATTTTTTGTGTGTGCAAATATTGTTATGTTTGTCTTGGTAACAATCCAATATTTGGATTTTACGCCAATGAATAATTTGAATGTGAATCCAAGGCGGTGTTTATTGAAGAAATTTAAGGTAACACGATACCAAATGACTTTACGTTATGAGTTATCGTTCATAGATACCCGTCAATGCAGCAGGTTCCATCGTGTTTCTGGCGGTTAACGACACAATACATATAGGCCCTACGCTGTACTTAAATCGCGAACAATTAAAATAATAAAATAACCTTTTATCTATCATGGTAAACATTTTTAATTGTAACTTTGCATAGATGTAGAGTGCCGAGAGATTTCATACACAAGAATTGCGGACAGCTCAGCTGGATGGCTTTATCAGCTACCACACAGAGAACCGTAATCATTGAAATTTTTTTAACGTTATTGTCTATGGGGAATTATGACCACTAGCTAAATAAACGAATACTATGTCTATTTTATAAATCTCATATAAAATTAATAAATTATAGAGATCTCAGCCTTTTTTTAGCTTTGAAATGGTGTAATAAAATCCACTTTATCTTGATATTTACTGGTGTCCCTATCATGTTGAACGTCGGGTTCTCTTTTGGTTGAGATATGTTAAATTACGAGGTATACATATTTTATAAAAAATCATATTAAATTCATTTTTTATTGTAAATCAAATTAACAAATTATACACTATTGGCAAATAATTTTCCTATCAAATGGTATAAGAATCGTCATTTTAAAATAATGTTTACTGTTGTCCCTAAGCATTTGAAAGTGAAACTTCATTATTTATGAATACGATGTATATTCATTCAACTAAGATTGACCGTATTCAAAGACAAATTGGTCTTGTTATTTAGTTGAATTCTCATTTTTATGATGTGAACTTCTTTTCTAATTACATCCATCATTTTAAATATCTAGTTAGGTTTTAAACAATATATTAATTTCTATTATCTCAAAGAGTTCTTTAAACATCAAAATTTTAAAAGTAGTGTGGTTTTGTGGCATCTTGAAGAAAAATATGCAAAAAGTGTTGGTTTTTTTTTCGTTTTTTTTAAAGGCTCTGTCTAATTAATCTTATTTTGATTTGAGTAATTATATTATTATTACCAAATATTTGAATACACAATTGCATGATTGTATTATTGAAAAAAATGTCTACGAAATCTGAAAAACTAAATTGAAATAGAAAAGATGACAACGTGCAATTTTTAATGTTATTCAAAACATACAAAATTTTATACAAGTTTTGTATAATGAAAAGGTATAGGGAATATTATTCTTATCATTATAAGAAATGATCAGAGAAGTAAATGCAAGTATTTTGAATGTATACAGTAAGATATCATAGCACCAAAATCATTGTTAGGATATGCTATCTTTATGTTCTCCTTCATACATTAATCTTATTGTTTAGTACAAGGATTTGTATAGTCCTATACAAATCCTTGTTTAGTATATTCATAAAATGTCGTTTAATAATTACAAATGACGAAAAATATCGAAGTCCTTTTTAAGAAAAGCTCCATAATTATCGATCTCAGCTAACATATAAACACGAATGTGTCAATATTTACATAGTATATTGTTTAAGCGTCCCATGGTGCCACTGCAAATCCTTTCCGGTGCGGTATCACTATTCAATACCATATGTTACTATTTTATCTTATCATTGAAGTATTATATTGAAAATATAGTAGTCCATGCAAAAGAGATTATTGGGAGACCCCCTTTTTTATTTTTTGCAGTTAATTTATAATTTGAAAATAGTCTTTTCACATCAACTTTTTTTCCTTGTCTTAAGTGTTCAAACTCTTATCAATGCGATTTAACAATAATAATTTATGTATGTTGCCCTCTATTCTTATGTTTAAATGTTTAAGAGTATTCTACACATAAGAATATAGGATAACACATATAAACTAATTTTATAAAGTAAAACAAAATTGAGATACGGCTGAAAATATGAACGAATATTTTCAAATAAGATTAATTACAACAAAAAAATTATTATAAAATTAACTAGACAAAGTGATGCTCCGCACTTCACTCTGAAGTAACTGTATCATAACAAAGATAATGTAGAACTTTATCTGAGATTTAATTGTGTCTGGGAGAAACAAATGATGCCCCCGCAGATGCAAAGTGTTATTTTAAAATAACTTCAACTATCTCCCAAAAGAGCAAATATTAAACCCTGACCACATGCACACCTTCAATATATGTACAAACCACTAAACTTTAAGGAGAAAGTCTGCGGTTTTATTTACTGATATCTTTGTCTAATTAAGGGTAGTGAATTATGTAAGTTTTGTGTTCCTAGAGGACAGGAAAATATTACAATTTAATCCACAGGTGTTAATGAGTTTACGTGTTACCTAGATCAAATAAAATTCAGCATGGAGTATACATCTGGCTTATACAATGTCAATGTCGAATACATGTGACCTACCCATATCAAATAAAATCTAAAATTGACAGTAAAAAAATGCACATCTTGTCATATTTACGATATTGCCTTCTGTAGCTTTTATTTATATGTTTTATGAGATTTCAACCCTCCCTCTATATCTCTAGCCTATGTAGAATAAACAAAACACAGCAATACGCACAGTAAAACTCAGTTTAAAAGAAGTCCGAGTCCGATGTCAGAATAGATAACAAAAGTCTTTTAAGACACTAAGCAAAATGGCAATGATACATGATAAATTAACTAAAGGACTACTACAGCAATAACTGACATGCCAGCTCCACACTTTAATTAAACTGATTGAAAGATTATGTATTCGTCATATTCATAAATTGTCTATCCTTTTCCAGAATCACGTTGAAGAGTTAAATGCTATTTTTTTTTTATATAAAACATAATCTAGATAATACTCAAGCCGGCCTGCTTGAAAGCCTGCTTGATGTTGAAAGGATTTGTATATTGGATTTTCATCTAACCCAATTAAAAAGAAATTTACAAGGATAGATCAGTTTGCCTGCGGCTTTTATTGAACTTGTTAAAATCAGAAACACCGATGATAAATTATTTGGACTATCTTAAAGCTTCCGAAAAGGTCGTGTGTAGTATAAACAGGGTTACAAATTTCATACAATAAGAAAATTTACTAGATTAAGAAAAAAAATTTAAAAAAATTTTGATCAAGAGATATACATATATTATAAATATAGGAAATATAATAACATGTAAACGTATCTCTTTTGAACCATCGTTAACAGAAAATATTCTTTCTACATCATAGGGCATGCACAACTTTTCTTTTTTTAATTATTTCTTTCCTATCGGCAATTTCTTCATCATTCATCTGTGTATAGTGTACGCGGGGTTTCTTTCTTAAATCCAACTGCGTTCGGAATTATCGTATAACTGCTAATATCATAAATTACCCTATAGGCATAACGTCAAAGTGACATCTATTGGCGGGGTGTTCGTTTAGGGGAGTTATCTATTCTTATCTGCTGGTCACCAGACGATGAGATCAAGATGGGAACCAGAATAGAAAAGTAACACGAGTTATCTCGCCTTGAAATGTCCGTAATTCTTGTACATGGATGCAATATGTTATTTGACATTGACTGCTTCGTCGTCTTCCTTCCATTCTTTTTCTCATTTTTTTACATTTAAATATATACCTTTTAAATGATCTGTTTCTATTGATAAGTAAGCATTTCTACGATTTATCTAAATATGTGCTTATGCATAACAGACTGAGATTTTTTGTGTGTGTGTGTGTGTGTGGATTTTTTTTCAATTAATTCTTATTTATGGTGACTTTTGTTTTTAAAGTAGAAATCCAAAATTATAGAAAAGCAGTATAATGTGTGAAAATACACGGAATTGTACCACTATTAATGCAATTCCGTTAAGAAGCCCATTTGTTTTAAAATGGTCGCCGAAAAAACGCCGCTAGCAAAATAGAAAAAATTAAATTTATTTGGAAAAGATTACGGATATAATTTAGCAAAAAAAGGTCCGTTCAAGCAGACGTGGGAACTAGAACAGGAAATGGTTTGTTGGCATGAAATGAAAATCAAGAAGAATAGTTGAATTTGGCCCAACAACTTTCCCTGTGTTCCAAGTGTAAACAGTCTCTAAAATTTATTGGACTGTACAGAAAAACTCCGTTATGGTTTCGGAAGCTTGTTAAAAATATAGTGCCAGCATTGTAATCGTATAAGCGCAGTCTACACAGGACAGCCACTTCGGAATGAGGAGAAAGTTAACTACGGCAAAAAAATATGGGATGTCAACACTAAATATGCACTCGGTTAGGACGAAATAAAATTAAATCATTCAGATCCCGTTATATATATATATATTTAATTCCATTCTAAAATAAATTATTCATTAAAAAACCGTGGCCCCACAATAAATGAATGATTGGTGCTTTTGGTGAAGGTAAATAAAAAAAAAAGCGCTTTGAAAACAAATTATAAAGAGATATTTTCATTAACCTATATTATTCAAACGGAAGAAACAAACTGAAAAACCAACGAAATCATTTTTTTTTGTATTTACGCTTTGGCATAAACGTTTACCATACAGCAACAAAACTGCGTGCACAATTTTGTATGTAGATTTTAAATCAGTATTGATACAATATTAAAGATCAGTTCCGATGTAATTTTCTTAAACAATTCAGTTGTCATATACATCCGTTAGGAGAAATAGTGATACAAATAACATATTAATAAATGGGTGCGATCCCGTCAAACTTTCAATGTATGTTCTAATGTTTTTTAGTTGAAATGCTGTCACCAACTTGCTTATATCATAACGTACCCATCATAATTATAAATACATGTATATTCGAAAACATCTATTCTTTGAGAGTTTTTGCTCAACTTTAAACATATGTGTTATTTGTGTTTTAATTCTCTCATGTCATACATAAATTCTCATGTCATACATAAATTCCAAATGTATATGTTATTCCATACTGAAATTATAAATGTATCTTTCAAAGTCGACCTATTACTGATTACATAAAATATAAACATATACAAAACTTTTACTCTTTATGTAATGCATTTTGTAGGAAAAGAAATAGACTCGGCCATTAGACAACCACTTTGGGAAATCGGAGTTGACTATCCCCATGAAACAGGCCATGGAATTGCTCATTATGGCGTAGTTGTGGAAGGCCCAGCTCGTATTTCTAGTTCTAAAGCTAGTTACACAAGTGACATACCGTTGGAAACCAATTACTTTGGATATGGTAGGTATTCTAGACATTTTAGAGGACAAAATACTTAGAAGACATGTGCCATTTCTGATAGTTAATTATATTAAACTAGAATTGAATCAATTCACAGATAACGTTATAGGAACAAAAAAAAAAGGTAAATCATTTTAATCACTTTCATTATTGCAGGAAAGGATGCATGATTTAATATCATATCAACAATTTGATTAATAAATATCCAATTTGGAAACACTTTCTATTATGGAAGACAAGCCAAGCCTTCTTTCACGCATTGGTCAACGTTTTAAGGCTAATTTTTTAATTACTTTCTTCTCGACTTCAAAGAAATTTCAACAGTTTTACAACACACAGTATCTTAACCGTATTGTCTTTTTATGGCTATAAACGGACAAATGAATGTTTGTCTTTAAACTTAAATGACTTAAAAATTTAACTAGTTAGATGTTCTTGAAGTACACAACCAAAATCAAATTTCAAATTTATATATAATATAATTTCAGATCAGACTCAGCTTCTTCATATACCGGATCCGGCTGATTATCCAGTTGAGGAGGATATGTGCTTCTCTAATGGTACGAGTATAAATAGGAGACTATAGAAAAGAATATGATAAAAAGTACCGATTGAAAACTAAAGAAACAATGATCATCCGATATAAGATATTCCATTCGTCGAATGGTTAGCATGTCCAGTGTTTCTTTTATATGATTCAAAGTTTATTACTGATAAACTTACATAAAAATGAAATCCAACAATATAGACAAATGTTAAAGCTGAGAATATACAAAAATTTAAGCATTTGACGCGACTACACAGCAACTTCAGTCTGCCTCATATGTTGACAATGAGGGTCGGTTGAAAACAAAACTTTACGACAAAAGAGATGATTTCAGCTTCCAATGTGAACTTTCCATTTCTGTGTAGCAACATTTCAGAAGCGCCTGCATACGGAGTATATATCTCCAAGTTGCTACGATATAACAGGGCTTGTATTTCCTATCGTGGTTTCCTTGATAGAAGTTTGCTGCTCACAAGGAAGCTATTAAACCAAGAGTTTCAAGTGGTGAAGTTGAATTCATCCCTTCGTAAATTTTACGGATGCCATCACGAGTTGTTTGACCTTTATGGAATATCTGTTTCGCAGATGAAGACGGATTTGTTCCAATTGTCGTAACTACAATCCCGTCCCTTTTCCCCGAATGTGACCTACCGAATTAGACTTATCACCGGGTTTGTACTTACATGAGCAAAACAACGGGTGCCACATGTGGAGCAGGATCTGCTTACCCTTCCGGAGATTATGAAGATATACAAAAAAAAAAAAAAAAGAAAACACTTACCCTCTCACCGAAAGATAAAACACAGGTAGTTACTATTATAGTTAACAGAGACGGAAATCTTTAATATTGCTCTTGTACTATTTTCAGTCCATTTCATGGTGGTCACTATCAGATCATTCAGGATGGACAGATATAAATGATTAAATTACATCTGACTTTTAATTCTGCTACTGTTGTATCTCTATTATACCTTATTTAAAAAGGTAAACAATATTTTACAGAACCTGGATATTATGAAGTGGGAAAATTTGGTATGAGAATAGAAAATGTAGTAGTTGTGAAGAAAATGAACAGAAATGTAAGTTTATTAAACTTTAATTTATGATTTGCCTGCATTTGGTGTTGAAATTGAGGGGACAGTCTGTAATGAAGAAATAGAAAAAAACATTGTAAAAAACGATCACTGGCATAACCGCAGAAACACATAACATACCAACTGGAACATATTGATAATGACTGACACCTATACATGGCTTCATACGTTTTCAATTTTTTTAATCAAAATATTGAAAGTTTAAACATGTCAGTAGTAGGCTAAAAGAGATTTTATGAAGAAAAATATTGAGTCGACATGAAAGAGTCTCCTTTGCTTCTATTCATAAAATATTCAAGAAAATGAATGGATCAAATGGCTACATAGTTCACTATACAATTAACATTGCACAATTGTACAAGATGCAGTACTAAAAGATTTGATACTGGAAGAGCTATGGGATTCCCAAAGAAACAAGTACACAGAACAAGTTATTTATTGGCAAAATGTGTAACCATACTAACCGGAACTCAGATCAACTGTATCTCGAGAAAGAGAGGATGGCATTTTTTATTCGGAAGAAATCATAAACCATGTAACCCCAATACATGTATATTCATTTTTTTTCAAAACAAATTAAAGGCATCATATAAAAACGATACATACAAGAAAATTGTTTTCGGAGTTTGTTATATAGATAACCTTTTTTAATTCCTTTTTTGAGTTAACATGTAAAAAAAATGTATATTTTAGAATAACTTCTCTAAGTGCAACTTTCTGGAATTTGACACAATAACTTTCGTTCCATATGAACCTCATTTGATCAAGCGCAGCTTACTAAGTAAAGAACAGGTTAGTAAAGTTTTTTTTGTGTCTTAGTAGTCCAGTCGATTGTGAAACAATTGTTCAGATTGTGGTAAAAGCGTCAAACTTTGCAGAGTTTTAGTTAGCTATGGACCCAATTCAGAAAAACAATATGGCTGCTCTGGGCGGCCATTTTAAAATGGCGTCATAAAAATTAATAATAATTATTAAAAAAAATATATGAAAAATAAATGATGTTACTAATTTTGATAACCTTTGATATATTTTGACACTAATGACAAAGAAAATCATCTGAGGACTTCATATATATTGAAGTATTGGTGGCCATTTTGAAAACATAAATTTTCAACATTATTTTCTATTCTTATTAGTTTGCTAGTTGCATTTATACTCATGTTTTATGCATTTACAACTACTTTTGCAAATTATATGACTGCTGCTATTTATATAGGATATTCACAAGTGGTCAAATAAGGCATGCATATGTTGACACAATAAATAATTTCTTTTACTCGCAGGCTTGCCTATGTATTTTTTTTCCTCAGAAAATAAAGTATATACAATATAATTTATGACCACTCTATTTCGAAAAGGAAAACAATGTTGGGATTGAAATCACTGAGCTGAAAAACTCAATGAATAAATGGCCCGGAAAGAATTTCGAGACGCAAAGCGAGGACACGTGAGGATTTACAATGCCAAGCAGATACAAACAGAGTAGACATAGACATTTGACTTGGTAATCAGTCCTTTGTTGTAAGCATACAAAGATGCTGCATATTGAATTAATAGTTTCTCTCATCATTCAACTTGGAACAGTTGAATGAAGGCCAAAAACACTCCAGAATCACAAGGCAAAAGGTACTAATCCTGTCAAAAGAAACCCAAAAAAACAGACACAGTTGCGATGAATCAACAAGAACAATGACTGTAGGGAGTGTTTTTTTTTCTTTTTATTCATTTTTTGTGGTGAGGTATTTGACGATCATCATGAAGCATCGACAATTATGATCGACAAACATTTTCGACAAAAAAAGTATGTGACTGTCCACTTGAACTACAACCCATTGTTCTCTTAGCCAGACTCAGTGCTGGAGATTTAATATCACAGGACCAGATATTATGCTAAATGTTTGTTAAAATTGCACAACAAGGCAATAAGACAATAATTCAAAGGCACAGAAAGAAAGTCGGGGATCTCCTATCCCAATATGGAATGGCGCTTGCCAAATTGATAGAATACATTGACAGCTCACAGTCTGGAACAGATATTGTTCTGATATTTGAGCTTGCTGACATCGATAAATTGTACAATGTATGCCTTGAGCAAATCGGAATTGTCATTGTAGGAATGATTGATACAACGCTTCTAAAAAATTGGATACTAACTGCTATAGAAGATATGCAAGCACACAAGAAAAGTAGCGTCGTTCTTCTGATTTTTAACGAATGTGTTGGAGAAGTTCCGAAACAGGCCATGTCTCCTAGTCGTGACGATGAAGGCCTTATCTTAGCCAAAGTAAATAGAATAATTTGAAGAGACTAGCTTGCTACTATAAAAAGATTTACAGGGGAATTTAATGAAGCCATTCAACATCAAACACAGAGACACGTGGCTCTCTATCTGAGGAGTGATAAATTGCAGTTGTATCCTTTCGACGACGAGTTGCACAATTGAACTATAATAGCTGAGAAATGGTAAGTGCTGTCTGGGACTCAACTATATTACTGGACTGTGTTTCGATGTTTGGCCATCCTAGTATCATTCATACTAAGCAATCAATGTCTGTTGAACTGATTCATGTTGGCAGCTGTTATTGAATGTCCCTGTAAAGCTATTCTTAGTATCAAGCATATCTCTTCAAACTATTTTGCCTGCTTTGGCTATGATGATACCTTCATTTTCACGCTTTAAAGATGTGGCTTGTTTCAGAGCTTCACGAACACCTTCGTTGAAAATCAAGAGAACTAATCTACCTCGTTTGTAAGCTTGCAGATCTTCTATGGCAGCTACATTCCAATTGTTTAGATACGTTGTACCAGTTCTTCCTTCCATGACAACTCCAAGATGTTCAAAGCGTGTACTGTCCAATTTAGAGTGATCGGCAAGCCCAGACCGTGTGTCATTGATGTAATTTATTATATCTGAAAGCACAATTCCATGGAAAAGAACTCCTGGCTTTCTTACTGTGTCTTTTATTCTACCTATTTGCCATGTTGTCAAGTTTTATCAAACATTATTAGGCATGATACTTGGCCTCCTGTAATATTACATCTTCAGCACTTAATTTGGCTAAGAGAACATTGTCTTGTAGTTCAAGTGCACACGATGCACTATTTCTGATTATAAATGACGATGCATCGTGGAGATCGTCAGATACATCATCAAAGAAACAATACACTGCAGTCATAGTTCTTGTTGATCCAGAACCACTTTACTGTGACTTGTTTCGACGGGATTTGTGACATTTTGCCTTGTGATTCTGGAGTGTTTCTACAGTTCCATAGCCTTCATTCAACTGTTTCAAATTGAGCGACTGGACTACCAATTCAATGTGCAAAATATTTTTATGCTTGCATCAAAGGACTGATTACCAGCTCCAATGTCTATGACTGTTCTTTTTGTATCTGCTTGGCTTTGCAAATCCTCTCACGTCTTCTCTTGCCGTTACACACATTATATCCAGTCTATTTGTCCATAAGCTATAAGTTATTCAGCTCTAATGATTTCAATATCTAGCTCTGGTGTTTTTGAAATCTACAATTTTGATCCTTATCGACAAAGTTCAGTCATAACTTATATCATTGATACGTAAATTCTGTTGTAAAAAATACTTAGTCAAACATGTAAGTAAACATGTTCATGCCTTATCTGACCACTTGGTGAATATCCAATGTAAATTAGCAAAAAAAGTATAAATGCAAACAGTGAATTATGAAAATAGTGAATAATGATATATTGGAAATTCAGGTTTCAAAAGGGCTGTCATTTAATATGGCCCCAAAATATCAATATTTGAAGTCCTCAGATAATAGTCCTTGTCATATGTGATTGATTTACCATGTGTTATCAAACGACTGGACTATATGGGAACCATTCTGCAACAAGCGCGTAACTAATAAAATGTAAACGTCAAAGTGAACACGGTTACCGATGCATATGTGTAAAAGCAATATTAAGTTGTAGATGTTGGTGACAATGTGATAGAATATGATAGACAGAAACAGCTATTGTGTGGTTTGACAAAACATGTAGAACTCATGTATTGTGTGATATTTTTGACGGCAATTGAGAACATTTCTGCAGATGATTTCCATATGACATTATTTGTATGATATGATACTCATTATGTCTGCAATCAAGATTTTTTGAAAGTTGTTTCAAATAAACTATATAAACAAAATGATTTATCCCACAATCAGTCAACTATTGTACAAATAACAGGTACACTAATAAATGTTTGCTTTATTTGTGCTTGTAAAAATAAAGTATCCTGTTATCCCACTTCTAAGTTGAGTAAACGGTTATATTGATATTGCCTTTTGCGACAATTATTCAGATTTCAACAACTAAAGTTTCAAGTGTTGGGTGTAAATTTCAGGATAAGAACAATATATGTACATTGTCATACAATATAAAATTCATTTGTGCTTGCTACGAAACAGGAGATAAACTCGGCGGGCCTCGCTTTTCGTCCTATTTTTAAAGCTCATACAAATATTTTCCAACAATGTACATATATTGCATATTTATTTTCACCGAAATTATGACTTTGGAGCTATACCTATTTTGTCTTTAAAATTTCAAGATTTTTCAAGATGGCCGCCATTCCATATGGGTAACAATTCCATAAATTATATTCAACAAGACAATTGGTATAAGCACTATCACTGTTTTTATCAGGTTTTATGTCAGTATCTTCCCTGATAAAAGTTTCATGAATTATTTTAGGAATTTTTAGAAATCAAACGTCCGCCATTTTAAAAATGGCTGCCTCTCCCGCCAATTTCGACTTTCAGACTGGGTCCATAGCTGAAAATGTTTTCCATGACATATAGTACTACTATGCTAGATTTCATGCTTTTACCACAATCTGAGCAATTTTGCAAAAAATCTGCACAAATCGACTGGACTATAGGTTAATCTGTATTGGATGCGATTAAATAAAAATGATGTTATGAAAACAACCTCTGATTAAAGATTTTATTACAAAAATTATAAAATTAGAAATCAAAATCCGGAATACAATGAATGATATTCTAACTAGACCCGATAAATTTGGCAAGGGCCATTCGAACAAGTATTTATACTATGTCGTCAGTCAATTGTGACACATACACTCTTGTGCGGGCAACTGTAACTTTTTTATGATATAAGATAAATCAAGAAAAATGCTTTGGAAGCACCAAATGTATTGTTATTTTCATTTACTAGCATTGCGTCGTATATCGCATCTGGTGGACAGTTACTCACTCCCCTAGGGTATCACCATGTCGGTAGTCATTGCTATGGAACTGACATGATTAATGACATACTTTTCTGAAATTCTCCGTTGATGAATTTAGAAAATAGTTAAGAAACTAAGGTTCCAACTCCCTCTGGCAAAGTTGACCTTCAGTTAGATATAGTTTCTTTTTCTTTTAGGCTCCATTTGATCATATAGCTCGTTGTGTATTCAGGAATTTATACATCCTTGGCTTTAAATCTTTTTGGTTTGAGGTTCTTGGTTATGGTAAATCCAGAAAAGCTCTTCGGACTCACCAAATTTATTGTGTTCTTTTTATTCAATATGCTGACTGTAATCCTTATAGAATCAGTGGCGAGCCATTGTTGATCTAATTACAAATACATGTTATAATAAAAAAGGACATATTGGGAGAACTTGAAAACGAGCTTGATCACAGACCGTTGACTGGACGCGTACTTTAAAAATTGGACGTCACAGTCTATCGCCACTAGCAGGATTCTAGTGCCACTCAAATTATTTACAAACATGCAAGAGTTTGTTCGTTATTCAAAGATGTTTTGTGGATATTCGGAAAAGTCTGTTTCACTCCGATAAAACTGCACGAAATGATTGCAATTTGTGAATATAGGTGACCCCATTGACACTGTTCTGTTAAACTTACGTCTCAGATTGTTATATTAAGGCAATGATCTTTTTTCCTTGTGCATTTTATTCTATTACTTATCTAAATTTCATGTACTGTAGATCAAATGGATAAACAATTATCATAGAGAGGTTTTGGAGAAGGTGTCACCATATCTGAAAGAAGAAAACGACACAGTGGCTTTGGAATGGTTAAATAAACGAGTACGGCCTTTATTTATTACACAAAAAATACCAGAAATAGATAATACCAACAATGGATGTATTTTGGTGACATGGCTAATATTTTATTTTATATTATTTTTTATTTCGATCCTTTTAAAATAAAAGCTATCAACTACTATTTTGTCAAAACTTTTACTGTTACATTAAAAATATGTGCTTCAATTATAATTCTAGTTGGTCTTTTTTTCTGTGTGTAACTAGTGTTACATTGCGATTATGTACTGGCACGGCAGTTTTTTTTCTGAGCACTGATATCATGGAAAAAGGCATGCGAGACTTATAGATTGTTATTTCTTGTCTGTCTTGTTTTGTTGAATTCACGTCTCATTGCCGTATTCCGGACAACTCACGAAAGAACGAAAAGAAGCTCGCATTTTATTTTAATTTTCCGTTCCACTATATAGGTGTCGTCCTCTCAATGACTTATTCAAAGTTTAGGGACTATGTTAAAAGGATACCACAAATGCAGTTAGATTGGATTGATATATTGGGTTACATCATGACTATGACAGTGATGGGCGGTTGAGCACTAAATTTCATCATAAAAGAGATGACTTCAATTTCCCATTTGTGACCTTTTATTTCATACCCTATCTTTCTTTCCTCGATTATAACGTTTAACATATCAAAAGTTTAGATACAAAGACAAAAACAATTAAATTACATGTACTCCAATCCAAGTGAGGCTGTGTCCGTCGACATAGTAAACGTATCCTGCTATGCTTGTATTACCCGCCTTGCGATTCCGAAGTTTTATAGACTATATAGTTTAACGTATCATATTATTTCCGTGTGCGTGACATTTGCATTTTACTACATAAGACTACATTAAAGGTTAGATAATAAATGTTACTATATGGTATGTTTTTTATGAAACTGTTACCTGGTTAGTCAAAACTATGTTTGCAGTCAACAAACATTTTTTTTGTTTGTTATTTTTGTTTATTTGTTTCATATCAGCTAAAGTAAATAATGTTACAATGAATTAAGGGTCACTTATCTAAGGTTATCACGAGAAATTTGTTAGTTAGTTCAACATCTCGTGATAGCCTCGAGTTCACAATTTATATTAGATATTCTAACACCAGGAAAGATGAGGGTTACAGTTATATTGCTTATTTGTGGGCTTATCATTGGTGATGCTTCAGGTAATTATTTTTTGATAACTTTAATTGTATCTTAGATCAAAGTTATAGGTTTTTGAATGGTAAAACGGTCGATGCATAGGTGCAAATAGACAAAATCATTATCACACGCTCTTCATATTATATACAGACACAATATTTTCCACATCGTCTTAATAGTTTGTTGACTTCTTTAAAAAAAAACCATCGTGTTGTTAACGTCACTGATATATGTTAAACTATTCCAACTGCTAAAATATTGATTAAGTTTTTTAAACTTTGACTTCTAAGACATAATTCGAGATAATATAGAGTAAGCTTGGAGATATACATAGAATGTGGACGAAATGAACAATCATCATACCTAGTCCTTTGAAAAAAACATAGGGATTCATCTTATATGTACTTTGAACTTTTTAGGGTGTCAGTAATTATCAATTTTAACAATCGAATAGTCGTGGTGATATCAACGACACACGTCATGTCAGTATTTATCAACTTTAATAATAGTCGTGGCATTTCCCGCTGTAGAGGAAGTATAATTTTTTAAATAAATGTCTATGTATCTTTTAAGATAAACATTTCTTCACTTGAGAAAATGAACTTTAATATTTTTCTTAACTGAACATTCATCTTCCTCTTCCTTTTTGTCGGCAATCATTGTGTTTTTTTTTAATACGCCATAATGTCTGTATGTGTTTTTCTAGTTCCTAAGGACTGGATGTATGTGTAGGTTTGAAATTTAAGACTTTTTAAAAAGTTTTATTTCATTTGCATTTTATTCATTACCTTATATATTTACCACTTTTGTGTCTATTCTGTTACCTCTCTAACATACGTTTCTTCTGTTCTTTTGTTCTCCCCGGAGTGTTTTGGCCATGCCCTAAAACAGAATTTACGTTGGTTCTTGTTTTGACTCGTCCTCCTAGTTGCCCTTAATAAAGTTTTATGTGTCCGTTTATTCCAAGAGTTTTTGGTGTATATTGTTACTTTTTTCTAGACGGAGTATTACATTTCCTGTGTTGCAGACATATATTCTTTGGTAGAGCCTCCGTAACACATCGGAGTACAAGGTTCGAACTCCTCAAGATATAGTTCGACTTACAGAAGCAGATTTAGGGAGGACCAAAGGGCCCGCCCCCCCCCTTTTGTGGGAAAAATTTGGTTGATTATTTAGGGAATAACTAAAGCATGACTGGAGAGAGCGTCCTCTTATGGCAGTCAGTGCCCCCCTCTATATGAAAATGTCTGGATCTGCCACTGACTTTTGCACCTATATTTGGAGTTCAGACTTAATTGATTTGTCGGTTGCGTTTGTTCATTAGGAAATGTCTGCTTCTGAACATTGATAGGGTTAACTCTTTTGTTTTCGGCACTTTTTAATGAACAGTTTTCGATTACCTGTGTTAATTTCCTCTATTGTTCCTGACTCTACTGTTTGGCATAATTATCTAGGAATAACTGCTTACCTTGACAGAATTGACTTGATTTTTTCTCCTCTTTCAAAAAACATTTCCTCCAAATCTCCCGCAACTTTTCAGCAGCGTTTCGAACGGATATCTGCTTTATTTCCATCATCGTTTCGGAATCGATTGCTGCGTATTTTTTTGCTGACGAGATAGATTATTGTAAACCAACTTTATTTCGCGATTTTCAAATTTGTTTGATGTAGTTAAATAAGTAAGAATCCAAGTTTTACATATTCGCGACGATTTATATTCGCGTTATTTTTCTACTCGCGAAAGTCGCCAAAATAAATCGCTCGCGAAAATTAGTTGGTTTACAGTATTCTGAATAGTAGAGATGTCAGTTTTGAATTTTACGAACAATGTCAACGGCTGAAATAACAATAATTAATATCTATAATTGATATCTATAAAAATTAATCAAATGAGATGTAGGTAAATGTCAATGAAACAGCAACCAATCGACTGAAACACCGCAAGACAGCTTGAGGTCAACATACGATATTCAACAAAAGAAAACTGTCTATAAGTAAGCGATAACTGTGGTTTGCAGAGCTTTAAATTTCGTAAAATCATTTTGAAGATATCCGAGTCATCCAGTCTTTGCTCTAACTCCTCAATGTCACTTGCTTAGCGAAGAAGAATCAAATACAAATATAAAGCATTTGGTTTGACCCTGTCAAAGATTGAACCCATGACCTCCCGCACTCGAGTCAAGCAAGCTACAGAGACTATCGCGGAGGTGAACTAGGTTTGAAATCGTCCATCTACGTCAATTTTAAAAGAAATATCCAGATATGATAAAGACTTTTTAGTTTCAGTGATTTCCTTAAATAATCAAATTTTAAAGTAAATTTGGATTTTATTAGATAAATACTTACCATCATAAATTCTGAGTATACCCAAACAGCGTCATAAGGTCAGATGGAATATCCCCGACTAAAAATAAACGTACTATCACTGGTTGCTGGTCCGGACATATACCCCTGGTTTACCCATATTCTCCCATTCAATTTCCTCAAGACAGAAACGTAAGGAAAGGGGATGAAGGGGAGGCGGGTGGAACCTATAATTTATGATGGTAAGTATTTATCTAATTAAATCCAAATTTACTTGAAAATTTGATTATTTTATAGCTATAAATACGTTACCATCATCAATTCGGAGTAACAGAATATAACGTAAAGCTGAATCCCCTGTAACAGAAGAAACAGGAGGAAGGTTTAATCTTTGTGCTGAAACTATAGGTTCAAGAGAGTATAAACTCTCGGCAAAAGTAGCCGTAGATTGGAGGTAATTAGAGATAAAACAGTTCTCATTTCTCGAGAAACCTGCAGACAGTACCTCTTCTAAAGATGCACTGTTAAACAGAGCCCAGGATGTAGAGATACCCCTAACATCATGAGCTTTAACATTAAAACAATCCAAAAGTTCTGCCTTAGATGAATCATAAGCTAAAGATATGCATTTGCATATCCAAGTAGAAATAGTTTTAACATAAAGATCTGAGATTCCTTTTTTAATAGGAATAAAGAGTCTTGAATTAGAAACAGAACGTAAACTCGTCGTTCTATCCAGATAGATAGAAAGGATTCGTACTGGACATAAAAGTACAGAAATAGAATCGGTAGGGAGTGCAGGAATCACGACTGGTTCTGCGCCCTTATCTGGAATCTGATTCTTTGCCCAAAAAAAAACAGGATCAGTTAAAAGAGTAACAGGAGATTTATCCATGCTTAATCGAAGGCAAGCATCAGAATTAGAGAAAGCATGGATTTCACTCCTTCTCCGTCCAGAAGCCAAAGCTAAAAGAAAACAGCATTTGTAGGAAAAAAACCTTAAATCTACTTTTTTCTGCTGGTTCAAAAGGAGAAAGTTTTAAAAGGATAAAACTAGTCCAAGGTCCCACTTAGGAACTAAAGTTTTTTGTCTTGGTCTTTCAAGACTAAAACTACGAACCAAAAGAGAAATATGCTCATTGTTTCTAAAATCTGGACCGCCAGAAATATGAATACTTCTTGAAACAGCTGATCTATATCCCTTAATAGTAGAGGGACATAAACCTTTGGATTCAAAAAGAAAAAACTAGAAAGTCTGCTAATTGTTGTACAGTGACTTGGAAGGGATCGATTTCCCGCTCATTACACCAATCTGAGAAGATTGACCATTTTGCATCATAGACAAGGCTAGTGGAGTCTCTGACAGACTTTGTGAGATGCTTGTTTGTTCCTTCAGAAAAACCTCTCTTTCTGAGGCTAACCCTGAGAGAAGCCAGGCGTGTAGATGAAGTTTTTCTAGATTTTGATAAAGAACCTTGCCCTTGATTTGAGACAGAAGGTCTGGTCTCAGAGGAAGAACTAGAGGACAAGCAGAAGGTCTGGAAACCAAGACTGTTTGGGCCATGCTGGCGCAATAACTATGGTCTTGCACTTCTCTCCTGCTATTTTTTGAAGTACTGGGGAGAGAAACCTGAAAGGAGGGAAGGTGTACCCGAACATTCCTTTCCAAGATAGGCTCATTTCGTCCCAAAGGAATTACATCTGCAATAGAAATCAATAGACCCAGAAGTTGCAAGAATTGACGTGCTGTGACTGATTGAACAGTTTGGAATAGATGAATTTTCTGACATAGTTTTGTAAATTTTTCCTCTGGGGGGAGAACTAGGCCTAGATTGGTTTTGAAATGTTCTCCCAGGAAAACAAAGTCTTGAGAAGGAACTATCTCTGACTTTTTCCAGGAAATTAGGAAACCTAGGGACAGAAAGTAATTGATGACCAAATCTGTCTGAACCCTCAATTTGGTTGGGAAAAATTCCTTGAAAAGGGAATTGTCCAGGTAGGAATGAATCTGAATAGACAGGGAATGTAGGTGAGCTATAGCTGCCTGCATGATTTTGGTAAAAGCCAAATGGGCTGTAGATAGGCCAAAAGGGAGAGTTCCAAACGAAGCGAAGGTATTTCCTGTAAGTATGGGAAATGGGAATGTGGAAATAAGCATCTGAAAGATCCAGAGAGGTAGTCCACATTCCTGGAGGATTGAAGCCCTGATTGATCTGTTGGTTTCCATTTTGAAATGGGGAAAAATAAGAAAGTTGTTCAGAATAGATAGGTCTATGACCGGCCTCATTCCTCCCGTCTTCTTTGGAACCAGAAAGAGACGGGAACAAAATCCCGGAGACAGAGTTAAGAGCGACACCTCCTCTATTGCAGATTTCTGTAACATTGTGTCTACTTCTACTGATAGAAGTTGATACTTGACTGGGTCGAGTATGAGACAAACTTATCGGAACTGCAGACAGAGGAGGTTGGTTCTTGAACTGAAGTGTTAATCCCCCTTGAATTATTGACAGCACATAACAGTTTATTTTCTTCCACTGATTTAGGAAAAAACCTAACCTCCCCCCTACTGGTATGGATTTTTGAGGAACTTGTAAATTTTCCACTGGGGGAACTGTCAATAACGTATGAGGGGGCAAGAACCTAGGTACTAGACCCAGATTTCTTGGGGCCCTTAAAACCACTAGAAGACTTACTTGAGCTTTTACCGGAGTTAAGGGATTTGTTCTGAGGTTTGCCGTAGTTATTCTTCCTTTTCTTAGCAGAAGAAGGAGTACCACCAGAAGCACTAGTAGAACTAGAGGTATAATTAACCGACCTCTTGCCATTGTTAACTTGTACATTAACTTTGACGGGAGGAGGGGTTTTACTGAGTTCCTCTTGAACCCGCTGTACGGGTAAACCAAAGATCTTGTCAGAAAGTGGAGATTTCAATAAAGAATCTTTCAAAGACTCAGCAACAGAAGTTTTTTCAAGAAACTCTGCTCTTTTAGATAGTGTACAATTAGCAATAGAACCCATTAAAAGCAACTGAGATGAACCTAGAGCTTTATCCAGTTAAAGTAAGAAAGATCGTACTTCCGCTGGAACAACTGAATCTTCACTGTTAAGCAAATGTCCGGTTGCAGCTAGAAAATGTTCGGCTGTGCCAAGAACTTGAGAAGCACTACGAAGGAGATTCTCAGTCTTTGCCCAAATATGCTAAGTGAGACGAAGATCATATACTGGCTTTGTTCCCAATGAAGATGAAAAAGATTTGTCACAAGTGAAGAATCAAAGATATCAAAATCTTTGGACTTGAAGTGATCAGAAAAGGAAGAAATACCAAAACCAGAAATTTTGTTATAAGCAACCTTTTCACTAGCAGAATTATCTATACCTTCATTGATAATTTGTAAAGCAGATGCCATATGGCCAGATTCAGAAAAGAATTGTGAGAAGTCACAGAATCCTGAGAAATACCACAGGAAGCTTCAAAAGTTAAAGAAAGTCTCTTCGGCTTTGGAGGAGAAGCAAAAGGGATATGTGCTTCATCCCTCATCAAGGTATACACCTTATCCTTAAGATCCTTCAAAGATGAAGGAGGATCATCAGTCTCCTTGGTGGCAGGTTGGCGATCTGACTTAGAAGAAGGCTCAGGGGCCGTCTTCGATACCTTGGGAGAAGAAGAACTATCATCATCCTCATCAGTGAGGAAAGCCCTTTCTTGACTCCCAGGAGAAACAGAAAGCTCGTCATCCTCCCTCTCATCATTTTCTACAGACTTAGCTGGAGAAGGTTGATGGGATGAAACTCTATTCTTCAGTAGAGACATACGACTGGATAGAGTACTAAACTCAGCCTTGAAAGACTCACCAAAGTCCAAAAGTAACTTCTGAAAACCATCTAAGGAAGGTGCAGAATCAGAACCCTGAGTACCATGAGAAGAGCTAGAAGACTGAGCTCGAGAGTCAGGTTCGGGGGCAGAAGGAGCTACTGCAGGAGTCAAAGATACTGCTACAGGTGGAGCAGGAGCTAAAAGTGGAGCAGTAGCTACCCCTGAAGGTGGACCATAGAAATTGTCCCTGTAATGCCACCATAAGGGTAAGACAGTGGCCAAGGTGGCTGAGACCATGAGGGTAGAGGTTGGGTGACTGAGTTGGGTAGCATATACCCACAATAGGACACTGGGGGTCTAGAACCTGGCAAGTTCAAGCCCTTAGCTGTACCTGGGACAGAACGAATAGTACCCGATGAATTAACAGGCCTAGATAAGGAATGAGTCACCGTAGTTGACGTAGGGCACCCCCCCCCCCCCCCCAAAAAAAAATGCATGGCCAAACCTTGTGAAAGGGTCGGACATGTAGCATTACCATACACCATTGTCGAAACTCCGGTAAATGTACTGGTAGTAAGGGGGGACTTAAAGGTAGTGACCCATTAAGGAAATAGTCCGAACCAGGATTAGTGACGAAAGGACTGTAAATTTAGTCAAAAAATAATTTTGTCTAGAAATTAATACTAAACAAGGGAATAATTTCAAATAATAATACACAATATAAATTAGAAAAGCAATTAAGCAATTCAAAAACTTTACAATAACAAAATTCTTCTCTGTTAAATCTGTTATAGTAAATACACGTGTGACCAATGTCGCAGATAGAAATTGAATGGGAGAATATGGGTACACAGGGGTATTTGTCCAGACCAGCAACCAGTGATAGTACGTTTATTTTTAGTCGGGGATATTCCATTTGACCTTATGACGCAGTTAGGGTATACTCAGAATTTATGATGGTAACGTATTTATAGCTATAAAATTCAAGTTCCTGATATAGATGTGAGATATAAGTACTGAATCTCGCTGAAATGTGTGTTAAAGAGCGAAAGGTCATCATTAATATACTAGCACTGATTCTTCGCTGAAATGTGTGTTATAGAGCGAAAGGACATCATTAATATACTAGTACTTAATCTCGCTGAAATGTGTGTTATACAGCGAAAGGTCACCATTAATATACACGCACTGAATCTTGTTGAAATGTGTGTTATAAAGCGAAAGGACATCATTAATATACTAGTATCTGAACATGAATTAAAAAAAAACTTTCAAAGATTTTTTTCTGTCTGTCTTGGAAAAGCATTTGTATAAATTTTGCTTTATATGAATACAAAAACAAGTCAACTAGAAGGGGTGCACAATGAGTACCCATGGTAATACCTACTGTTTATTACACCCAACTCAACAGATATGTTGTCGTTCAAAATGTCCAGCAATTTCATTATTTCTTGTTTTTAAATTGTTTCATCTTCTGTGTTTTTGTTGTTGGAATCAGTGTGGTTCTTCATAAACAAGTAGTTTTAGTGAACTAAAACAAGAAATTTGTATATAAAATTTCCATTTTTGTAGAAAAAGCACTGTTAAATGAAAAAGTGACCAATCTTTCAATTGACCATGAAGAATAGTAGTGCGGGTTGTACACAAATCATAAGTTTTGTTACCAATGCAAAGTGGTAATGATTCTGTATGAAGATTTTTACCATATGTCAAGGTCAAAATCACTCAGAGTATAGACCAGTAGTGAATAAAAACAGAGTAACAATCTCTGCTATCAACACCAAATAACTTCAAATATCATTTCGTAAGAACATTTAACATTTTCTTCTTACACAAATACATGGAGACGTCGGTGTATATGTCAACCAGACAGAAACAAAACGACACAGAAAAACCAAATACATTTTAGACTAGATGTCTGCATACGGTCTATACAACAATAGTTAGACCATATAGTGTGTCCCGTGTTTAAAAAAAGCTGTTAACATTTTAACAGATACTATCAAAGATCTGACATCAAAAACAAATTCCCCTAAGGACAAAAAGACATTAAGTCTGTAAGGTATAACAAATGACAACAACTAACCATGGTTGGTTTATGAAAGGCCCAAACACATGAAGCGAGATTTTAGTCCGGAGATTTCACCTACCCCCCTTTTTAATCTCGGTCACCATGTATATCTTAATATATAAATGACATTAATGGTACTTAATATTTCAGCTTTTCAATGTTACAATTGTTCTTCGTTCAGTCAACAAAGTTCTTGTGGCCTGACAGATCCATTGCCAAACTATCTGAAGACGACTTCTTGTAACACTCAATGCTATAAATGGGTATTATTTTCTTATGCCAGTGGTATGTATACTATATTTTGCCATTATCATTATTTTATGTTGTAACCAAGCCTATTTTGAAGGCTCCATCTAACTATTCAAGGAAGATTCCTTTATTCAACTATAGGCACCAACGAAAAAAAAGCATTACCAAGTAATCTTTAATTAAAAAAAATGATATGAGAAAACAAAAAGGCAAAACATTTAAAAATTGAATCTTTCAGATTCTATCATAATTCATACTGTCACGAAATTTTGTTAGCTATAATTTATTTGATAAAATGTGACCTACGATCATTGAATGATAAATTTAGCGTACTTCTTTATCACGATATGTGTTGAACTATAACACTTAGTGGGAGATACGTTTTCTTTGATTAGAAATTAAAAATAAATCTAAATTTATGATTCTGAATTATTTCGTGTTTTTCATTTAATTAGTGAATATGTATGCCTACACTTTATACTTGTTGCTCATTGAATACACGACTCATTTCGCTTATAGCTTTTATTTTGTATGTTTTTTTTTATATAGGATAATTACATATGTTATCCAATGTAAACGCGGAATGTCATGCTCTCAGTCTGTAAAAGAACTCTTTTAAATCTTTTTGGGGTGCCCGTAGGTTGTATGTTTCAAAGCGAAACTTCTTACCCTACTCAACAGGCTCTAATTTTCGAATGGCAGTAAACAATTTCCGACATTATTCTACATGGTCAATCCCTCTTCAAAAACAACCTGTGGTATTTGTTCACATAACTTGTACCTTTATGCGAGCTTTTTTAAAAGTAGCTTAGTATTCTACCTTCATATTTAGCTGGCTTACTTTGTACAGTGCTCTATTCATTGTCACATATTTTTCTATATTGTATTAAGACAGTACATCTTTTGGTTACATTTTCAGAAGTAAGAAGAGGTTGTAAGAAAAATGGTATTTCACCACCTGGTTCGAGTTATACAGAGTATTTATGTTCCGCCAATTTGTGTAACAAAGCTCCTTCTATAACCCAATCTACAAAGATGATGTTTTGTATGCTGTTTGTTGCTGTCTTTACCATATTTATCAACCGAAAGTGACCTTAACATTCTTTCGTGATATCTATTTTTGAAAAAAGTCTTATGTTAAATGTTTACTGTTTAATGTAACTATAGAATGTAATGGAAAATTATGCAAATGAACGTTACAGAAATGATAATTGGAAAGATTTTTAATTTTTTTTAAATATGTTGAACACAGTTATGTAAATATACAAACATATAATTGTAATATCATGTACCCTCTTTTTTTATTTAAAAAAATCTGAAATCAATAATAACATGTTTTATCTCATATATATGTTTTCACGTATCGAATTTATGTCATTTTGATATAAGAAAGAAAAATAATGGAATAAAGATTGAAATGTGGTTCCTTTATTGATTATTGAATGAAGTTCGTGTAGTTCAGTTTCATGTATTGTGTGTATTGAGCTCATGTGTGTCAAAAGTGGTTAATAGTAAGGAATATAAACGTGAAACGCAGCTTTTAGTGCGACGTTACGTGTTTTTGTTTCAGTTACACTTTTGACAAAAAGTTTTGGAGGCCAATTATATAAAATGTCTGGATCATTAAAACAAAAAGAACCTAAAGAGATCCAAAAAGTGCGACCAAAACAGTCAAAAGTCAACTATTGAAGAAGTTTCGGTCTTAGTTTAGTACAATTCAAAGTTTGTAAGTAAACATTTTTGAATCAAAATGCATCATTAAAGTCATGCCAGTACCGAGGTGCTTGCTACAGGGCAGACGGTACCCTCAGGACAAAAGTCCGCCGTCATCAATTTCGACGGTGTAAGTATCAACCTATTGAAAACGATTTCGGTGCGTATATACGACGGCTTGGTTTTAGAATATCCTTAACATAGTCAACGTCGTAATATTTATTTCCAAATGAAAATAGATTTGAAAGTGTAATCAATTGTAAAAGAAATTTTGTGTTATTGAAAGAAAATGGCCGAGGTATTTCATCAATTTAAAAGATGTTTGTTTTATACAAGTAAAAGATTGTACAACTGTACAAAACTGTTTTTGTGCTGAAGCTAAAGTTACAACCCCTCTGTTATAGCTGATCTTAAAGACGGTGTTCAAGGCAAGGCTAAACTGTTTATGCCCTTTGATGTTGTGCTCTCCAACGTTTTATTTATTCTTGGTTTTACCATGGAAGTATTATATTGACAGGAACTCCAACAAGCGGACTTCAAACGTTTATAGTGCGATGCCGCAAAATCGTTAAGTATCTGTTAATTAACTCGACATGTCATATGGATGCATGGGTTCCGATCAATTTTTTGGAACCTCGTGATTGATCGTAACATGGAAGTAATATTTACCTTTCAATATTACTTCCATGATCGTAATTACGAAACATACCGAAATAACCGGATGTATACTTAATTGTCAATTGTCAAGGAAATGACATTTTGCTGCGTAAAAACAAATAAAAAGAAAGATACGAAATCCCCGCGACTGCTTTCACAACAAAAAAAAAATGAAGAGTAACGTACACGTACAAGCTATAAACATTTCAGTTTAAGTTACAAAAAATAAAAATAGTAAGATTTTTTATTCATGAGAGGGCCGTTGGCTAAACACGCACAACTGTTACATGTGTATATACATGCTAGTCTTTGAAATCATAAAATTCTTATAAAATTTTTATCAGCAATTATTATCGCGTTTTACTGCTAACTTTGACAAATATTTTAATTAAGTGTTTACTGAAAAAATTTCGAACAAAAATTTAATTCAAAAGTTTGTTCCCCATAGCGGCGGAGGCCGGGGGAGGTTAAAGGGCTTTGATCGAAAAAAAAATCAAATATTTTGATTAATTGTTTACTGAAAGTCCAATGGCAAATATTTCATGCACTTCAACAAGAAACACAAACATAAATTGCTTAACATACGGTGTAAGATGTTTAAGAACTGTTAAGCATTTACACACATAAATAAATTCAAATTTGGTTCCAATGATAAAATTATAAGAATGAAAAAAATAGTATACTGCTTAGGGACCATCATAGTGATCGTTCCAGAAATATTTAAAGCCATTCGTTAAAAAAATCTGTCGGACGTCAGAGTAATCTCGGACTAGGTGAATATTTAAGGTTGTTTATAACTTTGGAATTATTATAAAAGGTGTAACAATTCATCTGTCTCGTAACCTGATAATGCTATGTAGAAGTCATCACGTGCGTGTAATTATTAACCTTTTTAGTCTTTAAAACATATTGGATAAATACGTTAATAACATTTTTCTACATTGAGACGATAGAGAAAACCATAAATATTCTTGTAACATACGATTAAAATGTACAACCTTTAACGTAAATTTGAGCTATCCTTCGCCATTTTACACACTACACGCGCATCACATTGTTTTCCACAAACACCCGACTTTAGGTACATGTAATTTTTAATATCGGATATTTCCCGATTTCCAAGTTCCAATGATTAAAACATATTCGGCAAAACTGAAAATAAGCTTGCCCTCTTTCCGAATGTAGTTAATTTTCTTATGTCATTCTGTTAAATATGGACCAATTTTTTAGATCTTTTCAGCTTTTGCCTTCATTTATTGAACGGAAACAGGTGTCGTTATTCATGTGGCGATTCACAAATAACCACGGGAGTTTCCGTGTTTATTTGCATTGGTATGTAGATATAAAGACACTCGATACCAAATCACATGATAAGACCAGCTTCAGTTAACAGAACAGGCGAAGGCGGCATCGCAGATACCCCACAAAGGAGTTATCACGTACTTGACGAACTGAGTCGGAACCTTTTATTTTCTTAAAGAAATCAGTGGGATGGGAATGTGCTAATTTTTCGTTGGAGTTCCTGTCAATATAATACTTCCATGGTTTTACAAATGTTTTGCCTCTATCAAATTCGTGAAGTTTATTCCAGAAACACGCTCTCATATTTATACCTTATTATAGGGGTGTTAGTACTCATGAGTTGCCTTTTTCTTCTATTTTTTCTTATCAAGAAACATGTATTCAGCCAATTTCGTAAAGACTATTTGACGATGTTGCGTTTGTTTTCCGTATGAACTACTAGTACATGTATATTCGAAGCACTTATATGCCCACCGTCACTGGTGCGGGCTAAACTACAATCGTTGCTGCCGAAAAGGCAAACACTGTATGTTGTGTGGTCGTTAAATAATTTATTTCTAGAACGGTGCATATTAATCATTTTAAAATGATTTTTTTTATAGAAAAATATGTTTCTCAAGTTTGGTCCTCAATTCAAAAGTGAGGTATTGCATCATTTGCCTCATGACTTTGTTAACCTATGTCCTCCTGACTTGAATTTCTGTTGGTTTATGACCTGTGTAGAAATGTCAGTATTAAAAGATTTGAGTAACTTTATATTCATACGCAATGTAGTTTGAATCACATTTGGTCCCTTTTTACACCTTTTTTACACAAGGGAAAATGGTACTTGTATAACTCTTAAGTACCACGCCTTAGTGTGTCCTCAACCGCTAAGCAATCAATCCAATCAAACTTTTGACTCCCGCTGTTGCACTCAACTAACCTGCAGAGAACTAAACATTTAAAGCTGTTCTTTCCAAACGGGAGAATGGTACTTGTATAACTCTTAAGTACCATCCCTTGGTGTCACGGTCCTCAACCGCTCAGCAATCAATCTAACCAAACCTTTGACTCCCGCTGTCGCACTCAATTAACCTACAGAGAACTAAACATTTTAAGCTGTCCTTTTACAACGGGAGAAGGATACTTGTATAACTCTTAAGTACCACCCCTTGGTGTGTCCTCAAACGCTCCGCAATCAATTCAACCAAATATTTGACTCCCACTGTCGCACTAAACTAACCTACAGAGAACTAAGCATTTTAAGCTGTCATTTTACAACGGGAGAGTGGTACTTGTACAACTATTAAACACCATCCCTTGGTGTGTCCACAACCGCTAATCAATCAATCCAACCAAACTTTTGACTCCCTCAATTGCTCTCAAATAACCTGCATAGAGCTAAAGATTTTAAGCTGTCCTTTTCAAACGAGAGAATGGTACTTTTCAACAATGATCAAAACTCATACCGCGTAGCAAGCTATATAATACACCCCGATATCACAAATGTGAAACAATTCATACGAGAAAAATAACAGGCTGAATTCTCTAAAAACAATTAAACGAAAAACAAATATGGTACAAATGTATGCAGCAACAAACGACAACCACTGAAGTACAGGCTCCCGACTAGGGACAGGAACACACAGAATACGGTGGGGTTAACAATTCTAAGGCGCCCAACCTTCCCCTAACCCTGGACAGCGGGGTAACAGCATAACATAAGAACAAACTATAAAAATCGTACAAATATAGTAACAAGTAAAAAATAGTACAAGCACAAACACAATAGAGACACAACGTAGAGATCTGAGAGTGTTCACAGTTACTGAAAGCTAGTTCAAAGTCAATAACAACTTATAAAAAAATGTATCTAAGACTTAAATATCAAAGTGTGAAGACGTCATTAACAGTAACAGAAAAACAGGACCTTGTGCAATGCCAAAATATAGGTATCGACAGAATGTAGGGCCATGAATGTTCAAAGGTGTATAGCAATACTAGTAGAGTTTTCATCTATTGATAACAAATTCAATTTATTATACTTCACGTTAAAATGCCATATTTTGATTGGCTAAAACGAGGGTGTTAATTTACTCTATTACCCTTCATGGAGACGCTTGATCAAGTGTGCGCTTTATTAAATACGACTCTATCCTATGGCAAATACTCTATTACCCTTCACAGAGACGCTTGATCAAGTGTGCGCTTTATTAAATACGGATGGTTGTTATGTACAAGACGTCATAGTTTATTACTTTGAATTTGAAATTTAATCGACAGTAATAACAGAACATTCAGTATAATAAATTAAATAACACATATCTGAGAGGGTGATAGAACAGATTGTTACCCCTCGAAAAGACATTGTCAACCTTGGCTTCGCCTCAGTTGACAATGTTTTCTCGGGGTAACAATCTGCTCTATCACCCTCTCAGCTATGTGTTATTTATATAATGTATACAAATAAAACTAATTTTCAAAATTAATTACTGTGTTTAATTGCCATAAGTTTGTGTAAGGTAACACGATACCAAATGGCATATCTCCCGATTTCTAAATTTTTTGGCATGGCACACTTCTACTTTGATTCGCGTTACATCGGAATATGAAATAAAAAATAGGGGTCACCATTTTTTTTTTTTTTTTTTTTTTAATTTTTATAAGAAAACTTCAATTTTGGCGACAAATTTACATAGATATATATATAGGGAACATGCGTTTTTTAACTATTTTTTTTAGATTTTTCAATGGATGGCTATGTTCTATGATACACGGAGAAAGAATAAAATCTAACATAATATCTAGGATTGTATACTGAATCCATGCATGTATTGAAACACGTATGTATCCATCCTTGTTTTTAGATACATTGCTTCAAAGTTTACCGATACGCTTAGAATTTGACAGAAAATGTGACGTTACTGAATACAGAATAACGTTATTTTTATTTAGAGGTATTGAATAAAAAATATGTAACGGGATCTGAATGATGTTTGTTATTTTATTTTCATTTCCTCTATCGTAAATTTCCTATTAATTAAATATAACATTCTACTGAGTTAATTTTATTTCGTCCTAATCGGGTGCACTTTTAGCTTTTCAGAACTGAATCTTCAACTTAACCCTACCAAACTAGACTCAACGGTGATGTCAACACTGTATTCATGCATGAATAAATAAAGTGCTTCAAAAATTTGATTTGGTAAACAGTGATGTTGAAGTACAATTTGAATTGTTTGATTGTTGGTTGCTTAACATCCAGTGTCAAATATTTCATGCATTTTCAGGACGATACAATACAATTTGAAATAGTTGTGTTTAAAAGACACATTTGATGTAGCCGTCAAAAAAAGGTTTAACATTCTGTTAGTTGTAAAAATTATAAAGAAAATCAACAACCTGATAAAATACACATTCTAAATATAGTATACTCTGTATGGTTTAAACGAGTGAGTTGCCAGTATGCGTAGTTAGTCGGACAAATCTTGCAAACTGAATGCAAAATTTTATTTAAAAAGACAAAGTCCAATATTCTGTCATTCGAGGAAAATTATTAAAAAAAAATCCTGAGAATTTATATGCACCCTCTATATAGGTAAATCTCTCGGCGCAATATAGTATCAAAATGCCAAATCCAGCAACCTTTCATTTAAACAAAAATCTGACAAGATGCACATTTTTAGTGTATGTACTAGCACCGGTTCATAATTTAAAAGTTCAAGCTTAAAAACTTAGTCCTAAGAAATCAGCCGTATAAAACCCTATTTACAAAGTGCGGAACGGACTGTCGAACGGATACGGGTAAAAAAATATGCTCCTAACATTTTCTCGAGGGAGCAAAATATATATTAGCATATATGATTATGTTCTATCTTATAAGGCATTAGGTGACAAAATATCTTTTTGAATAAGCAGTTCATAGTGGAGTGGTAATTGTGAGATCTCAAATGTAGCAATGTAAGCAAGTTAACATCTACGTCATTTGGTCTTTGATGGAAAGTTGTCTCATTGGCAATCATACCCGTGACATCTCCTTATTTCATAATGGTTTGAGTTTTCTCCTGAAATACAAAAAATTTAAAGGCTTTAACAAGTATGTACTAGGAGACTAAAATATGTTGCTGTTATAGTTAAAATCTGACTTTTGTTGTGAACATGTGATGTTATAATTAATTTGTTAATCGTCTGTGAGTCGTTTTGTCTCCAACTTTGTGAAAAAGTGTGTTTTTCATTAGCTGTACCTGTACATCATGTCCAACTCAAAACAACAAAAACACACACATCCCCGAAGACCCAAGTGCAAATTAACATGAATCTAAATTCAAAATGACTTTAAGATCTCGTTGGTTTTTTGTCCCCCGCGCGAAGCGTTGAGGGAGACATAGAAATACCGGGCGTCCGTCCTTCACGGTCCGTCCGTTTAAAGAATCGATAAGTTTACCTAGAATCTAAGTTTACGGGCTCGATATACAACTTCACCATCGAAATTAGGATGTGTCATCCCGTTTGTTATAAGTTTTCTACAGGTACAGCCAAATTTCCGAACCAAATTTTTGTATCTATGAAAGAATTTAGTAAAGGTTTTGATTAATTTGTAGTAAGGAAATTCTTTACTTAAAATAATTTACCAGTTATACATAGATTACGTTCATTGAAATCCAAAACGTCACTGGAGACACGGGTATGGCGAAGGTGTTGGGATGTATACACACCGTTAGTTAGGGTCAATATATGTTCAGTGACAAAACTGCATTATGTCGATTAATATCTTTGCCTTTGTCCCCATAGAGGATTCTTAATTGGCATAAATTTAACAAACATAATATTTGCTTCGCATCATTGCTTCGCGTTATATTTAGTTTCATGGAATTCTGATGGAATTGTGAATGCCTTACGGAAAGGAAAATAAATTATATACGGTGGGTATTGGAGACGCGTTCGAAGAGTTAAGGTAGCACTCCACAGTTAGGTGCCAGTGCAGTTTCGCATTTTGGCCCCTGGGGATTTTTCAAATATGAGAGCTAGTGTGCAATAAAATTCATTTTTGGATAGCTGAAGATTAATATAGCCTTCATAGTGGGTTTATAGGAACATCTAGATTGTGTAATGCATTTATTTTGGGCTGTTTTCAGTATGACAATCCGTATTTTCATATCCAAACCAGACATCGGTCCGGCAAGTATTGCATTGTTTTTTTCTAACTTTTTGTCGCACGAACTTTGTGATTAAATTTTACGAAAAAATGAGGCGAAAGACACCCAATTTTTATTTGATAATTTGGTAGATTAATGTCAACAGTTTCAGAAAAGGTATTACTCATAGGCATTGAAATTCTAGTCTAAACCTAATTTTGGGGGAATATGTGACATTTTCATGCCCGTTTTTGCAATATATTTTTTAAATAAATGCAGAATGTTGCCATGGATACACAAAACTGAAGGATTTATTTTTCACCATTTTAACTTTTGAAAATTAAAATCTATGGAAGATACTGCCATACATATGTACATGTATGACACAAACAGTTGTCTTAATGTATTAGAAAGCCAGGAATAGAAGATGATTAAACATTTTGTGGTTCAATTCTTATTTTTATTTTCTAACGTATATTTATGATCGCGTCGTTTGTATATTGTTGGGTAAGATCCGAATGGGGCAATATATGTCTCTGATTTGACATTATAAAGAAGTTACACAGGCATACCTGTGTCTCGTCTATGTATACCTTTATATAAAAAAGCGACCCGCCCCATTCGGATCTTACCCAACAATATACAAACGACGCGATCATAAATATACGTTAGAAAATAAAAATAAGAATTGAACCACAAAATGTTTAATCATCTTCTATTCCTGGCTTTCTAATACATTAAGACAACTGTTTGTGTCATACATGTTATATTATGTCTCTTGTATTATATGTCTCTGGTCAAATATATCAATGGGGTGCTATTTTACAGAGCCGGATAATGTAACAATGGGTAGAAATATATATGCCAATGATCATAAATATCCATCTTCTATTTCGTTTGTAAAAACTTTGTACTAAACAAATTATTGTGAATGATCTCATGTCATTACATTAGCATCTAGTTAACATGTCAATTTTATGTCTGATAGCTAGGAAATATTTAAATATTACTAACTATAATATGATAAATAAGTAAACTGGTCCGCCATTCCATCTAAATCTCCGCACCGAAGGTGTAGCGATAAGTGAACACAACAGGGTTCCAGTTTAATAAAAAGTTAACACATTTTTTAAAAAAATATTTTGAAGGGCTTGTACTAAAGTTTCATACGTACCAAAGAATAAATATAGCTCGGAATATTTTATCATAAAATTTGAACCCTATTCAGGATTTAATTGTCATATTTGACCATTTACTTATTCTCAGATGCAGAGACATATAATACAATTGTATTATATGTCTCTGTCAGATGTAACTAGGAAGTTGTAGGATACAATCCTAGCCAAACCTTCAGTACTGTCGAGAAGTGAGCCAGGGTCCCAGTTTAGCCCTACAGTAATCCAAAATTTAACATGAAAGTTGCAGTGTATATTTCGATGAAGCAATGGCTGGTGATAAGTCACACCACACGGTTTATACAAATTGCAACTAATGACCTAAATGGGATTTTTAATCTCAAAAACGTTTTTAATCGGGGAATTTTCAAAACAAAAATTATGAAACAATAAGGACAAGAACCGTTATTTTTGGAAATTCCCGCAAAATATTTATCATTATTTTTCTCTTTCCTTTTCATTTGGCATGCATTATTTGTAGCTTTCTTTGTAAGTTGATTGCATAAGACCAAATAATCATGTTTGCCGATGTCATTACTCTGCATAATACATGAAATTGTGAGATCAATCTTAACGTCCATTGGCATTGACAATAATGTCAATATGAAGATTTTGTTATGCAATATGAGTTGTAAAATGAACAGAATCTGTTCTAAGAGTAAGACCTGACACACCTGATTAAAGGTGTCGTTAAGTCGTGGACACAATGTCCTCTTCCCTAGGTTAACCCTTTCACTGCCACACCGATTCCATACTTTGCCAGGGAAGATTTTGGTTATTCAAAAAACAACTGCACCGCTTATGACGTCCACAATGAGAGAACGTCATGGAGAGGGGCCAAGATGGAGGTGTGCACAGAATTACAAGTATCTTGGGGATTTTAATGTTTTGATCTGAAACGCGGCAGAAGAAATGCGAGTCATACGTATTTGAGGGGTTCCGTAGTAAATTGCAAGCGATACATTTATGTTTTGAATTGTTTTCAAATTTAACTTATAACAGTACTATATCAGTTAAACTTGAATATTGAAAATCGGACATTTATTTAGTATGTCTTATTGAAATTCAACCTATTTTAAAATGCCATGATAAGTTTTATTTACATGTATATACTGAATACACCTAATCGCTATTTACTCCAATCCGGATAAGTTCTGAAATTACACAACTTTTTCATCCAGTTGAAGCTATCTGGGGCCCTGTTTAAACAACGTATTATGCATAAAACTTTTCATTGTGACATGTTTAAACCATCGTAAACACCTCATTCAAATCAGTTTTTTTTTAATTTTGATTTGTGTTTTAAAAAGTTGATCATAATCTATCATAGTGTCCACTTTCTAAACATTTTCCTTCCTCAGCTCATTACTGGTGACCTTTGTATTTGAGACCCTTGACCCAAACAGGAAGTTGTCTAAATGACTGTTTTTCTGGATTGGACCAAATAGCGATAAGGGTATATTTGAAAAGTACACTTGAACATGTATGTGATATATCATAAAACAGAAACACTCTTTGATAATTAAGTATATTGGGGATTCCGGAAATAACATGAACAGTTTCTATTTAGATGTTATTGGCTTTGAACTAGCTTTCAGTAACGGCGTGTGAGTACTCTCAGATCTATACTTAGTGTCTTTTGTGTTTTTGTGCTTTGTTTCGATCTGATGAGTTGAGATCTTTTCAAGTGATACGGGAGACAGATTTATAAACATGTTTTCGAATCCCATATTTGAATTTTATGAAATATTGCACTACTGCATTGTTATAATTTTCCAATATAAAATACTGTTTAAACTAAGTGATTTTTATACGACCGCAAAAAAATTTTGAGGTCGTATATTGGTATGACGTTGGCGTCGTCGTCCGGCGTCGTCGTCCGAATACACAATGGTTTTCGCACTCTAACTTTAGTTTAAGTGAATGGATCTCTATGAAATTTTACCATAAGGTTCAATACCACAATAGGAAGGTGGGGATTGATTTTAGGGGTTATGGTACCAACAGTTAAGGAATTAGGGGCCAAAAAGGGGCCGAAAATAAGCATTTTTGTAACTTCCAGACATAACTTGTGTGTTAGCATATGGATCTCTTTGACATTGTACCACAAGATTCCATATCACAAAGGGTCAATGCTGGGATTGATTTTGGGGTTAATTGCCTCAAAATTTTAGGAATAAGGGGCCAAAAGGGGGCAAAAAACAAGCATTTTTCTAGTTTCATGACAATAACTTGTGTGTAAGTGTATGGATCTTTCTGAAATTTTACTACAAGGTTCCATTTCACAAAGGGAAAGCTGGAATTGAGTGTTGTGGTAATTGCCCAAAACGTTCAGTAAGAAGGGGCCTAAAAAGGGGTTTAAAATAAGCATTTTTTAGTTTCTAGACAATAACTTGTGTTCAAGTGTATGGATCTCTCTAAAATTGTATTACAAGGTACCATACCACAAAGGCAAGGCTGTTATTGAGCTTGGTTTGGGGGGAAAGGGGGATGGGGGTGATGAATCATAAGGGGGGCGGGGGTCAAAAAAGGGGTAATTTTTTTTTTTCCTTTTTTTTTTGTTTAAAATTTACATTTTAAGTTAGTTATTTTTTATCACGAAGAGAAAGTAGGAATTGAGTTTTGGGGTTAATTGCTCATTTATGAATAAGGGGCCAAATATTGGTCGAAAATAAGGATTTTTTTAGTTTGCAACAAAAACTTGTGTTCAAGTGTATGGATATCTGTGAAATTGTATTGCAATGTACCATACCACAAATTGAAGGTTGTGATTGAGGTGGGGGATGATGAATCAAAAGGGGGTTGAAAAAATGTGTGGGGGGTAGGATTTTTTTTTTTCCTTTTTTTTTCTTTAAAATTTTCCATTTAAAGATGGTTGTTTCAGATTTATATATGAAAGAAAACAATAATGATACGGTTATATATCATGAGGAACTGAGATTTAAAATTATGTATATTGGAAATTTAGGTTACATTGGAAAGTAATAATTGGCTTTGGGGGGGGGGTGGTTATGGCTCTAATGTTTAAGGAATAAGGGGAAAAAAGGTTAAAAAACAAGGGTTTCCATTTTAATAGACAAATAATTGAGTAAAGAACATTATTTAAAAGCAGTGTAAGGTTGGTAATTCAAACTCATTTAAATATCTCATCTACACTGCTTTTAAATTATGTAAATTGGAAATTTGCCAATAACTTTATTGTTAATAAATGCATTGGAAATTTGCCAACAATTTTAGTGTAATAAACTTCATTGGAAATTTGCCAATATAAAATTTTGCTGATGAAGGTTTTTTGTTTACCTTTAGCCTTGACTATGAAGTCATTTTCTATTTTTATAGCCTTATGATGTAGTTGAATTATTTAATACTTTTATGATGTGTTTAAATGGGGTTTTATCATGTTTATGGTTGCAAATTTATTGTTTTAGTATAATAAACTCCATTTAAAATTTGCCAATAAAAAAAATTTTTGTTTATTTTTAGCTATGATTATGATGTCATTTTCTATTTTACTTTTATGGTTGCAAAGAAATTTTTATTTTTAGATATTACTGTTAAATGATGCTGATTAAGGTTTTTGCTATGTTTAGCCATGACTATGATGTCATTTTCTATTTTAATATCTGTTATGATGTATTTTAATGGGCTTTTATGGTTACAAAGGAATTTTATTTTTAGATATTACTATAAAATGTTGCTGATGCTGATTAAGGATTTTGTTTATTTTTAGCCATGACTATGATGTCATTTTCTATTTTAATACCTTTATGATGTAATTTCCATTTTTAGATATTACTGTTAAATGATGCTGATTAAGGGTTTTTTGCTATGTTTAGCCATGACTATGATGTCATTTTCTATTTTAATATCTTTATGATGTATTTAAATGGGCTTTTATGGTTGCAAAGGAATTTTATTTTTAGATATTACTTTAAATGTTGCTGATTAAGGATTTTTGTTTATTTTTAGCCATGACTATGATGTCACTTTCTATTTTAATACCTTTATGATGTATTTAAATGGGCTCCCATGTATTTAGATTTTTGATTATTTATACATGTTACCAAATTGGTCCACATTGAACAAAAACGGTCCAAATTTCAACTTTATTACATTACATCAAACATTGAATTCTACATATTCTTTGATATATTGAAATTAACAAACAATTTAGTTTATGGATATTCCACCATAATAGGTAAATTAAATTTTTTCCAGTTCTTACACCACATTCATCCTGTGTCAGAAACCTATGCTGTGTCAAATATTTAATGACAATCCAAAGTCATAGCTGTATCAAGCTTGAATTTTGTGTCCATACTTGCCCCAACTGTTCAGGGTTCGACCTCTGCGGTCGTATCAAGCTGCGCCCCAGCGAAGCATTTTATTATGATTTGTTTTTATGGTGTGCTGTTACACCACTGTCCCAGGTTGGGGAGGGTTGGCGCCCACAAACATGTTGAACCCCTCTTCATCAAGTTCTATATGTGCCTGTCCCAATTCATGAACCTGTGGCGTTTGTTGCTGTTTATAATATTTATTTTCGTTTATTGTTTTGTACATAAATCAGGTCGTTTGATTTCTTGTTTGAACTGTTTGAATTTGTCATTTCGGGGCCTTTTATAGCTTGCTATGCAGTATGGGTTTTGCTCACTGTTGCATGAAGGCCATACGGTGACCTATAGTTGCTGACTTCTACGTCATTTGGTTTCTGGTGGAGAGTTCTCTCATTAGCAATCATACCACATCTTCTAATTTTTATATCGTGTACACTCAGAAAGAACGACTATTTTATGCAAATCTGCGATCTCTTAAAAGTTCGGTAGAGTTTCAACAGTTGGTCATCGGATTCACAATATGAACTGTTTGCAAGTTAGATTGACCCGACAGAAATTGAAGTACACGATATGTACCATATTTAGTTAAACCATTGGGGAATGATTCTATTGAACATAAATAACACAGTTAACGTGAATCACCATGATAAACTAGTTTGATGATGGACAGCGATTGCGGACTTTCAGGATTTCTCTTCTCCTGTCAATAAATAATAATCGCCAAATATTTAAAGAGCTATTTTAAACATTCTTTGATTAAAAAAATACGGGTATCTATGTGTTTGGAGGGTGTTTATTTTGAAGATACAGGTATAAAACTTAAGGTAGATCGGGCTTCTTCCGCCAGCTCGGATTGTAAAATACTAGAAAACAATCGGTCTAGATCTTTAATGAAATATGCATTTTAAATGAGGAATGCATTCATTTTGTAAGACTTTTCATCTTAAGGAAGATAATTGTGTGTTTTATTGTATTATTCCAATAGTTTTATTAAAAAATCAAAACCTGCAGCTTGGAAAAAAATCTCCGTGACCTCACTTTTTAATATAGTTTTGAAAACAACATGAGTCTTCATTTAATCCAAAGTATGAACAAATTCTATCTTTTTTTTATTAGATTTAATCCCCTCCTCTGAATAAAACCGAAATCTTCCCGCATTAAAACCCCGTGTCGAGCCTCAATGTATTGTCCTTACCATCTGTGACGTAATGTGTATTGTTACAAAACAGACGAAATAGGCAACAGTTGCTAAGCCTAAAAAAAGACCGTTGGCATTTGAAAGGAGTACAGAAAGCCTAAATATAGGCTTTACGGCATAGTAAGGGTTAAGTAGATGGAACAGTTATCTGTACCAGTACATAATACAGGTTTATGTGAAGGTACTCATAAATGTGAATTATATCCCAAAATGTTTTTTTATAATTTATATGAAATTTTCATGACTACATAATCTTTCAATACACCTTTTCGCTATTTGGAAATCTGGGCTGCTTGAAATATTGATATCATACAACAATCACTTTTCCATTGTGGCGTCAGATATTTTCTATTATAACGTCAAAATTTTAATGGAATTTTTGTGATGTTCAGTAATGGCGGACAAATAGCGATAAGGTGTATCAGTTTACTTGAGGTCTGGAGCTGGTAACTGCTATTTGTCCTTTGTTAATTTATGTTAATCATTGTCAATTTGAATTGTTGCTTCTTTTACCTATTTTAACAGCGGATTTTAAAAGGGGCCCAAATAAGCATTTTTCTAGTTTCCAGACAATAACTTGTGGAACGGTGTATGGATCTCTCTGAAATTATACCGCAAGTTTCCATACCACAAAGGGATGGTTAGGATTGGCTTTGAGGGTTATGGCTAAAACCGTTTAGGAATTAGGGACAAAAAAGGGGAAAAAACAAGGGTTTCCTGGTTAATGGACAGTTAAAAAAAAGTACAATGTTGAGTTTGGATTACCTCCCTTACATTGCTTTTAAATTATGTATAAAGAAATGTTGTATTGTCTTGAGGTGATTTGCTGTCAATTTATTTTTAGAAGTTACTATTTAAAAATGCTGATTAAGGAATATTTACTATATTAATTTTAGCCATGATTATGTATGTCATTTTCTATTTTAAGACTTTTACGATGTATTTAAATGGTTAATAATGGTTGCAAACTCCATTGGAAATTTGAATTGAGATTATGACCATATCTTGAGGGAAAGAAAAGGGGTGGGGGGTTGTAGGTGAATATTCAAAAATTTCAAATATTTTTTTTTGGGGGGTGGGGGTCAATTCGCAACAGCATATTGTATTGCACAAAAGCAAAAATTGAATATAAAATATAAATTCAAATCATATAACCAATTCTAAGTTCTTTGACTACAGTTATTCTGTGTCAGAAACCTATTGTGTGTCAAATATTTAATTACAATCCAAATTCAACCCTGTATCAAGGGCGAATAATGTGTCCATTTTTGCCCCAACTGTTCAGGGTTGGTCCTCTGCGGTGGTATCCAGCTGCGCACGGCGAAATTTATAATTAATATGAAATTAATAATTTATATCTTTTTTTTTCCATCAAGGCTTTAGAAAGAAAACTGGCATACTGTTTAATGGTCAAACATGAAAGGCAACAATTTCCGGCTGTTTAATGAAAGTAAAGACCGTGGATTGGACTTTCTAAGATTTCTGTCTACAGAAGAGATTTCAATTCAAAATCAAGAGAAAGAGAAGATAAAAAATGTTTATCATTCTGGCTACAATGCTTACAGAAAACAGATAAAACCAAATGAATCTCAGATCCCATTTCCAGTGATCATTAAAGCCCTGTTTATCATGGGAAAGCTTCATTTGCGAGAAAACAGAATGTTTATGGGAGAAGCACCTTTAGAATATATCAACTCCCATCAGAATAGGTCTCCCAGGCATCAAAACAGTGCATATCAAAATTTACCTGCACCAAATATTTCAGGGAATTCACTCAGAAGAAATGGTAAAAACCACAATACAAAAATTCCATCAGCCAGTGTCCAACAAAAAGGTACTGAAAATCAAAACACAGAGTCAGGAGCACCTAAAAAAAGGTCTAGAAACAGGAGGTTTAGACGAAAATTTCCTGGTCGAGTAGCAGTTGATCAGCATCTTCTAATAAATAAAGAGTCTTCAAGTGAAAGTGATGCTGAATCACCTGGGAGTGACACATCACCAAACCATAACACTAATGCTAATACATTTAAAGTTTCTGATTTTGATCTTTACACTCGTAAAATTGGAAATATCTATGAATGCATTGCATGCTTAGCAAAATGTACATCTAGAGATGAAATTGAACGTCATCTAGAAGGAAAACGTCACAGACTTGGTGTAATGACTTTTGAATTGAAGAAAAGAAGGTGATTTTATTGACATATCTCTTGTTATGTACATGTAGATCATAATAAAAACAAGGAGCTATGGTATAATTGCTAATGAGACAACTTTACACCAAAGACCATAGGATGAGGATGTTATCATGTTAACAACTATAGGTCACTGTACAATCTACAACAATGATCAAAATACGATATAGTAAGCTATAAAAGGCTCATCATGACAACATAGGGATTAATTCAAAAGAGAAAACCCATGAAATGATTATATTGGACCTCACATTCCACCGTTAATTTGACATAGACACTTTATCATGTATATAACAATGATACATTGTAACATCTTACATTTTAAGACACTTTCATCTTCTTAAGGACTTATTTATTATTTATAAGCAGGATAAGAATACTGTGGATTCATTATTGTTCATTTTGATACTAAATTTCTAGGATTTCATTTGTAAAGGTGAACCACAAACTTGAGTGTTTAATTGAAATCCAAATTTCATATAGGCTTGTGTGCAAAATTTATCAAAAACCAAGTTATCAAATATCCATGAATGTACAATTTTTGCTTTTTACTTAAAATAATAAAGCCAGTTTTCTTCCCTAATGAATAATGCTGAAATTAAGATATGTTTGCTAATGATGCAGGGATTGCATAAAAAATTTGTATGAATAGATAGACATGCTTAGTAAACTGTCCTATATACAGATGCTTTCGAGTTTCAGTTTTGTGAAATTGACCCTAATGAAAATTTAAAAAAAGATGCAAATATAACGATTTAATGATCAGCTGATCTTTACAGTTACCAGTGCTATTAGTAATAGTTCCAACTTTATTTGGTCTTTAGAATTATTGTATGATATACATTGTACATATCTGACAGAAAGGGTGCTAGAGCACATGACTTTTACCTCATTTCATGGTCCATTGGTTTTATGTTTTCAAGATTATATAATTTTTTTCAAGTTACCATCTGTAATAGTCAATAATTTGGTCTAAGGCATTATGGATGAAATGGCTACTATTAAAAAGAACTTTGTAGACACAAATTTGATGAAATAGATTTTATTTTCAGAAATGAATTGGTTCAAGATCAGAAAGGTATACAGATTATAAGTGATGTCCCTTGTGCAGACAGTACTTTTTGTTTGACAATACATGAAAAGGTTCCAAAGACTATGGTTTTGTCCATTAAAAACAACAGTAGTGACAGTTGTGAGTTGGTCCACTGTGAATTGCTGAAGCGGATCAGAGTTTTCCAGTTAGATGATGACCATGGTGTTACAGAATCACAGGCAACCATGAATATACTGCCAGGTTTGTAGGAGATATTAGTTCTTTACAAACTTCAAGAAATGTCAGGTAGAGTTCTATTGTTATGTTTCAAGTCAAAATCAATAATTTTGGTATTAGTCTGGTGAAGTAGATTGATTGATTGATTGTTGATGATTAACTCAACTTTCAGAACTCTCGGTTGTATTGTCAAGTCTGTTTTTATTAGTGAAGGAAACCAGAGTGCCTGGAGAGAACCACTATCCTTCTGCAGGATAAAACTGACAATCCTATTCAATTAAGATTAGAGTAGAACATACCTGCCATACACAGGATTGTCACCTACAACTCAGTGTTGACAGGCTAGTGATATTTTAGATGAACAACTTAGACCACTCAGACACTGAAGCCCCTATGTGATGTTGAGATTGTTGTGTTTAAATTATGATGCATTTAAAAAACACTTGTGCTATAGCGAATTCATCAGTTTTTTTTGGAAAATCATTGTTTTATGGGCTTCAGTATTTTTGTGCAACTTAAAAAAAGATTGTTTTCTTTCGTTCAAAATTGATAAGAATTTGAACTGTAATGTTTTTTAAAAGAAGTAATAACAATACCTGATCATGTATATTTTTTTATTGGGCAGGCATAGATAAGATTATTTGGCCTTAAGCATCTAAACCACCCTGTTGTTCTGTATAACATATACACAAAGGCCATGTTTAAAAGAACACTTGTACCAAAAGTTAAATGTTTTGATATGCTGCTAAACATTTCATTTAAGAAATAATTATTACTAATTATTATGTAATATCATGTGATTTCCTCTTAGAAGTTGTCAAGATTTTGAATACATCTTTTGTATATTTACTGTAATGGCTTTATCTACAATGCAGCATGCAGAACTTACTTTTTTATGTGAGACACTGTAAAAGTGTTTGTTCTCATTCTAAGCCCATTTATATTTTCTTCGATAATATAATTTTTTTAGTCCCCTACCGATTAAGTCGAAGGGGACTTTAGGTTTGCCCTCTGTCCGTCTGTCTGTCCGTCCATCTGTCCATCCGTCAGTCTGGCAAATCAGTTTTCCACACTTTTTTTCTTCGTTCTTGAAGATATTGATATGATATTTGGTATATAGTTTTGCCATGACAAGTTATAGATCAAGTTCGAATTTTGTTCCGGTCTGATGATTTAGTCTAGAGTTATGGACCATAACTCTGGACCATATCTAATGTTAGAGTACTATGTTAAACCATATTTTTGTACAAAGGGAGATAGCTCATTTTTTAAAAGACATTCTTTGGTAAGTTATTTGAAGAATTTTTTGGCAGGTTTGTTTGTTATTTTGTATAAACTAATTTTCTGAATGCTATATATATATATATAAAAAATTATGAAGTGAAATCCTTTAATTAGATAATAATCTATTTTTATTAATGTATATATTACATTTAATACATTGTGTAGATAAAAATTGTTGACATTTTATAGATAAGTTACAAATCTTTATTAGTTTGTGACAAATAAAAGAAAAAATGTTTGGAACTATTAATTATATTTGGTTATAATTTGAAAATAGATATACACTGTATTACATCATATCTAATTTTAGAGAACTATAAATCATATCTAATGTTAAAGTGTTTTCCATACTTTTATTCATCATGCTTGAAGATATTGATTGATAATTGGTATATAGTTTTATCATGACAAGTTATACAGATCAAGTTCGAAATTTTGTTTCGGTCTGATAATTTTGTGCAGAGTTATGGTCCTTGGACTTGAAAAATTCACTCATTTAATCAGTTTTCCACACTGTTTTCAGTCATGCTTGAAGCAGGGCTTCCAAAATTTTTTTGAGCCAGCCGGACATTTCATATCTCATCCCGATTTTAAATCCCTTTAGACTTAGTAAATTAGGCAACTATGATAATCAGTTGGCCATCATATATGATATAACCAATGAGTGAAATTAAAACGATGTTAAACTTTACTTTGATATAAATTCGATGTTCTGACGTAAAGTGTTAAATTGAAAGTTCAGCATTCGAAGTGTGCAACATCAGCGTAGTAATTCCGCTTTAGACTCTTTATTTGTGCAAAATAACGCTGTCAAAAGCTTTACTTTCGTTTTTAAAATCACATTTTCCTAATGCCGGATGTTGACTTGACAATGGTAAATCACGGATCAGAGACGGATACGTAATATCCGTGTAAGTTTACGATTGAGTTAAGTAGCCTTTTCAAGTTATTTCTTCAAGAAAATACTCGAAATGAACGTTAGATAAAGGTATCAATGATAATTTTAGCATTATTGAAGAATTAGGATGCATAATTAAATTTCCCACTGGCGGACAATATACACATGCGCACACGTGTACTAGTTCAAACAACGTGGTTCTGACGATTATTCGTTTAAAACCTTTTCAAATTTTTCATCAAATCATATTTATTAACATATTTCTTATAATTTCAATCTTTTAGACTAAATTAATTAGATGCAACCCGCTGAAATGTAAGAAAATAAATTTGAATACCCTTTAGCGTACCCCAGTATTTAACACGATGTACAGTGTTTTTAAATATGATAATGAATATCATACATATTCGAATTCATTTGTAGATATTCTTATTTGAAGAATTATTTTAAAATTTAAGGAAACTTTTTTAAAACTGAATGGTCATTTACAATAATATCTACAAAGCGTAATTAAAAAGGATGTTGTTCCATACACGCTTACATGTTTGACCTCGTTTACCTGATCACCTTTATGTTCATTGTTATGCACCATCAATTCTATTGATTAAGACAAGCTAAGGTCTCTCATCAAAGGTAATGACCTGTAATCAGTGAACGATTTATGGCTTCAATATTACTTATTGAAGGGATAATTGTTTGACAGCTTGTTGTTTTTAAAATAAAAAAAAAAAAAAAATCTCCTTTTTATTGATGTACCAAGCCGTGCATTTGTGTACCCAGAGGATTAGACTAACTGAGACACTTCAAAGTATGAAATATGCTGCATCTGTTTTATTAAACCCAAATATGACCGAAATATCTTTGTGAAATAGATTGCCACAATTATAAACTATAATGCCCAAATGGACATTTTTACCGATCGATAGTTGGTAAAAAAAGTGAAATGACCGTTTTATGAAAATGCCTTGAATAACAAAAAGTGGCAAACCTATGATATTTGACCGTTTGAGGCTGAGAGCAGCCGGACTTTTTATATAAATTTCGGTCAAGTCCGGAATATATGACCGTTTTGGAAGCCATGGCTTGAAGATATTATCTTGATATTTTCTTTTTGTTTACACCATGACAAGTTATAGAACAATTTAGCTTTTTGTTCCAGTATAATGAATTTTTACCTGGTAGGGGACTATGTATTGCCATGCAATACTCTCAGAATGCTTGTTATTATAAGCATCACATGGTTTCTTTGATCTGAGTTCTTTATTTAACATTTTAAATATTTTAACTGTCAGTCGAGAAAGGAGAAATATCACATTATACTCCATTTAGTGATAAAATCTGTATGTTTAATTTAAAACAGTAAATCAATTTATAAGTTATGTTTTCAGGTGGAACATATAAGATAAGAGTGAAGACATCTGCCAAGAATGTTGGTACATATCATGCTCCAGTTGCTTTCCACTTCAACAAATATGATGACCAAGAGTTCCATATCATCAAATTTCTCTCTGCAAGATGTGTAAATGATATTACTGAGAATATAAAGCCAAGTCTGCCATATAAACGGCAGTCAAGAAGAGCATTGCAGAGGTTGACTAAGGAAATTGTAGCAGGCTATCCTTTACCAAAGTACGGAGAAAAAATCGTAAAAAATAAATAATACCAGCTAAAACAATTCAACAAAGAATGACAAAAAGACCGAAAAAAAGATGCAAAAACTAAAATTAAAAAATACCAAACCTCAGGAAAGTTATATTTTGCCTACACATTGTCATAAAATCATAAGGAAAACAGATTCTTCTAATTTGGGTTAAAGTTGAGAGTTAAATGTCTATAAAATCCTTGAGGCAAACATGTTTGAAAATTAAAAAATGTATCTGTTTCTAGTGGAGAATTTGATCTTTGACTCTGTTTGCACAGATGTTATCTTTATATGTATTTCCTTTATTGCTTACTGATAACATTGATTTTTGTAACATAACAGAAAAATTAATTTGTTACAGACTTTATGGTGACAATCTTAAGAGAGAAATTGAGTTAAAGTCTTACTTAATTCCTACTTCAACCCGCCACTTAGTTAATAAAGGATTGAAAGACACAAAAGGGCTGACACATGTGCAGAAATCAGATTTGACTGAGATAAAGTAAGTATAGCAATTATGTTCAGCAATAATTGCAATTAATTCCGTAACTATTCCACAAGTGCACATAATGATAAAAGCATTATGAATGATCCTTTTATATTATATTACAAGAATAAGATATAAAAAAAGAAGATTATGCAGACGATAGTTATTATAATACTAGAAACCGTTCTCACTATAGAGTTAAGATGTAGATTGGACATATTTTTATTATGCCCCCACCTTGGAGGAGGGGGCATTAAGTTTTAGCCTTGTCCGTCTGTACATACATACGTACGTCCCAAAATTGGTTTCCGTTCTCTCACTTTAGTTTGCCTCAACCAAATGTTATGAAAATTATACAAAATGCTTATTACTAAAAACACAGGTCAGGTTTGAATTTTGGTGGTGTCACTTTTACCGTTCTAGAGTTATGCCCCTTTACAAATTGAAAAATTGCTGAATTTTTGGTTTCCATTCTGTCACTTTAGTTTGCCTCAACCAAATGTTATGAAACTTATACGAAATGCTTATAACTACAAAACACAGGTCAAGTTTGAATTTTGGTGGCGTCACTTTTACAGTTCTAGAGTAATGCCCCTTTACAAATGTCCGTTCTCTCACTTAAGTTTGCCTCAACCAAATGTTATGAAACTTATACATAATGCTTATTACCACAAAACACAGATCAAGTTTGAAATTTAGTGGCGTCACTTTTACCGTTCTAGAGTTATGCCCTTTACAAATGGAAAAATTGCTGAATTTTTGGTTTCCGTTCTGTCACTTTAGTTTGCCTCAACCAAATGTTATGAAACTTATGCACAATGCTTATTACCACAAAACACAAGTAGAGTTTGAATTTTGGTGGCGTCACTTTTACCGTTCTAGAGTTATGCCCCTTTACAAATGGAAAAATTGATGAATTTTTCGTTTCCGTTCTCTCACTTTAGTTTGCCTCAACCAAATGTTATGAAACTTATACATAATGCTTATTACCACAAAACACAGATCAAGTTTGAATTTTTACTTAGTGGTGTCACTTTTACCGTTCTAGAGTTATGCCCTTTACAAATGGAAAAATTGCTGAATTTTTGGTTTCCGTTCTGTCACTTTAGTTTGCCTCAACCAAATTTTATGAAACTTATACACAATGCTTATTACCACAAAACACAGATCAAGTTTGAATTTTGGTGGCGTCACTTTTACCATTCTAGAGTTATGCCCCTTTACAGTTTCCTTTCTCTGACTTTAGTTTGCCTCAACCAAATGTTATGAAACTTATACACAATGCTCATTAACCTTATTAACACAAAACACATCAAGTTTGAATTTTGGTGGCGTCACTTTTACTGTTCTAGAGTTATGCCCCTTTACAAGTTTCCCTTCTGTCACCTTAGTTTGCCTCAACCAAATGTTATGAAACTTATGCACAATGCTTATTACCACAAAACACAGGTAGAGTTTGAATTTTGGTGGCGACACTTTTACTGTTCTAGAGTAATGCCCCTTTACAAGAGGAAAAATTGCTGAATTTTTAGTTTCCGTTCTCTAACTTTAGTTTGCCTCAACCAAATGTTATGAAACTTATACATAATGCTTATTACCACAAAACACAGATCAAGTTTGAATTTTAGTGGCGTCACTTTTACTGTTCTAGAGTTATGCCCTTTACAAATGGAAAAATTGCTGAATTTTTGGTTTCCATTTGTCACTTTAGTTTGCCTCAACCAAATTTTATGAAACTTATACACAATGCTTATTACCACAAAACACAGATCAAGTTTGAATTTTGGTGGCGTCACTTTTACCGTTCTAGAGTTATGCCCCTATACAGTTTCCTTTGTCTAACTTTAGTTTGCCTCAACCAAATGTTATGAAACTTATACACAATGCTTATTAACCTTATTAACACAAAACACAGATCAAGTTTGAATTTTGGTGGCGTCACTTTTACTGTTCTAGAGTTATTCCCCTTTACAAACAGAAAAATTGCTGAATTTTTCGTTTCCCTTCTGCCACATTAGTTTGCCTCAACCAAATGTTATGAAACTTATGCACAATGCTTATTACCACAAAACACAGGTAGAGTTTGAATTTTGGTGGCGTCACTTTTACTGTTCTAGAGTAATGCCCCATTATTTTCGTTTCCGTTCTCTAACTTTAATTTACCTCAACCAAACGTTATGAAACTTATACATAATGCTTATAACAACAAAACACAGATCAAGTTTGAATTTTAGTGGCGTCACTTTTACTGTTCTAGAGTTATGCCTTTTACAAATGGAAAAATTGCTGAATTTTTGGTTTCCATTCTGTCACTTTAGTTTGCCCTAACCAAATGTTATGAAACTTATACACAATGCTTATGACCACAAAACACAGATCAAGTTTGAATTTTGGTGGCGTCACTTTTACCGTTCTAGAGTTATGCCACTTTACAGTTTCCTTTCTCTAACTTTAGTTTGCCTCAACCAAATGTTATGAAACTTTTACACAATGCTTATTAACCTTATTAACACAAAACACAGATCAAGTTTGAATTTTGGTGGCGTCACTTTTACTGTTCTAGAGTTATGCCGCTTTACAAATAGAAAAATTGCTGAATTTTTCGTTTCCCTTCTATCACATTAGTTTGCCTCAACTAAATGTTATGAAACTTATGCACAATGCTTATTACCACAAAACACAGGTAGAGTTTGAATTTTGGTGGCGTCACTTTTACTGTTCTAGAGTAATGCCCCTTTACAAATGGAAAAATTGCTGAATTTTTCGTTTCCGTTCTCTAACTTTAGTTTGCCTCAACCAAATTTTATGAAACTTATACACAATGCTTATTACCACAAAAGACAGATCAAGTTTGAATTTTAGTGGCGTCACTTTTACTGTTCTAGAGTTATGCCCTTTACAAATGGAAAAATTGCTGAATTTTTGGTTTCCATTCTGTCACTTTAGTTTGCCTCAACCAAATGTTATGAAACTTATACACAATGCTTATTAACCTTATTAACACAAAACACAGATCAAGTTTGAATTTTGGTGGCGTCACTTTTACTGTTCTAGAGTTATGCCCCTTTAAAAACAGAAAAATTGCTGAATTTTTCGTTTCCCTTCTGCCACATTAGTTTGCCTCAACCAAATGTTATGAAACTTATGCACAATGCTTATTACCACAACACACAGGTAGAGTTTGAATTTTGGTGGCGTCACTTTTACTGTTCTAGAGTAATGCCCCTTTATTTTCGTTTCCGTTCTCTAACTTTAGTTTACCTCAACCAAACGTTATGAAACTTATACATAATGCTTATAACAACAAAACACAGATCAAGTTTGAATTTTAGTGGCGTCACTTTTACTGTTCTAGAGTTATGCCTTTTACAAATGGAAAAATTGCTGAATTTTTGGTTTCCATTCTGTCACTTTAGTTTGCCCTAACCAAATGTTATGAAACTTATACACAATGCTTATTACCACAAAACACAGATCAAGTTTGAATTTTGGTGGCGTCACTTTTACCGTTCTAGAGTTATGCCCCTTTACAGTTTCCTTTCTCTGACTTTAGTTTGCCTCAACCAAATGTTATGAAACTTATACACAATGCTTATTAACCTTATTAACACAAAACACAGATCAAGTTTGAATTTTGGTGACATCACTTTTACTGTTCTAGAGTCATGCCCCTTTACAAATAGAAAAATTGCTGAATTTTTCGTTTCCCTTCTGTCACATTAGTTTGCCTCAACTAAATGTTATGAAACTTATGCACAATGCTTATTACAACAAAACACAGGTAGAGTTTGAATATTGGTGGCGTCACTTTTACTGTTCTAGAGTAATGCCCCTTTACAAATGGAAAAATTGCTGAATTTTTCGTTTCCGTTCTCTAACTTTAGTTTGCCTCAACCAAATGTTATGAAACTTATACACAATGCTTATTACCACAAAAGACAGATCAAGTTTGAATTTTGGTGGCGTCACTTTTACTGTTCTAGAGTTATGCCCCTTTACAAATGGAAAAATTCCTGAAATATTTGTTTCTGTTCTCTAACTTTTTGCTTCAACCAAATGTTATGAAACTTGTGCACAATGCTTATTGCCACAAAACTCAGATCAAGTACTTTGGGTAGCATCACTTTTACAGTTCTTGTGTTATATCCCTTTATAACGTTATAATGCAAGGGGGGCATCATCTGTGTCCCACGGACACATTCTCCATTTATCAAAATCTTTTTTCCCTTCCTCAATTCGTGCATGGAATTTATTGCCGTAAGATATTAGATCCATTCAATCATCTCCAAATTTCAAAAATACAATCCGGCGAAATGATATTTCGTTTTTGGTACCTAAATGTTACCTTATTGGAATTAGGATGAAAAATATATTGCATACAAAATTACGACACAGATGTAGTCCTTTTAAAGCTGATTTATACAGAGTTAATTTAGTAAATGACCCAAGTTATGAATGTGGGTGTCCATTAGAAGATTCGATTCATTTTTGTCGAGCCTTCGACTTTAGTCGAAAAAGGGAGACATAGCGATCCTACATTCCGTCGGCGTCGTCGTCGTCGTTGTCGTCGGCGGCGTCCACAAATATTCACTCTGTGGTTAAAGTTTTTGAAATTTTAATAACTTTCTTAAACTATTCTGGATTTCTACCAAACTTGGACAGAAGCTTGTTTATGATCATAAGATAGTATCCAGAAGTAAATTTTGTAAAAATAAAATTCCATTTTTTCCGTATTTTACTTATAAATGGACTTAGTTTTTCTGCTGGGAAATATTACATTCACTCTGTGGTTAAAGTTTTTAAAATTTTAATAACTTTCTTAAACTATCCTGGGTTTGTACCAAACTTGGACAGAAGCTTGTTTATGATCATAAGATAGTATCTAGAAGTAAATTTTGTAAAAATATAAATCCATTTTTTCCTGATTTTACTTTTAAATGGACTTAGATTTTCTGCCAGGAAACAACACATTCACTCTGTGGTTAAAGTTTTTAAAATTTTAATAACTTTCCTATACTATTTTTGATTTGTACCAAACTTGGACAGAAGCTTGTTTATGATCAAAAGCTAGTATCTAGAAGGAAATTTTGTAAAAAAATAAATCCATTTTTTCCATATTTTACTTTTAAATGGACTTAGATTTTCTGCCAGGAAACAACATATTCACTCTGTGGTTAAAGTTTTTAAAATTTTAATAACTTTCTTGTACTATTTTGGATTTGTACCAAACTTGGACAGAAGCTTGTTTATGATCAAATGCTAGTATCTAGAAGGTAATTTTGTTTTCTTCCAGTTAACATTACATTCAGTCTGCAGTTAAAAGTTTTTAAACATTTATTAGATTCATAAACTATCCTGGATTTTTACCAAACTTGGACAGAAGCTTCTTTCAATCAAAAGATAGTATCAAGAGGAATATTTTTATTGATTAACTTCCTCATTTTTGTTGAGCCTGCGATTAACAGAAAAAGTAGGCGAGACACTGGGTTCCGCGGAACCCTTACGAATTTTTTCTTAGAATGTCCACTCTACATAAATTTTAGAAATCAGCTCTTTACAAATATTCAACACTTAGTTGCTATTTCCATAGAACATATTTTATTTGGAACAGACGAAATTAGTATTGAACAAAACACAATCCTTTTAAGAAATATACACAGTTATATACGCCATACAAAACGATTCTTTGATTAATATTGCTGTATCTTAAAATAAACTCGTACCCAACTGTTACTGTTTAAACATAATATATTTATTGTATATATTTTTCGTATTGTACTGAATTATATAATTGTTGTCATCTTAAAATTTTGTATATTGTACTTATTTGGAGAGGATTATGTTAAGTTGTTGTAACTTGTATCCAATCCTATTGTTGAACTTGGCCTGATTGGTCAGTATTAGCTATTGCTATCATTTGTCAAAGTTGCTTTTAGGGTGTGCAAATTTGAAAACTATCATACAATGATAAGGAATCCCACTTTGCATTCAGGAAGTTGTAAAATTAGTTATTTATGTGCAAACATGGCTAGCCATTGAGGATTTGATTCCCTATTTATTGATGTCTTTTGTATACGGTGATCCTATTGATATTAGATTGATTTTTGGTAATGTGAGTCTATATTAGCAAAGGAAAACAAGGATACTGATCAGGATGCCAGATAAAACTAAAGTTTCATTGCAGTTCCAAGAACCATTTCTGACATTGATTTTTAATTGATACTAAAAGCTTTAATTCGAGTCCTGTTTGTATGTATTCAGAGGAGGTGGATTTCACTGTATATTTTACCCACAATATTTGTCTTATTCTATGTATGTTAATTTCTATTTATGCAGATCAGCAATAGACAATCCTGTAGAACTTGGTACTTATGTGAAGAGATTTCAGAATTTGATGCACTTTGAGGAGATACAAATGGAATATGATATAAGAAAATATGACCTTGAAAATGTGCCCATGGTTTTTTGTTCTGATAACAAGAGACTGCTGAAACTTGAAGTAAGATTCTGAATGATTCTCTTCTTTATTTGAGATTTGTATAGCAGATATTGAAATATTGTCAAAAAAGGTTCTAATAAAATTAGTTTGCAATTGACCATGTTAACTAATATCTTTCTGTCCTTGAATGTTTGGGGAAGTATTAAAAAATAAGACGCAAAATCACAAATGGGGCTTAGCAGACCAAAATAAGTGGATAATAAACCTCAAAATTGGGGATCAAATCTCCTGATCAAAAAACCTTTATGTCTTCCTGATATGATTCTCACATCTGCCACATGTATATAGAATTTTTGCCACATTTTTGTCACAGAATTTCAATAAATATTCTGGACAAATGAAGTAGCAAACTATTGGAAAAGAAATATTGTCTGTTGTTTAGAAAATACCATATAATGAGATATACCCCTTTTCATAACTTTTCATGTACAGTATATAGAACTTATACTGATGAACTTTTCTCAAACTGGAAAATCAGGAATAATTTCTGCATACTTAAACATTATAAACTGGAAGGAAATTATTTGTAGGATTTGCAAATGTATTGCACAAATGTACATATTAAATGATTCTAACACAAGAGTGGTACATAAAAGCAAAGAAAATATGACATGAATAAAGATTCCATTGTTTTGTCTTAAAGGTTCCAGGATTAGCAGAAAATAGACCATCTGTTTTAAGGGGAGACAGACTTTATGTCAGGATAAACAACAATGAACACTTAAGTGACAAAGAATACCAGGGTTATGTTCATGAAGTAAGACAACTAGAAGTTGTTTTGGGATTTGATGATAGGTAATCTAAGAATATATTTGTAAATACTGCTAAGAAGGGCATCCAGGTTATGCCAACACACTAGTTTATCCACCCCACATTCTGTATGTGCCTGACTCGAAGTCAGTAGCCTGTAATTCAGTGGTTGTCGTTTGTTGCTATATATAACATTTGATTTACGTTCATTGTTTTGTACATAAATCATGCCGTTAGTTTTCTCGTTTTAATTGTTTGATATTTGTCATTATGGGGCATTTTATTGCTGACTATGCGGTATGGCTTTTGCTCATTGTTGAAGGCCGTACAGTGACCTATAGTTGTAACTTCTATGTCATTTGGTCTCTGGTGGAATTTTGTCTCATTGGCAATCATACCACATCTTCTTATTTTTATATTTACAGCCAGTCATTAAAACTATTTGTTTCTTAGACTAATGAACCCTTTGCATCTGCTAGGATTAAGTTTTTCATTGTCTATTTCAACATGTCCTTACATGTAGTTAACTGTCTGAGTTCTTGAAAATTAGTTTTACTAAACATTGGCATTGTTTGATTACAGCTCGGAGTCAATTTTCAAATGATGTTTTGACTGTTGGGTCACTTTACTTGGGGTTCAAATTACAATACGACACCAGTTTAAAACATTGCCATTATTCTCAGAGAATAAATATTGATAGTTAATCATATGTCTATGTAACTTCTTACAATATACAAGTATGGCCAGTAGAAAAGCTGATTATCCAAATTTGTCAACCCTAAAAGGTTATTTCCCTGAGAGCGCAGCCACGAAGTGAACTAACTTTTTGGGGTTTACAATTTTGGATATTCATCTTTTCTAAGGGACTACAATTGTTTTATTACACCGAACTAACAGCTAAAGGTCATTTGAACCATTGAAAAAGCACTTGCCTTACTATAGTAACAGTTAATCAAGTTAGTAAACTATTTTGTGTCCAAGAATTTCTGGTATGTACAACAAAGGTAGACTCTTTCTGTAAAATATTGATGGCCCTGAAAATGGCTGTTTACAAGAGGTATCCTCTGTAGTAGTTGAATTTCCAAGCCTTGTTTGATCTTGTTTCCTCGTCACTTGATGGGCTTCAAACCTGGCCTATGCCACTTTTGTCGAGCCTGAGACTTTTGTGGCAGAAAGCTTGACATAGGAATAGTGATCCGGCGGCAGCGGTGCTGGCGTTAACTAACTTCTTAAAAGCTTAATATTTCAGAATGTAGAAGACCTGGATGCTTCATACTTTGTATATAGATGCCTTATGATATGAAATTTCCGTCTGTCATATGTCCATTGTCCTTGATCTCATTTTCATGGTTCAGTGACTACTTGAAAAAAAAGTTAAGATTTTTTGTTATGTTAATTTCTCTCTTATTATGAGTAATAGGATAACTATATCTGGTATGTGCGTACCTTGCAAGGTCCTCATGCCTGTCACACAGTTTTCACTTGACCTTGACCTCATTTCATGGATCAGTGAACAAGGTTAAGTTTTCGTGGTCAAGTCCATATCTCAGATACTATAAGCAATAGGTCTACCATATTTGGTGTAACGATTGTAAGGTGTACATGTCCAACTGGCAGGTGTCATCTGACCTTGACCTTATTTTCATGGTTCAGTGGTAATAGTTTAGGTTTTTTGTGTTATGGTCTGTTTTTTTAATACTGTATGCAATAGGTCAATTATATTTGATGTATGGAAATATTTAACGATGTACATGTCAGTCTGGCAGGTTTTATTTGACCTTGATCTCATTTTCACGGTTCATTGCTCAATGTTAATTTTTTGTGTTTTGGTCTGTTTTTCTAATACTGTATGCAAAAGATCAAATATATTTGGTGTATGGAAATATTTTACGATGTACATGTCAGTCTGGCAGGTTTTATTTGACCTTGACCTCATTCATGGTTCATTGCTTATGTTAAGTTTTTGTGTGTTTTGGTCTGTTTTTCTTAAACTTTAAGCAATAGGTCAACTATATTTGGTGTATGGAATGATTGTAAGGTGTATATGTGTGACAGGCAGGTATCATCCGACCTTGACTTCATTTTCATGGTTCATTGGTCAATGTTCAGGTGTCCTGGTTAACTTTGTTTCTTAGATACTATAAGCAATAGGTCAAGTATATTTGATGCATGGAATGATTTTAAGGTGTACATTTCTGTCTGGCAGGGTTCATCTGACTTTGACTTCATTTTCATGGTTCATTGGTCAATATGGAATTTCCATGGTTTGGTTTGTTTCTTTTATACTATAAGCAATAGGTTATCTATATTCTGTGTATGGAATGATTGTATTAAAGGTGTACATGTATTTCTTGCTTGGTTTATCTGACCTTGACCTCATTTTCTTGGATCATAAATGTTAGTGTGATACTTGTTATGTAGTAAGACTTTATATGTAGGACTATCAACATAAAATCAATGATCAGTATAGTAGGCGAGACATTTCAGCGTGTGCACTCTTGTGACATCATTTTAATGGGATACAACTTGTGTTTGAAGTAAAAGCTGAAAAGTTTAATAGGGTTATTTATCGCTGGGGGTAAATTTTTAAGTTTATTCGTCCTTCCTTCCATGTCACATGATACTGTGTTACCCAATAGAATTGTTTATAATATATGTAAGGTATAATAATAAAAATGATCTGCTATTTTAGTTTAAAGCATAAATACTTTTTGTTTCAGTTTGATCCAGAGATTCATTGTGAACATGAAGTTTAATGTCAGGTTTGAGTTTAACAGATTACCTATGAGACTTCAGCACAGAGCCTGTGAACTTGCAATTGAAGAAAGTCTGGAACATAAAATTCTATTCCCTGACCGTGGGACTGTATGTACAGAACAGACCTCTCACCCTGTTAATGTACAGCTTAGGTAAAATGCTTTGAATAGATTGTAAAACTAAACAAAGTCTTACATATTGATTAGTGTAGCATATTAAATCATTTAAAACTTCTTATTCTTATTAATTATGAAGTTAAAAATTTTCCAAATAAAGATTAATTTTAGTCATTCATTGTTTACACAAAGCAGATTATTTAGTTTGCAAAACGTTTAGATTTATAACATAGGTAATTGGTGCGAGGATTTTTTGATTTTTTGATTTTTATACGACTGCAAAAAAATTTTGCGGTCGTATATTGGTATGACGTTGGCGTCGTCGTGGTCGTCGTCCGAAGACACATTTGTTTTTCGCACTATAACTTTAGTTTAAGTGAATGGATCTCTATGAAATTTTACGGTAAGGTTCAATACCACAAAAGGAAGGTTGGGATTGATTTTGGGGGTTATGGTACCAACAGTTAGGGAATTTAGGGGCCAAAAAGGGACCAAAAATAAGCATTTTTGTAACTTTCAGACATAACTTGTGTGTTAGTGTATGGATCTCTCTGACATTGTACCACAAGGTTCCATATCACAAAGGGAATGCTGGGATTGATTTTGGGGGTAATTGCCTCCAAATTTTAGGAATTAGGGGCCTAAAAAGGGGCAGAAAACAAGCATTTTCCTAGTTTCATGACAATAACTTGTGTGTAAGTGTATGGATCTTTCTGAAATTGTACTACAAGGTTCCATATCACAAAGGGAAAGCTGGAATTGAGTTTGGGGGTAATTGCCCAAAATGTTTAGGAATAAAGGGCCAAAAAGGGGCCAAAAATAAGCATTTTTCTAGTTTCCAGACAATAACTTGTGTTCAAGTGTATGGATCTTTCTAAAATTGTACTGCAAGGTACCATACCACAGAGGGAAGTCTGGGATTGATTTTGGGGGTAATTGCCTCAAAATTTTAGGAATTAGGGGCAAAAAGGGGAAAAAAACAAGCATTTTTCTAGTTTCAGGACAATAACTTGTGTGTAAGTGTATGGATCTTTATGAAATTGTACTACAAGGTTCCATATCACAAAGGGAAATCTGGTTTTGAGTTTAGGGGTAATTGCCCTAAACGCTTAGGAATTTGAGGCCAAAAAGCGGCCAAAAAAACAAGCATTTTTCTAGTTTCCAGACAATAACTTGTGTTCAAGTGTATGGATCTCTCTGAAATTGTACTGCAAGGTACCATACCTTAAAGGGAAGGCTGAAAGGGAAGGCTGGGATTGAGTTTGGGGGTGATGAATCATAAGGGGGTTCAAAAAATTTTTGGGGGAGGGAGATTTTTTTTCTCCTTTTTTTCCTTTTTTTTTCTTTAAAATTTTCCGTTTTAAATTGGTTATTTCTGATTTATGTATTAAAGCAAATAATAATGATATGGTTTGAATAGGTAAATTAAAATTTTTTAAGTTCTTAGACCACATTCATTCTGTATCAGAAACCTATGCTGTGTCAAATATTTAATCACAATCCAAATTCAGAGCTGTATCAAGCTTGAATGTTGTGTCCATACTTGCCCCAACTGTTCAGGGTTAGACCTCTGCGGTCGTATCAAGCTGCGCCCAGCGGGAGCATTTTATTGGTGTTTTAACGCCACTTTTAAGCACAGCTTTTTGACTATTTCGTTGCGGCCAGTTTTTATTGGTGGAGGAAGCCGGAGTGCCAGGAGAAAACCACCGACCTTAAATAGGAAAACTGACAATCCTAGTCAATTAAGATTGGAGTTGAGTGCACCTGCACGAGCAGGGTTCGAACTCACAACCTCAGTGTTGACTGGCTAGTGATTACATTAGTAACTACTTAGACCACTCGGCCACCTAGGCCCCTTATTGGTCTGAGGATGTTTACACTCATTCAGGTCTTAAAAAAAATAATTAAGTTTGAAGCAATACCTCATTTTGAAATTCATATAAAACTGAATATTATTTATATATGAAAAGAAATTTTGTTTCTGTTTAAAGGTATTTTTGTAGAGCAATAGAAGCAAATGAGAAGCAACAGATTGCTGTGAAACATATCACTTTAGGAACATCTCGTCCTTCACCATATATTGTATTTGGTCCTCCAGGAACTGGCAAAACTTTTACCATAGTAGAAGCCATTAAACAAGTAATGTTATTCAGTGTAGCTTTAAATAAATGTTCAAAAAAACATTGAAAGATATTTCAATTCTCAAGTCTTGATAGCTATTGTATGAACCTGGGTGGCAAAATAGAACTAATTTGAGTGATACCATGGTTTTTCAAGAGCCATAAGAATTAAACAAATTTGACATTGCACCGTTTTAATTCTTTTATTTTATTTTTGTTTTTTTTGTCTGAAATTTAATTAAATAAAAGAAGAGAAATGAATGTAGCATATACTGACTGTTCAGTGAAAGCATTCAAGGACTAAACTCCCAAGCCTTGTAAAAACAAATTTAAAGGCAAGACTGAAATATTTGTTATTTGTTCATATTTTGCATTATAGATATGGAAAACCAAGCCTCAGACTCACATTTTAGCATGCACACCATCAAACAGCGCTGCTGACCTGATAGCTGAACGTTTACTGGAACACATTCCTCCACGAGATATACTCAGATTAAATGCAGCATCTAGGAATTATAGTACCATTCCTGAAAAAGTTAAGGTACAATTGATTGCAAGGAATTTACATCACATATAAACTGAAATACTGGAGATGTGGAGCTCCTGTTGGTAGATCCTTATACAAGGCAGACCTGTGTTTTCTAGGGCGGGAGTCAAAATTTCTCATGGATTTTATGGTCCTGTTCGTATATTGCTATCATGTCGTCGTCATCTTGGTCGTCGTCGTCCGAAGACATTTGGTTTCCAGACAATAACTTTAGTTTAAGTGTATGGATCTCTATGAAATTTAATCAAAAGGTTCAATACCACAAAAGGAAGGTTGAGATTGTTTTTGGGGGTGATGGTCCCAACTGTTTAGGAATCAGGGGCCAAAAAGGGGCCCAAAACAAGCATTTTTCTAGTTTCAGGAAAATAACTTGTGTAAGTATTTTGATTGCTATGAAATTGTACCACAAGGTTCAATACCACAAGTAAAAGGTTGTAATTCATTTTGGGCAAAATTGCCCAAACAGTTCAGGAATTAGGGGCCAAAAAGGGGTCAAAACAAGCATTTGAGGTCTGGAGCTGGCATGTCAGTAACTGCTAGTAGTCCTTTGTTCATTTATGTATCATTGTCATTTTGCTTAGTTTCTTTTGTTACCTATTCTGACATCGGACTCAGACTTCTTTTGAACTGAGTTTTACTGTGAGTATTGCTATGTGTTTCTTTATTCTACATTGGCTAGAGGTATGGGGAGGGTTGAGAGCTCACAAAACATGTTTAACCCCGCCGCATTTTTGCGCCTGCCCAAGTCAGGAGCCTCTGGCCTTTGTTAGTCTAGTATGTTTTTTAATTTTAGTTCATTTATATGTTTTGGAGTTTAGTGTGACGTCCATTTTCACTGAACTAGCACACAATTTTATTTAGGGGCCAGCTTAGGACCACCTCCGGGTGCGGGATTTTCTCACTGCATTGAAGACCCATTGGTGGCCTTGGGCTGTTTTCTCTGCTCTTTGGTCGGGTTGTTGTCTCTTTGACAAATTCCCCATTTCCATTCTCAATTTTATTTTTCTAGTTTTCAGACAATAACTTGTGTTTAAGTGTATGGATTTCTCTTAAATAAGAAACTTTTTTCCAATATTGTTTTTTTGGAAAAAAGGGGGGGGGGGATTGGGGGGTGAAAAAAAATTTATTATGGGGGGTCAATTTTTTTCCTCAAGATTTAAGAAATTATCAATTTTCCCCAAAAAAAATTGGGGGTCACAATTTATTTTGCTTATTCTTTGTATATAGTCTGAAAACAGATTTACTAAGTATTGCTCAACAGCACAGTGTATTGCACAACAGCCAGAAATCTTCAATTGAATATAAATTCAAATCATATAACCAATTTCAAGTTCTTTGACTACATTTATTCTGTGTCAGAAACCTATAATGTGTCAAATATTTAATTACAATCCAAATTCAGACCTGTATCAAGCTTGAATAATGAGTCCATTTTTGCCCAAACTGTTCAGGGTTGGACCTCTGTGGTCGTATCCAGCTGTGCTCGGCAAAGTACATTTATTGACAATTTGAATCCCTAATATTTGGTAATTCCATTTTGTTTTACAGTCGATGTCATCATTTCCTGCCAGAGGTGAATATTTGTAGGTATTGAGGGTTAAGTTAGTAACTGAGATTTTTTTTATGATTAAACAGCAATAAGCAATCATTTACAATTAACACATGCTAAACAAGGTTGTTTATGGCACATGACTAGATTGTTAATAGTGAAAAATGACAATGGTTGTAGTTATGTAAACCATGACTCTATAATCTTTACTGCAGTTTAATGTTGGGACTGATCATCAACAGTGGTCCATCTGGCTATTTTCATCACACACGCTCTGCCCATGATAAATTGGAGCTCTGTTCTTTATATTTGGCCACTCTTTTCCTTTAACAACAAAATTACAATCTTGTCTTACAACAATAGTACAAATATATAGTTCAATGAACATATAAAACATCAATTAAAATGATGAAAAAAATCTTAGTTATGAGACCCAAACTAAAGCTGACATTTTTTAAAACTTCAGGTCTGACTTGGCAGCTCTTTTACAGATCTGCCAAGGCCTCTAAAAATAATTTAGTTGGCTAACTTGACTATGGAAGTTTGCAGTGCTTCTTAGTGTAAGTCACACAGAATTCAAAAAAAAATTTAAAAATTTTGCAGTCGTATATTGGTATCATGTCGTCGTCGTCATCCGAAGACATTTGGTTTCCAGACAATAACTTTAGTATTAGTAAATAGAAATCTATGAAATTTAAACATAAGGTATATAACCACAAAAGGAAGGTTTATGGTCCCAACAGTTTAGGAATTAGGGGCCAGAAAGGGGCCCAAATAAGCATTTTTCCAGACAATAACTTGTGGAATGGTGTATGGATCTCTCTGAAATTATACCACAAGTTTCCATACCACAAAGGGATGATTAGGATTGGCTTTGGGGGGCTATGGCTGAAACAGTTTAGGAATTAGGGGCAAAAAAGTGAGAAAAAACAAGGGTGTCCTGGTTAATGGAGAATTAAGTACAAATTACAGTGAAAGGGAGGTAATTTAAACACAACTTTGAATTACCTCCCTTGCACTGCTTTTAATTTATTGGGGGTCACAATTTATTTTGCTTATTCTTTGTATATAGTCTGAAAACAGATTTACTAAGTATTGCTCAACAGCACAGTGTATTGCACAACAGCAAGAAATTCTGTGTCAGAAACCTATTATGTGTCAAATATTGAATTACAATCCAAATTCAGACCTGCATCAAGCACGAATATTGTGTCTATTTTTGCCCCAACTGTACAGGGTTGGACCTCTGCGGTCGTATCCAGCTGCGCTCGGTGAAGCAATTTATTGAAATAATGAAAAAGAAACTGATATGTTTTTCAGCCTGTTTGTAACTATAGTGCAGCCACTAGACAGTTTGTATACGAGACCAAAGAAGATGTTATGAAATACAGGATAATTATTTCTACCTTAGTGACTGCTGGCAGGTAAATATACTTTGTGGTTCAAACATACTTCAAGTGATTCATCCAAACGAACTTCAGAGATGTAATAATAACATTTAATTGTAATATTTAAAACCATTTCAGAATAAACATTTTATACATTTTATAATTTCCAGTCTGTATGTCCATTATTCTGTCTGTAATCATGTACTGGTTACATTGTTACATTTTCTACTTTGATCTAAAAATTATTATATAAATGTTCAACATTTGACTGATAGTAGAACCTTATTAAAGAAACTACTGTTTATATACCAATTATGTGTTTGTTTCATTATTGTTTAAGTAAACTCTGTTAGAAATAAACTAGTTATGTATAAAATTTGAATAACTTGATGGGTATTATTTTAGGTTATCCTCAGCTAATTTTCCCACAGGACATTTCAGTCATGTGATTGTAGATGAGGCAGGACATGCTGTAGAACCAGAACTTTTGATTGGTGTAGCTGGCATCCTTAATATTGACCCCCATATCCCTGGTGGGTGTGGACAGTTAGTATTAGCCGGAGATCCTAAGCAGTTAGGACCAATCCTTAGATCACCATTTGCTATAAAATATGGATTAGGTGAGTTAATCAAGAAATTGTTCACAAGAATTTTAATATTTGCAATAAATTGATAAAGCTTGGTACAGATGCGCAATTCATTTCAGGTAGGCTATAATGGTAGCCTTTTCCTCAATTCTTCTGCCCAAATCGTAAACATAGATATGTATGATGGCTCATTTTGAAGCTGAGGAATATTGACATATGTGGTTAAAACTTCATGGTACAAAGTGAGATTGATTTTTCCGTAATTTAGCACACCTCGAAAAGCCGTTTGTGATGCGACTTCTCGCAGTAAAACTTCACTTTTTTCACACAATAAGTTCTTTGAAAACTTGCTTCTTTGCATACATTTATTAACTGCAAAGTTTTTATACCTTTATTCTATGGTCCTCTGCTCTCCAAATCAGCAAAAATGGTTAACCTCAGTCACTTGTTAAAAATTGAAACATGTCCAATATCACTGCACAGAGATTTTTTGTTAACACACTACTTTTGAGTTCCTCACTTTGAGGCACATTAGGGATATTGACCCAGCTGTTATATTTAATAAATTAACAAGAATGCCTTTAATCCATTATATTTGATTTATTCAGTACTTCAGACTTGATGCATGAAATTACCTGGCTAAATAAAAAAATCTGTTTTAATAGATAAAGGAGTTATTCTTTATTATTATATAATTATACCCCACCCTAGGAGTGGCACTATATTGCAATCACCTTGTCCATTTGTTTAATCAAACAAATAGTTCTGTCACATTTTTCTTAGGAGCTACTTCACAGAATGACTTTATGTGGTCAGCATCTTGACAGTGATATGTTTTAACCTGAGAGCATTTTTCTGATCAGTCAAACACTTACTTCCTATTTTCTGATACTTTGAAAGACTAGTGTGGTATTCTTAGTACAACAACACAGTAACTTTTTGTGTTATTACTGTTAAGACAGAGTTCATCAGAAATCAGAAGGAATAGTAGATTTCGTTGTCATGCTCCTGGGTAAAATTATGTTTCAGTCATCCAGATTATCACCATTGATATTTGGTACCAAGTTTCATATTTGTAAGTTATACCATGTGACATATTTTCAGATGCTTCACTTATTGACTTCCTATTTTTTTCATACATTTAGGTTCATTAACATTGATGATATACATGTATAAGAAGTTTTTGTTATAAATCATAGCTTGTTGATATTTGATACCAAGTTTATTGTTGATAAGCTAAAATGTTTTCTTATCTTCTTTCTGTTGTCTTCTACATGTTTGGTACATGTATTTCCTCTCAATCAATAGCAAGAGCAGGGGTAAAGATTATTTAACAGTATCACACACTATATTGTGTGATATTTGACCAGTTCTCATAAATATAGTGGACTATAATAAATTTACTTAGTGTAAAGATGCTGCAAAATATAATACCTGGGAACAAGGTTGATTTTGTAGTGGTAGACTTTAGAAGTTTTAATGAAAATGTAGTTCCAACCCAAAGTGGCAAATATCCTGAGTTTTCCACTTATATTTTCACATATATTTTAAAAAGTTTACCCTCCGAAAATGTAGTATAGACAATTTTATGTTTATTTTGTTACAGCATTTGGTGATGTACTATTTAATTACTTATTTGTAAGACAGAAATAGAACAATTACATTTGATATTTTCAAAAAAAGAATAACGTATTGCTATTTTTGTTTTCCAGATAAATCTTTGTTAGAGCGTTACATGTTAGACCAAAAGGTATATGCCAAACCATATGATGAGAGAATTATTACTAAACTTCTTAACAACTATAGATCTCATCCTGACATTCTATACCTACCAAATAAATTGTTTTATGATCAAGAGCTAGTAGTAATGGCTGATCAGATGATGAGGGAAAGCCTTTGTGATTGGGAGAAACTCCCTTGTAAAGGTTTTCCTATCATATTTCATGGAGTTATTGGTCAGGACATGAGAGAAGAAAGAAGTCCTTCATTTTTCAATGCTGAAGAAGTTTCTATTGTTCATAGTTATGTCAACAGTTTGTTGAAGGAAAAGAAAAGAGGATTGAAGATAAATCCAAAGGATATTGGCATTATTTCCCCTTACAGAAAGCAGGTATATTCAAATTATTTTAGAAAAATATTCATCTATTATAATTTAGTTTTGATTACAACTGGAAATGGTTTGTTTAAGAATTCTACAGAGGCACATTTACACCAGACTTTATTTTTACTTAAACACTCCAGAACTCAATAGGTTTTCTCTGAATTAACTTTTTGCTCTTGTTTTGTGATGCCCAATATTTACTACTTGTATAGATAAAGAATTTCTCAGCAATAGGTACTGAGAATACCCATAACATATTGAAAATAACTTAAAGTCCAGATGATTGAAATTTGTATACACAATCAAGATGGTACAGGATTTAATACTGCTCAAGTGTTTTAAGTGGGACATGAATGAAGTATTTTTATGCCCCAGCCGTAGCGGTGGGGGCATTAAGTTTTACCCTTGTCCGTCTGTACGTCTGTACGTACGTCCGTACGTCCCAAAATTGGTTTCCGTTCTCTAACTTGAGTTTGCCTCAACCAAATGTGACGAAACTTATACACAATGCTTATTACCACAAAACACAGATCAAGTTTGAATTATGGTGGCGTCACTTCATCCGTTCTAGAGTTATGCCCCTTTATAAATGGAAAAATTGTAAAATTTTTAGTTTCTGTTCTCTAACTTAAGTTTGCCTCAACCAAATGTTATGAAACTTATACACAATGCTTATTACCACAAAACTCAGATCAAGTTCAAATTTGGGTAGCGTCACTTTTACCGTTCTTCAGTTATGTCCCTTTATAACTATATGATATGCAAGCGGGGGCATCATCTGTGTCCACATGTGGACACTATCCACATTTATTTATATTTTGTTTCTGCTAGTAAATTTGTCTCAATGATGTAACAAGAGTAAATGTATATAATACAACTTGTATAATTATAGGTACAAAAATTACAGCAATTAATGAGAGCAAATAAATGGGGAGATTTACAGATAGGGTCAGTAGAGGAATTCCAGGGACAGGAGAGGAAAATTATCATAGTATCTACTGTCAGGAGTAACCCAGAATATCTTTCTCTAGACATGGACTTTAAACTAGGATTTCTCAAAAATCCAAAGGTAACATTAAGCTACAATGTAGACTTATTGAATGTTTTACTTGCTATCTCAACTGCAACTTGGAGACTTAGGCATGAGGTTTTCAATAGTAAAACATTGACCTTGCCATTTCAAAATGAATAAGGGAACAGGGTATGATTTTTTAGCTTCACTGACATTCTACAAGCCTTTAAAAAATTATCAAAATATCTTATTTTAAAGAAAAGATAGGAAAGTCCAGCATTCACATTGTATACATTCAGATATGTGTTTATTAAAGTATTAGTATATTAACAGATTTCTTTGAAACTGATACATTTTATCCATATTTACTATTTGTAATACAGTCATTCTGATGTTACCCATAATGCACCCTCTCCATTACTGCAGGTTACTTTTAATTTCTTTCCTATTTTTTCAGAGGTTCAATGTGACCTTGACCCGAGCTAAAGCATTGTTGATAGTGGTTGGAAACCCTGTCACTTTGTCACATGATAAATACTGGAAACAGTAAGTACTGGTATTCAAAATTCAGTATGCATATCTATCAATACAATTATTTCCATAGTCAACAATAATACAAGATGGAATAATTGGATTTGTGTAAATGTAATTTTTAATGTTGCTAGCAAAGATAGAATTTCTAGTTTAATTTCTGCAATGTCTATCTTGTATATTACTCCAACTAGTCTTAAGGTCCTTTTACATGACATCTCAACCAAACAGTATTGAAGATCTCAAATTGCATAAGCGTTTTTTATTCTTTGGTTTAGTTTAATTTTTCCCTTGCTAAGCTGAACATAAAATGTCTTTTGTTTAGTGCATGTTTACACTATGGGAGTTCATTGACATTCATATCAGTTCAACATTTGTCTAAAACATAAACTATTTGACAGTGATCACGGTGATCTGATATTTAGACAAGAACTTAATGTTTCCTTACGATAGTTGTTACATGAAGAGAAAGATTCAGAAAGTTATAAAACTGTTTAGTTCTGTTTAAGTTTAATTTCTTTACTACACAATTTAAAAAAAAAGGAAGATAAACCTAACCTTATACATGCTGAAATACTTAGCTATGTATACGAAAAGAAATAAGATAACCTTTATAATGTTAGAAAGAATACTAAAAAATCATTACAAATAAAAAATAGAAATAAAAATATTTAAGTAGTTTAAAGATAAGTCAATATTTAACATGTATATTTCAGATTTATTCAGTACTGCCAGGAAAACAAAGCCTATGTAGGTGTAGATTTTGAAGATGAAGAAACCATGGTGGAGGACATTATAGAAAGATTAAGTGCCTTAGGTCTCTCTGATTCTATACCTCAAGGTAGTTATTAAGTGCCTTAGGTCTCTCTGATTCTATACCTCAAGGTAGTTATTAAGTGCCTTAGGTCTCTCTGATTCTATACCTCAAGGTAGTTATTAAGTGCCTTAGGTCTCTCTGATTCTAAACCTCAAGGTAGTTATTAAGTGCCTTAGGTCTCTCTGATTCTATACCTCAAGGTAGTTATATTTTCTCAGGGTTATTCCACATATTGTTCTGTTCATTTGGTTGGTATTACGAAGAAAAGTATTAAGAGCCTAATAATCAAATATATATATATATATATATATATATATTGAAGACAAGTCTAAATTGAAAACAACCTATGATTGCGTTGGATAAAAACCGCAATTTTTATACGTGTGCATGCAAAACAAATTTATTGGTAGAGGGTTCCAAATACAGCACAAACAACATTTTCCAAAAGACCAAAAAAGTGAAAAAGTATATTTTTACAAAACGCATTTGACTTGCAGGTCGAACAACGGATGTTCTTAAACCCTGCTGACTGCCATGGCGATTGCCAAATAAACGGATCACAAGAAGTAACAAATGGATCTTATTTATTAATTTAATACCAAACAGAAAACAGTAAACTTGCGGAAAAGATGGTATACCGCAAACATGAGGTGCAAAAATTTGTACACCATATCCTGATTTCGACAATTAATGTCTCTTCAGTGATGTTAGGAATCGAAATGGTATTTGGAAGGCCAAATAATTTACCTCAATTTGGGATTGACTTTTGAATTTTGAAGAGTCAAAATAGGATGAACGGATCATATAAACCCGAAGGCAAATATAATACAAGCCCACACGAAAAATTGTAAACAAGTCTAAATTGAAAACAACGTTCAAACCTATGATTGCGTTGGATAAAAACCGCAATTTTTATACGTGTGCATGCAAAACAAATTTCTTGGTAGAGGGGTCTAAATACAGCACAAACAACATTTTCCAAAAGACCAAAAATATATATATTGTACTTTGACTACAAGAACCACTTGTGTCCTTGGTTTTTTGACAATCCTCATTAAGATAAATCAAGCATTGAACTAAATTAATGACAACATTATTTTTGCCTGGTTTCTGAAATTACTGTTCATTTTAAATTACATTATGATAATTTCTAAATGGATTTCTGTAATTGTATGTTTGTGTCATACACACAAGTTCATACACCTATAATATATGCCTTGATTGCACTCGATTCTTGTACATAACCACATGCTAAACATAGTGTAGTGCAGGGCTTCCAAAAAGGTTGTATTGTCGGGATTTGACCGATAAATTATATTTTTGACTTGTGCCGACCCTGAACCAGACAGACGTGTTGAAGACCGTACTGTGACCTATACTGGTTTACTTTTATAAATTTTGACTTGGATGGAGAGTTGTCTCATTGGCACTCATACCACATCTTCTTATATCTATGTAACGTGATTTTGCCATTTTGACATAATAAAAAAAAAATGAAGTTTATGCCATCTTTTTGACCTGACCTTTTGTCTTAAACAGCAACACATTTCCTGTCATAAAATTGACATGATGAATAAGTGCTATCAAAACAATAGTTCTCATTACAATCAAGGTTAATTAGTTGTCTGACAGTTGAAATTTACCTGTTCAGGCGACAGGTAAACTATTTTGTACCGGACATTGATTGTTCTATTTAAAGTTATTTTCTTAAATTTCATCGGTTTGCATCTAATATATTTAGTAAATAAATGGGGAATGTGTCCATGGGACACCGATCATGCCCCTGCTTGCATACAACGTTTTGAAGTGACATAACTCAAAAACGGTAAAAGTGACGCTACCCAAATTCATACTTGATCTGAGTTTTGTGGTAATAAGCATTGTGTATAAGCTTCATAACATTTGGTTGATGCAAACTTAAGTTAAGAGAACGGAAACGAAAAAATTCAGCAATTTTTCCATTTGTAAAGGGGCATAACTCTAAAACGGTAAAAGTGAAGCCACCAAAATTCAAAAAATGATCTTTGTATTGTGGTAATAAGCATTGTGTATAAGATTCATAACGTTTAGTTGAGGCAAACTAAAGTTAGAGAACGGAAATGAAAAATTCAGTAATTTTTATACGACCGCAAAAAAATTTTGTGGTCGTATATTGGTATGACGTTGGCGTCGTCGTCGTCGTCGTCGTCGTCGTCGTCCGAATACATATTGGTTTTCGCACTCTAACTTTAGTTTAAGTGAATGGATCTTTTTGAAATTTGACCATAAGGTTAAATACCACAAAAGGAAGGTTGGGATTGATTTTGGGGGTTATGGTACCAACAGTTAAGGAATTAGGGGCCAAAAAGGGGCCAAAAATAAGCATTTTCTAGTTTCCAGACAATAACTGTGGAACGGTGTATGGATCTCTCTGAAATTATACTACAAGTTTCCATACCACAAAGGGATGGTTAGGATTTGCTTTGGGGGGTTATGGCTCAAACCGTTTAGGAATTAGGGGCAAAAACAAGGTTGTCCTGGTTAATGGACAAATACTTTAGTACAAAACATAATTTAAAGCAGTGTAAGGGAGATAAATCAAATACATCATTGAAATTATCTCCCTTACACTGCTTTTAAATTATGTATAAAGTAATGGTTAATGAACAATAAAGATAATCTAAAACAGTGTAAGGGAGGTAATCCAAATACAACGTTTTGGTTACTTCCCTTACACTGCTTTTAAATTATGTTTAAAGAAATGCATATTTATAAAGGAAGACCAGTAAAAATATCTGCAAATGTTTTCATCTTTTTTTTTTACAAAAAAATCCATATGAAAGATTTGACACTATATTTTTATTAATTCTATTATAAAATAGATTAAGTTAGCACTATGGTAAATTTAAATGGGTAATTATGGTTGCCAACTCCATTGGAAATTTGAATTGAGATTATGACCATATCTTGAGGGAAAGAATTTTTTTGGGGGAAAAAAGGGGGGGGGGGATAAAAAGAAATTGTGGGGGGCCAATTTTTTCTCATTTCAGATTTCAGAAATTAAAAAGAATTATTCTTCAAATATTTTTTTTTTTTCAAATTTCAAATATTGAAAAATTTCAAGAAGTAATCTTTAATTGCACAGTATGGCACATTAGATTTGTAAAATCTTTGATCACATTTATTTATTTGTTATGCCAAATCTAACAGTGTATTTAGATTTTTAATTTTGGGTCCAGTTTTCAAATTGGTCTACATTAATGTCCAAAGGGTCCAAAATTAAACTTTGTTTGATTTTAGCAAAAATTGAATATATGAGGTTCTTTGATATGCTGAATCTAAACATGTATTTAGATTTTTGATTTTTGGCCCAGTTTTCAAGTTGGTCCAAATTGGGGTCCAAAATTAAACTTTGTTTGATTTCAACAAAAATTGAATATATGGGGTTCTTTGATATGCTGAATCTAACCATGTATTTAGATTTTTTATTTGTGGACCCCGTTATCTAATTGGTTCATATTGAGGTCAAAAGGGTCCAAAATTAAACTTTGTTTGATTTCATCTAAAATTGAATTATTGGGGTTCTTTGATATTCCAAATCTAACCGTGTATTTAGGTTTTTAATTTTGGGTCCTGTTTTTTAAATTGGTCTACATTGAGGTCCAAAGGGTCCAAAATTAAACTTAGTTTGATTTTAACAAAAATTGAATTCTTGGGGTTCTTTGATTTGCTGAATCTAAACATGTGTTTAGATTTTTGATTATGGGCCCAGTTTTCAAGTTGGTCCAAGATAGGGTCCAGTATTTAAACTTTGTTTGATTTCAACAAAAATTGAATATATGGGGTTCTTTGATATGCTGAATCTAAACATGTATTTAGATTTTTGATTATGGGCCCAGTTTTCAAGTTGATCCAAATTGGGGTCCAAAATTAAACTTTGTTTGATTTCAACAAAAATTGAATATATGAGGTTCTTTGATATGCTGAATCTAACCATGTATTTAGATTTTTTATTTGTAGGCCCCGCTATCAAATTGGTTCATATTGAGGTCAAAAGGGTCCAAAATTAAACTTTGTTTGATTTCATCGAAAATTGAATTATTGGGGTTCTTTGATATGCCAAATCTAACCGTGTTTTTAGATTTTTAATTTGGGTCCCGTTTTTTAAATTGGTCTTCATTGAGGTCCAAAGGGTCCAAAATTAAACTTAGTTTGATTTTAACAAAAATTGAATTCTTGGGGTTCTTTGATATGCTGAATCTAAACATGTGTTTAGATTTTTGATTATGGGCCCAGTTTTCAAGTTGGTCCAAGTTGGGGTCCAAAATTAAACTTTTTTTGATTTCAACAAAAATTGAATATATGGGGTTCTTTGATATGCTGAATCTAACCATGAATTTAGAATTTTTATTTGTGGGCCCCGCTATCAAATTGGTTCATATTGAGGTCAAAAGGGTCCAAAATTAAACTTTGTTTGATTTCATCAAAAATTGAATTATTGGGGTTCTTTGATATTCCAAATCTAACCGTGTATTTAGATTTTTAATTTTAAGTCCCGTTTTTTAAATTGGTCTACATTAAGGTCCAAAGGGTCCAAAATTAAACTTAGTTTGATTTTAGCAAAAATTGAATTCTTGGGGTTCTTTGATATGCTGAATCTAAACATGTGTTTAGATTTTTGATTATGGGCCCAGTTTTCAAGTTTGTCCAAGTTGGGGTCCAAAATTAAACTTTGTTTGATTTTAACAAAAATTGAATATATGGGGTTCTTTGATATGCTGAATCTAACCATGTATTTAGATTTTGGACATTGGACCATAATAGGTAAATTAAAAAAATTCAAGTTCTTAGACCACATTCTTTCTGTGTCAGAAACCTATGCTGTGTCAAATATTTAATAACAATCCAAATTCAGAGCTGTATCAAGCTTGAATGTTGTGTCCATACTTGCCCCAACTGTTCAGGGTTCGACCTCTGTGGTCGTATCAAGCTGCGCCCCAGCGAAGCATTTTATTCCATTTGTAAAGGGGCATAACTCTAGGATGGTAAAAATGACGCCACCAAAATTCAAACTTGATCTGTGTTTTGTGGTACTAAGCATTGTGTATAAGTTTAATTTTGGTTGAGGCAAACTTAAGTTAGAGAATGGAAAAGTAAAATTCAACAATTATTCCATTTGTAAAGGGACATAACTCTAAAACAGTATAAGTGACGCCACCAAAATTCAAACTTGATCTGTGTTTTGTGGTAATAAGCATTGTGCACAAGTTTCATAACATTTGGTTGAGGCAAACTAAAGTTAGAAAACGGAAAACCAATTGCGGGACGTAAGGACGGACATACAGACGGACAAGGGTAAAACTTAATGCCCCCTCCGCTAAGTCGGGGGCACAAAAAGATTCAGATTATCAAAAATATGTATATAAATATGACTGATGAAAAATTTAAAAAGGTAGTAATAAAGGTTTTAAGAGAAAAATCGCCAGAACCACTTTTTTTGAACTAGTACATGTGTGCACATTTGCGCAGTTGTGAAAAGTAATTATTCGTCCAAATTCTCCAAAAATGCTAAAATTATCATTGATACCTTTATCTAACATTCATTTGAAGTATTTTCTTGCAGAAATAACGTGGAAAGAGCTACTTAAACTCAATTGTGCTTCGTAAACTTACACAAATTTACGTATCTGTCTCTGGTCTGTGTTTTACCATTGTCAAGTCAATATCTGGTATTACTGTGACTTGACTATAGGTGTTGCTGTTTACTCTTACCTATTGTTCAACCAGATTGTAAAATTGACAATACAATTGGGACATTTAAATTGACCAGTTGGTATTGTTAAGAGTTGACAATCATTTACAGTCTACCTTGATGCTGTCCCATCACTTTACCTGTTCAATTGTTACTGTTTTGAAAAACTTATCCATGTGGTATTTAGGTTTCAAGTTTTATCTTTGTGAAATAACATAACATGCCTACAGTATAAATAAGTACATATATGAAAAAAGCTAGAATATGGCCACAATATGCAAAATTATTCCATGTTATAATATTTGGTAAAGACTGCAGATTTTTTTTAATATTATTTCCCCATGTTTTTCTTTAGAGAATCCTAAAATAAGTAAAGGGAATACACAATGTAAGTACAGTCTTTTTCATTGAAATGAATGTATTCCTTGAAGTAATTGGCCATACAATTTCCAAAAAAACACAATTTGAAGAAAAAGGAGAGATTTTTATTTTACTGTCATTTCAAATTTCAAGAGTAAGCAAGCCAGAACAAGAATATATATATGGTTTTTTTTGCAGAGTATTAACTTGCATGTCATATAATGCACTACATTTCCTCTTAATGTTTTCATATTCAAATACTATGATTGCTTGGATTTCTTTCATATCGTTGAAAAGACCTCTTTTTTCTCATTCGCTCTTTCTAATGGGAGATAACTCAAAAGATTTATTTTTTACTTTCGTGGAAATCTTAATTATTTCATAATTTCCATAATTTTCCAGTATTAAAAAACACCAGAACAAATGTGTGCATTCCTTCGTTTAGACATTTGTTCAATACTTATTGTCATGAGCCTTATACAAAGTGTTCATGCCTAGTGAAATATCAAAAATAATAGTTATGAATAAACTGGTTTATTTATGTATTTATTGACACTGATATTTGATATCCCATCCAGTATTCCAGTTTTCACTATTTGAAGTAATACTATTTGAAGTAATTTTTGAACTATATTCCTAATTCTATTAACTTTTTGGAATATTTTCTTACATTTTTCACTATATCACTAGATTTTTTTCTATTTCCACAGTATTCTGTTTAACTTCCCATGATATATATATCCCAATAAAACAGACGCAGAGTCTTTATATTAGATCCAGAATTTTGTAATTTTTGATCATTTCCAATGTCACATTTAAAATAATTATCCTCACTTTACAAATTTTTTGGAATATTTTATTTATATATTACACTGTATCACTTGATTTGACTATATCCACAGTGTTCAGGTTTTATTTCATTTCCCATGATAAATGTCCCAATTTAACAATATTAGATCCAGAATTTTATAATGATTATTTCCAATATCCCATTAAAAATTGTTATCCTCACGTAATGATTTTTTTGGAATATTTTACTTTTATTATTCACTTTATCACTTAAGATTTGACTATATCCACTGTATTCACATTTTATTTCATTTCCATGATATATATCCTATTTAAACAGGTGAATCATCTTCATATTAGATCCAGAATTTTATAATGATTATTTCCAAAATCACATTTAAACATTTAAAGACACTGAAACATATTGGTTGAACTTATTTCTCCTACTTGCATTCAAGTTTTGAATTTTTTTTAACTTTTAGATTAACTAAATCCATCTTATAAAAAGTGAATTTCCTTGAGTGAACAGTTTTTTATGCACAAAAATCCTAATAGATATCAAAGAAAAACACTGCAAGTATACTCCAAAATTATTTTGGCTTTTACATGTACATCATCATGTGAAAGCCACATAAAACATTTTGAATGAATTATTTCCTCCTTGGTACATTCATGACAATCCATTCAAAGTCACATTTTACTTGTAAGAAGCAAAATTAAATGCATCTAAGAATTGAATTCAAATAAAATAAATCCCAATATTTTATGCAAATTGATTTCAATGGATTTCAAACACTGCGAATAAAAATCCAAAATGAAAAATTTGAAGGGACATATGAAGAAACACATAACATATCCATCTGAAAACTGAAACTGAAAACACCTGAATAGCTATTTCTTGTTTCATTGACAACTGGACAATACTATGTATAAGGGTTACAGCTGATTTCAATGAGTGTGTAGGAAAAGGTAATATCTTTTGGTTAGCTTGCTTGCTAGCTGAACCGTGAAGTCATTATTAGGTTAGGTAAACTACCCTCCTTTTTGAGTAGACTAGTCCGACAGACAGATAGAATTGGTTACCTGTGGGATTAGTCTACTCATAAAGGAGGGTAGTTTACCTAACCTAATAATTACTTCACGGTTCAGCTAGCAAGCAAGCTAACCAAAGATATCACCTTTTCCTACACACTAATTGAAATCGGCTGTAAAAGTTTAAAGATTCATTTATTATATAAAAACAGTTTTAATTTTCATACATATTAAAATGCAGTTCCGAAAATCTTTGACTGATTTAAATTATTGGGTCAAAATTAGATTAATCATCTATATTGGGGACTTAAAACAATGAAAACCAATAATATTTTCTTCCCTATCAATTTTATAATAGAATAACCCTAGGTGAAGAAAAACTTCAGGAGAAAAGCATGCTATAAGGTTGGGTTAGGTGAATAAAAATCAGTACAGGTAGCATTAAGGTAGACTCAACTCTTAACAACACCAACTGGTCAATTTAAATGTCTCAATTGTATTGTCAATTTTACAATCTGGTTGAACAATAGGTAAAGGTAAACAGCAACACCCATAGTCAAGTCACAGTAGGAAAATGTGCTTTTTAAAAAACGAAAGTAAAGTTTTTGACAACATAATTTTGCACAAATTAAGATTCTAAGGCAGATATTAGTACGCTAATGTTGCACACTTCAAAAGATGCACTGTCAATTTAACAGTTTACGTCAGAACATCGAATTTATATCAAAAATCAAGTTAAATATCGTTTTTATGTCAATCATTTTTTATGATGCCCAACTGATTACCATGATTGCTTTTAATACTAAGTCTTAAGGGATTAAATTCGGGATACAACAAAAAAATCCGGCTGGCTCAAATATTTTTTGGATCTACCCCGGTAGTGTTATTGGAATATGAATTATTATGTTATATGTTAACTTGATTATGAAGTAAGTGAATTTAGCATTTTTAATCTATATAGAGTTTTACAATTTTTTGGAAAAACAATGAAAGGTGAGTAGGAACTTGGTGTATTTTTAATATTCAACATTTTATTAATGTTTACTTCACTTGGAACTTTAACAAAGTAACTTCTGCATATATATTTAGTTGGAATATCTTCAATACATGCACATCAGAGAAAATAATGAAACTCATTTCCAACAGCTTGTTAATCGAAATTACAAAATCTTTCATCTCTTTTGCAGCCTCAGGACAAGCAGTTATTGATGTTGAAGAATTTAGTAAATTTAACGACCAGCCATGGCGTTCTGATTTGTAGGCTGGAAATGAGGAAATCAATATGATTGTTGAAATTTGAAGAACAGAACAGATAAGAAAGAAAAAAACAAATAACACATGCAAATGAATACTACACTCAAAAATAGACATGTATGCAAATAAGTTAAAAGTTGCAAATGAAATTATGAGAAGAAAATAGCTATTTCAATTATATTATATATTTTACAACTGAAAAATTGGTAAATCTGCTTTCTTAATTTTGTAGTTAGTGATTCTTTTTTTTTATATAGGTTTAATTCAAATGATTTGTTTGGTCAAATTTATGTACAGTTTTAAAGTTATGTTATAAGTTTTAAAGTCACCAAGTGGTATTAGTAGAACTAGTTCTTCTAAGATTTGAAAACTAAGTGGTCTTTCAATGATGTAGTTCTTTTATGTTATTTTTTTATTTGTTTAGTGCAAATAATATGTGTTAGCATTTTCCTAGGTGTTAATTAACTGACTGTATTTGTATTTGAGCAAGTTATGGCTGTGAGCAGGAGACACATTCCCTGTTGACACACCCAGCCTTGCTCCTTTTGTGATTCCCTCAGTTTCTGTTTGTTACCTTGATTTGTCTCTTCGTAATCGATTGAAAAGATTTGAATATCTCTAAACAATTGTCACCTTAATTTATGACAAAATTCTTAGTACATGAAGTAGTAAAGACTTTAAAAAAAAAAAGCCAAAAAACCTAGTCACTTGAAAAAAGGAAGAACAAAATTTCACAAAAATAAGAGATATATATATGAAAAACAACTTCGTTAACCTTTCTGTACTGAGGTTTAATGGGATGCAAATTGAACTGAAAAATGATACATTTTAAAATAACTGTAAATATATATGTACTTTGTCTATATTGTTAAATAAGATATATATCATCATGGACATAAACTTTTTATAACAGAGCTGAAAAAGTCTTTTGAGGCATCAAACACATTTTGTCTCACATGCAATGTTGGATTGCTGTCTTGTTGACATTTACTCATATCTTTTATTAATTATTTTTAATCAAATTTGAAATTTTGAAAGTATCAGGATTTTTAAATCAAAAATATATTACTACATATAGTAACAACAACATAGGAATTAACAGCTTGAAAAACCTCTCTCCCAATTTGTTGTTTACTTTTATACTTAAACTGATTTAAGTTTTTGTCATTAATTTTAATCCAATTAATTCAGTGCATGCTGATCTTAATAACATCTCTGTGTAATATGCTTTATATTGTAACTTATTTTGCAAGTTAAATTTTTAATGATTTCTTGTATCTGAAATTTTTTAGATACTACTGTGACTTGACTGTAAGTATTGCTCTCCACCAACTGCAACTTATTCAAAATTATGACCAAATTGCAATTTGTTTTATAAAACCAAACTGTTCAACTGGTCAGAAATTTGAACAAACTGCTGTAGAAATCCACAGTCAAGTCATGAAAGTGCAAGGTGATAAAATAAAGCATACTTACAATCCTATAAGACTTTAATTCCACTTCAATGTTATTTTGAAAAATCAGTCTAACAGTTTGTATAGAAATTGTATTGTTATTGTCATGCAAAAGGTGATAGGTAGTAATTTTGAATTGCTATGAAAATTCCAAACTAAGCTTTCATACAATTTTTCTTTCGAAAAGTCTTCTATATTCATAAGAATCAATCATCATTTGAATTAAAACATCTTATATTCAGTAAAATATTTGTGAAGTAACAATATGTTGTTAGGAAGTTTCCATGGGAGATAATCAATTTTTCTTTCGAAAAGTCTTCTATAATCAGAAGAATAATGTTTTAGGTTATCTCCCATGGAAACTTACTAACAACATATTGTAATTTCACATATATTTTACTGAATATAAAATGTTTTGATTCAAATGATGTCTGATTCTTATGAATATAGAAGACTTTTTGAAAGAAAATTTGTATAAAAGCTTAGTTTGGACATTTTTATAGCTATTCAAAATTACTGCCTATCACCTTTAGCATGACAATAACAATAAAATTTCTATACAAACTGTTAGACTGATTTTTTCATAATAACATTGAAGTCACTGGTGTTAAACTGATAATCGTAACTGGAATTACGACGATCCCAATATGGCGACAGCAGAAATAGGTAAAATCTTTTCAGTCATTTTTGTCAAATGTAGCCCGTTGTTGTCAAGAGTTACTCAGCTGCAAGGTTTTTCTATACCATTACATCATATTTGAATCGTAACGGTGCACTATAATTGTCTAAGCGCTTAGAAAATTGCCGTCGAAACATTGGGGATGATAATCGTAATTCGATGGCATTTTTCTTGTTTGATAATCGTAATTTCTTTATGCGATAATAGTAACTGAAAAATAATAAATGTGTCTTCCAGCTTGTCAATGGTATTTTGTGTGTGAAAACGGCAATGTCCAGTTAAACGATGACATTAACGCGCAAAATAAAAAAATAATGAAGAAACTTACAGGTTAATATTTAGGACAAATTTACTTACATGTATATATATCTCGATTTATAACTGACAACAATATACATGTACCTGTTAAAGATATGGAAAATGAAGCAGCTTTCGAGTCATTTATTGTGGTAAATAGATAATTTATATTCATTCAAAGTTTCAATGTTGTTTTCGCGTTTAGGTTTTTTTTTTTTTGGAAGTTGGGAAAGGGTGGGGGGTGAGTATTAGCATTATCCCATATCCCAAAAGTGCAATCCTTTCAAATGAAAGTCCCGTATACCACATTTCAATATGCCATATGTTTTGCCTCAAATATTGCATATATCCAATCGACTTTTAAATCAATAAAAAGGGCAAGTTAACCTCCCCTATCTCAATATTTCCTATACCACGGGGGTGGCTGTGGGTTACTTCCTATATAAATATATAAGTTATAATATGGATCAGATTTCTGGTCTTCGGCAATATATGAAAGGGGATATTTTTTTTAAATTTCAGCAGCACGCCAGAAGTGACACCACCCCTTCCCCTGTGCCTTATACAGACCTCATTTATCATAAGATCGCTGTCAGTTTTGAGTTCTCTGTTGTTTATATTCGGGGATGGGTCCACAAATAATGTAAAAGGGAAATGGGGGGGTGGTGCTATAAACTGAACGTTTATACTAAATTTCTGCGAGAAATGAACAAAATTTTCCATCAGTTACTTAACTGCATTATTGGATTTAACAGTTGATACTTTGATTTGTGGATATGAGTTTTCATTTTGCCCTTTTCCTTATATTTCAATAGAAATACATATAGTTTAATTTTGGAGTGAAATGTATCCCGGTTAAAATAGCCGTTCATATTTTTCAAGTGAATTCACTTTTGTTCTGTTTTACACTGTTATTTTATATGATTTTAAAAATTAAATTCAAATATTTTGATTAAATATCCATGTATTTTAGGACGTTTCTTTAAACAGGGTGGATGGTCAAGGATCTAGAATAGTTACCAGTTTATTGTTACTATTGTTTATTGTTACTTGTGTTTATTGTTCCTTGTGTTTATTGTTACTTGTGTTTATTGTTACTTGTGTTTATTGTTTTTATTAGCCTTAGCTAAATGGCGCGTATAGTCTTGCGAAGCATTTGAAGGACTGAAAAAAAAACACAAATATATATTATATATATATGTGTATTGGTCCTCAGAAGGCATAATATGTAGATCATCACAGTCGAAACTGGTTTAATTACAAAGACTTTAATAGATAATCAAACAAATATTTTGTGTTTCAGAAAAATGCATGACAATTATGAAAGGCTAATTTTTGTTTTCATTTGATAGAAAAGTACTAAGTATATGGTAATTATGCAAGTACAAAAAATGTTCTTTGTTACCTTCAATCATGATTTTGTTTTCTCTACAATAACTTCCATGCATATGTATGCAGCATATTTTTCATATACCAAGTATCTATGATTTCTTGAATCAGTTTGTTTCTGATATGGCGGAATATGCGCTATGATTTCTTAAAGTTGCAGTCATTCTTTGAATAAATATAGCTTGTAAGGTAATTTAAGGCCACATCAATTTGATTTCTTGATCTTCGGGCTTTTGGCCAAACTATTAAAGAACACAAATCCATGTTTGCCAATGAACTCCACGTCACCATGTGATTAACTCCATAACACACAAAGCATTCCAAATTTTCTCTACTCTTATATTATCATTAAACGTTTTAAGGATGTCATATTATTAGAATGCCAAACTAAATTGGTGTTGTTAAAATTTATAGTTATTTTCTGAGATATCGAAATGTCAGTGACGGTCATGAAGTAGCCAAGCATTTTTATAGTATTTATGGGCTATACAATTTTTTACACATTCAAAAAGGTGTGACATTTGTTTTCAAGTCCGTATTTAAATAGAATACCAAACAATATGTCTTTTTAACTCTAAACGTGAAGAGATCATGATGACATTTTTTAAAATTTTCTCCCATATTTTGTGACGGTCCTAGTTCCTGGAGTTTTCAGTATTTTAACATAGTTCGTGTTTCCCCATTTACAAATTTATTGAAGCTGGTCCCCTTCCAATTTTATTATATATATACTAGTATGTAGCTGTTTACATTAGAACTGTTAATCATATATGCACAAAAAGAAATGTCATAAGATGTGGGAACGTTTTCGTGATTAATTCATCACCATATTTTCATCATATGCTATTAGATAGACGTTTTTCGTGTCAATACCAATCAAACACTATCCAGTTACGATTATCTTCTTATTTATTAATACCGAAATTACGATTATCATTTTTGCGAGTTACGATTATCGTCCCGAATTTTTCGACGGCAATTTTCTAAGCGCTTAGACAATTATAGTGCACCGTTACGATTCAAATATGATGTAATGGTATAGAAAAACCTTGCAGCTGAGTAACTCTTGACAACAACGGGCTACATTTGACAAAAATGACTGAAAAGATTTTACCTATTTCTGCCGTCGCCATATTGGGATCGTCGTAATTCCAGTTACGATTATCAGTTTAACACCAGTGGAAGTGGAATTAAAGTCTTACAGGATTTTAAGTATGCTTTATTTTATCACCTTGCACTTTCATGACTTGACTGTGGTTTACTACAATAGTTTGTTCAAATATCTGACCAGTTGAACAGTTTGGTTTTATAAAACAGATTGCAATTTGGTCAGAATTTTGAATAAGTTGCAATAGGTGGAGAGCAACACTAACAGTCAAGTCACAGTAATAATATTGTGTTAGTGAACCTCTGAAATGAGTGTTTTCCCTACACTATTATAATATGTTATCTTCCTCTTTAGGGCTATTCCAAAAAAAAGTGCTTAGTTGGTTGCAACTTCATTCTTTGTTTGGGGTACTATCAACAGAATTTTAATTGTTTTCTGTAATGTAAAAACAACAGTGAAACTTATGAAATAACCCCCACCTCCAATCAAGGTTAAAACAAATTATGTGGAATTCCCTCCCTCCCAGGAATTAGTTTCTGGAAAAGCCCTTAGTCCGTTTTCACAATATAAACCACAATGATATATTTTACTGAATTAATTGTAACTACCAATTTGATTATAAAAAGGAGAGTGATTATTTTTGTTATCCATGTTAAATATTTTTTTATTGTATTATTCATTTTAAAGATGTTTTATTCAAATTATTTTTGTATGATAAAAAAACATTTTGTTTCATATTTTTTTTTTACACCTGTTCATATTTAACCACTATTTTATGTGCGATAAGAGAAGTTTTATGGTTTTATGATATTTTGCATTTAATTTTCCTTGTTAATATATTTTGCTCTTATTCTAATAATGTA